CCTCAGCCTCATCCTCATCCTCATCCTCCAGTCAATCCCCCCAGTCAAATGAATTGCCATTCGTCGTATTACTATTCCGGCAAAAATTACCAGCAATAAAAGCTTTGTATTTATTCGATTTTAATCAGCTCTTCATGTCCTGTCAGCAAATAGCCGATCGGTATGTCATGGGGCTCTGCGGGAATTAGCTCGTCAAAAAGGTAATATTCTGTTGGAATTACCCCTATCAAAAGCGGGCTTATCGGGGGATTCCTCGTTCGCAGCGAACACAGATATCTGTCAAAGTGGCCCGTGCCTCTACCAAGCCTATTGCCTTTGTAGTCATAGGCAACTGCTGGGATAAAGATGGCATCCGGTAAAGGAATTTCAACCTCCTGGCCTTCGATGCTAGGCATGGGAATCCCAGAAACTTTGCGAAACGAAGATATGTCTTCAATTGATAGCAATGGAGTATACCTTAAAAGTTCATCCGGTTTAGAATTGCTCCAGCACGGAACATATATGCAATGCCCATAGTTCAAGAGTGCGCCAATAAACGGCGCAACAGATAGCTCATGTGGACCATCAAGGTAAACAAAGATCCTTTTCCTTTCCTTTAATCCAAGTCTCTCATACACAGCATTGACAAATGCACGGGAGAAGCCGGCAAAGTCGGATGTTGCCCCGCACCTAATTCGCCGCTGTTTTTTCAACAACCTCGAGCGGAGCTGTGATTTGGCGAGCGAAATTGTTTTAAATTTAAACCTTGCCAAAATTTCGCCAAAAAATGTGCCTTGACAACTATATTTTCGAATAAATTTTAATCAATTCCAACAGATGATGAGTGGCCCGACAAATATTCCTGCCATTTCTTCCCAAGTGGTCTCTCAACAGTCGGCCCCATCGTCGTCCTACAATTCCATGATGCAGCACCATGCAACACCGTCTTCACAGTTTTCACATTCATATTTGCCTTCCATGGACGACGGGATGCGATCCCATCATCGCTCACACCACCTAGGTCTTCATGAGGATGACTTTGACGATTCGGACGAGCCAAATATTGTACGGGAGCAAGACCGTCTGCTTCCGATTGCAAATGTGGCCAGGATCATGAAAATGGCCGTCCCCTCCAATGCAAAGATAGCAAAGGACGCCAAGGAGACCGTCCAGGAATGTGTTTCTGAATTTATTGCATTTGTCACCTCGGAGGCTTCCGATCGATGCCAGCAGGAAAAAAGAAAGACCATAAACGGCGAGGAAATCTTATGGGCCATGGAATCTCTGGGATTTGACCATTATGTGCAGCTGCTGAAGATCTATCTGCAAAAGTACAAAGAGGTACCTTATCGATAATGTTCTTTCCTCACATTTGTAGACATTAAAGCTGGACAAAGATGGCTCTCCCTCGCTCAGCAGCATACAACTGCTTCCAGGACATCAACACCAGATGCATAGACCGATCAGCCTGGATGACCAAGGTCGATTATTGGGCCCCACATCTCTCTCTCTCTTCCACTCAGGCCATCCCTCTCGCAACTGATGTACATTTGTGACCACTTCCGGCGATTGCTATGTTAAATAAATTGTATCAGGTACACTAAAACTGCTGCCAGGTAGACCTGCCACCAGCGCCAAAATAGCAACCCATGGCGGTTTGGCACATGTTTTGACTAGCTCTTGTTTGATAAGCTGCTCTACACTCCATTCGACCATGCGCTTAAAAGGCTTTATTGAGTGGTGGTTACCGGATCGTGTTAGCCACTGGGCCGTGTTAGCCACTGGGCAGTTTTAATCACTGGGCCGTGTTAGCGGAAAGCAGGGCGGCTTTGCGCCCAAGGGCATCCACAGCACCCTCAAGATGGCCAATCGTAGCGATGAGGGATGGGTAGATTTGGTCCACATTTTCTGGACCCTCTTCGAGCAATTGTAGAATATCTGCACCTTGGTCAATGAAACCGAGCAACTGCTTGTCTAAAATCATCTGCGAGAGGCGTGAAAGAACCAGATCCACGGGTAGGCCAAGCCGCTGTGCCAAAAAAGAAATTTGTACCCGTGAATATGGAGCTATGAGTGTTTGAAGGTTCGTGCGAAGCAGAATGTTTCCAAGAGACATAAGACGCGTCCTGCACCATAAATCCAGCGCGCCCTCAATATTCGGGGAGGAGAGAAGAGATTCAAAAGTCGCAAGAGAATGTCCTAAAACTGCTTTTGCGATTTCGCCCATCGCAGCGATAGATTCCGGCAAAGCTTTCGCAGCTGGAGAGTATGCTTTCCACCCCGCCGTGTTGGCGATAATTTCCTGGACCTCATTTGCCTAGCATAAAAAACCAGACTCACCTTTTCCAAAATAAGAAGCATCAAGAGCATATAGGTTAGGGCTCGGCCCGCAATGGCAGGGTTTTCCGGCTTTGCCTCTACGGCTTCATAGAAAAAAGAATGGGCCGTTCGATAGTCCCCCTCTTCTGCATGAAGAATCCCAGCGTACAAATCAAGCATTGCTTGTGTGTCTGATGAGCAGTAAATGGTATTGGCCATGGCGCGGGCGCCTGTCAACGATGCCTAGCAATAAGAGCAAAAACGGGAACAAGTGGATGGCAATCCAAATCGACAGAACAATACCTTGGCCTTGGGGACATTTTGAATGGAATGATAGACTTGGCTCTCGAGAAGCTGGATTTCCACCAACAATATTTTGTCATCCATCTTTCTTAGCTCCTTGTAGAGTGAAGAGATAAGGGCCAGCGCTCTTTTGGGCTCGTCCTTTTTTTCAAACAATCTACACATTTGAGAACGCGGCCAAGATACATTTTTGCAAGCCTGATTTCCAAATTGATCCTCAAGTATGTCTTATGCTTGCTGCGGGCCCAATAGACCATCTCCTGCGCAAGCTCAAGCTGCAGTGCAAAGGTAGACGGGCGAGAGCTAAGCACGTCAAAGAGCAGTTTCACTAAAGGAAAAAGATGCCACCTCAATACGTGTTTTAGATATCTTTGCACGGGCAGCGGGGCCATCTTGTGCGCAAGAATCCTCTTTGATTGCCTTGATCATTGCCACGATTTCTTCAGTGCTTCTGTCTTCCATGGGGACTAATTTGTAAAAATTGGGTTAGGGTTAAAATCAGATCAAATGCAACCCTAACCCTCCGTTTAAATATTTTTGGGGGCTTAATTTGCCATGTCATGCGCAATTGGGTGGCCGAGGCTGGCTGGGTGGCAATTGCCCATGTAAATACGCCCCTTCTAATTTAAAAATTAATCATGGCGCCAAACAAGATCAATGCAATTCGCAACTTTGCATCAAAAGTAAAATTACAAATGTAGTCGGTAGAAAATCTTTTTCTTTATTCACATAAAAATGTCTTCCCCGCCGCCACCGGCACCTCCGCCGTCCGCAGTGGCGAGAGAACCAGATCCACATGCGGCGCATTCCGACTACTCAACCGATTATGCCTCGGTCCGTAGGCAAGAGCCACTCGCCGTTCCCCGTCCAGGACGGGGAAGGCCAAGAAAGGTAACATCTAACCCACTTCTCTTTAGATTAACCCAAATGCAAACGCAACGTCCCAAGCACTGCGCCAACAGGCCTCTGCAGGTGCAATTCTGAAGCGCGTACCGCCTCGGTCATCGCTTGCACCACCGGCAGCCTCCCTTTCGGATCTTCCTGGAGCGCCAGCGTTAGTCTACAAATGTCCAATTACGGGCTGCGAGCGAATATTCGCCACAAAGTTGGCACTGAAGCGGCATTTTCAAGTGTATCAGCACGAAGCTATCTTTGACGGGCCTTTGGAGTCTGTATTGGTGGTCAATCCACCCCCAATGAGCAGCGAAGGGTCAGATGAACTTATGTCGGCCACAAATGCGGCATTGCCAAAATCTGCTTCGCCGCTAGCCAAAGTTCTGCCCAAGCTTTACAAATGCCCCGTTCTGCAGTGTCTTGAGCGATTCCCTACAGAAAACGAGCTTGCGGCACATTGGCGCTACATGCATCCCACGCTTAAAGGCTCTCTCGGCGAGTGGAGCAATTTGCTCTACGAGTTTGATGGGATTTCATTGACACCCGTAGAGCATCCGGCGACTTATCTCAAGGAAATTGAAGGTAGAAATTCAATGATTTTATCGAAGCAAACCCGGATGCCAACGAAATCTGGCAGTTCCACTCCATTTTCCAGGTACTAGGCCCACAGCCCGCACTCAAAGTAGCACAGGTGGTGGCACAGGTGCGCCACCACCTTGCCGCTGCATTCATGGCACAGACTTCTACCATCGTCGTAGATGAATCCATGATGGGGTTGTTAATCCAGCTGGCGCTTCACGAGCTGATGCCCAAGGGCTTTTTATTGACGCGTGACGCAGATCCTATGCGCATGGCTTCATCCTCCTCCTACGATGTCTGGGCAGACGAGCCATGGTTACGAGCCATTGAAGCGGAATCGGCACAAACGCTGCTGCATTTTGGCTCCGCGCACACATCTCGTGCCTTCAAGCGCAGAGTGCCGACAGAAGGGGATGAAGGCATAGCAGAGGCAGCCCCGCCTGTTGAGGACCGTTTCGTATGCCAGGTGCCCGGGTGCGCCAAGGTCTTTGCATCGCTGCCCGCATACAAGTACCACATGCATCATTACGAACATGACTTTGAAATCTTATTGCGATGTTCAAGGCTTTTGCGCCGCGTGTTCTTTGCACCACTTGTTCCAGGAGAGGATCTGGCACCGGCGGCTGGACCTGGCGCCTTCTTGCCCGAACGTTGGGTATTGCGCTTCTCCGAACGGCAAGATCTCAACCGATTTCAAGAAGGTGGCGGTGGTGGTGAGGCACAATTTGGCCGTGCACGTCGGCATATTTGCGATAGAATCATGTGCCTACCAGACGTGGTCCATATCCTGCATGGATACATTGACCAGCAACTGCCTCTGCTCTTTTCTTTTCATTTTACCAAGAAGCGCGGTGCCATCTCACTGACATCTCCTTCAGCTGATTTTTCCATAACAATGCGACGCGATGAGGACACAGTTACCCTCAAGCGGGAGCTCGTTGAAATGCTAACTGAGCGGCGAACGCGCGACGTTCGCAGAAAGCCTCCGCCGACGACGCGGACAGAAGACCTTGGAGAGAGCTCTTTCGGGGTCTCGTCCTTTCGGGATGCAGATGCAGCCTTTTATCAGATGTCACCTCGTACTATTTCGCCGGCTGATGGCAGCTTTGCACTGGGCGGAGAGGGTGAAATCGACGCCTCACAGCGTTCGCACATCTCGCTGTTATGTAAATTTGTGGTGCCAGCACAGCTGGACCGGTTCCAGGCGCGACGGTTTGTCGCCGCCATCGGGGGCATACCACCTGGGAAAACTGCAACTACAACACAGCCATTGGCAATTAGTCCTGTGCCGGGGGGGATGCCAGCAGCCGGATCTTCGAGCCTCACGTCGCTGCGGCCGCTTCCTTGTGCCGCCATGCAGCCGGTGCAGCTAAGAGTCCTTGGTCTTGCCCCCTGTAGCTCAGAAGCGTCAACCCTTAGCCCTGATTCCAAGCTTGTTACCCCGGCACCAGAGGTGGTGGCATCATCGGAAATGATACCGCTTTCTGGCCTGCATTTGTCAGCAACAGATGCAGTGGCATATGGAGATGGCTTCCCCTTGACGTCTGTTGACTTTTTTCCTGGCATGGCGTGGCAGGGAGAGTATGGCATTACATGGATCGCTGTTGGCGGAAATGGAGCACCCACGGTTTCAAAATTCACCGTTTATTTGTGGGCGCTTTTTCTCTGTTTTGATTCTATGGCGATGGGATACCGTATTGCAAGCGCACCAGTCCTCATCAATGCTGTGTCTCTGGGAAGCGGGGTAGATGCAGATGATGGGCGCGAATCAAGTAGCGAAGATCTCACCGATAGCGATGATGGTCGGGGAACTGTTGTCGCTGTCAAGTGGTGCCCTTTTCTCTTTACAACAGGGGCAACGACAGCTCCTGCCATGGGCACCATGCTAGCATCTCAAGATACCCGAGCACTTATGGCGGTGCTCGATGCTGTTGGCGCCATATTTGTGTTTTGCCTTGGTATGAGGAGCATGCTTATTTTGGTAGATACAGCTGTAGCTTTGATGGAAGAAGGCGGTGCGCTTCCCACGCCAGGGACCTCAGACTCTGGAAATCTGTTGACTCAAGCACCTCTTTGCAGGCTTGCAATTCCCTCCTATGCGATTACGTGCTTCAGTTGGTGCAAGATCCCTGGGCAGCCTCTGCGCATAGTAGCCGGCACTCGTGAAGGCTACATCGCCCTATTTGATCTTTCATCGCTGCGCGAGCCCGTACTGGTGTTGATGAGTCCCGGACATCCAACACTGATTTCTGCTATCGACTGGTCCATGAGCGATCCGAACAAAGTAATCACAGCTTCTTTTGACAACACCGTTGTGCTCTGGCTGTTGGATAACATGTATGCACGGACGACATTACTGCAGTCACGACTCCCGTTTCTCAATGCCAGCTGGATGCACTCTGCCCATCAAGCGGTTGGATACCAGGAAAAAGAGACTCCGACGGGATCGCTGGCGTGGGATCCTGTTGGTGCCGTCATTGCAGTAGACGAATCAAACCTCGCCAAAATTGTATTATTGCCAGAACCGGGCCGCGTCATTACCCTCGCCTCATCCACCCCGCGTATGGTATGTCCGAATTGCAATAATTCTTTCTGCTTTTGCTTTCTTTTTTCTCTTTTTATGCTTTCTTTAGTGGGTGGGCGTTTATCCAAATTCCCGGTTTGGCGGCACATTGCTTGCAATGGCAAATTGGAATGGCAAGGTAGAGCTGTTTGGCACGCCAGATCCGCGCTCCAAGAAGGGCGATTCGTCGAATATCGCCTCATGGTCATATAATAGAGAAACCCGTGCTTTCAGTGTATATTTACCACCGGTTGCAGATGACGATATCATTGCCAGCAGTGTTGGGATGAATGATCCCATGGAATGGGTTCAGGTTTCGTGGCATCCAATACCTATTGGGCTCTTTGCTGTCGTCGCTGCCACAGGTCTTGTACACATCCACTGTTCCTAGTAGATAAACAAATACTTAATCAGCCAGTAGATAAACCAGTACTATCGATAAGCGGGGTTGGCTCCCAAACCACCTCGCCGCTACTGTACCTTGTACGATTGGTGCTGCTACTTTTGCCAACTTCTACATTGTGATCTAGGCGCAATTATTTATTCTGTATAAAAGTTCCTATGATAGGATCAGTGGGGTGTGTGCAGTCTCATTCGAAGCTCCCATTCCTAGCAGCATTGCGGAGAGCATCATCGGTGATGAGGAGGGGTGAAAAAGATCGCCATCCTTGAACAAAGGGATCCTAATATCCTTATCTGCATCAACAGGGCTAGTGGGCGGTTCTTTTTTAATTAGAGGGCCAAAGAGATCCTCAGATATGTGGCTTGATACTGGGGAAACGCGCATCGGCTTTTTCACAAACGTACTTCCAGCTGCCTCTGGCGCAGACAGGGAAGATAGGAGCATGTCAAATATTGCTGCGTCATCTATCAGCGGGGAATGAGTGTCTTCAATCGGTGCAACGCTCAAAAGCGCATCGAAAAGACCTCCTATTGCCCGCTCCAACTCTTTGGGATTTTCATCCGGAAGCTTTGGAGACTTGGAAACGTGCATAGGTTCCGAAGGCTTAGTATTATGCCCATTACCGTGCCATTCATCCACATTAAGCGTCTCAACCATTTTAGGACGCTCTTCAGCGCAAAGACGCTCGCACTCTTCATCCCACGTACTATGTGCAGCCAGATGCGAAATGGGGAATTTGAGCGTCGACGTACGCACATCATTGGTTAATTTGTTGATTCTTCTTACTGTACAAACACAAATATGGGGTGCTACTACCGTGCTAGATGATGGCGATGATGCCATCGGTGCCGCAGCAGTGCCAGAAATGCCATTTTCATGCCTAGGCTGGTGTTTAATTGAATGCGTCTGCATTCCAGATGGAACGACAACATTTGGTGGATGTGTGCTCTTAATCCCATAATGAAGGGCAAACGGAAGCAACGTCAGCGCTAAAAGGGCAAGTAGCCATGTCAGGACATTGTTCCACGCGCTTTTCTCGCGCTCAAGGTCATTCTGCTGCAGCAAAAAATGATCCTCCTCCCGTTGGTTAAGAAGCTGAGCATACTTTGCCTTCTTTTGATCCTGAAGCGGGTTCGTTATTGTCTTCTTTGGTGCGGATAGGATGGGCGGTGGTGGTGGTGAAATATATGTTACTTCGGACTTTGCCAATGGATTTGCCGGTTGAGTAAGCAACGAAGTCATAAAGATTGATGATCCCAGGGCATCTGTACATATTTGTATCAGAATGGGTATGGTACAATTGGTTCATCTGATAAACCAATAGTCGAGACAGTATAGAAATTCATCCAATAAAATAAATCGATTAAATTTACACATCCTTGTGAACCCGGTCAATTTAATCTTGTTATACATAATATAATAAATGATTTAGTAACTTTGAATCAGTCAGCATGACCGAGTGGTTAAGGTGTTAGACTTGAAATCTAATGGGCTCTGCCCGCGTAGGTTCAAACCCTGCTGCTGACGTTTTTTGATTAATTTTACAATTTGACAAATGAATGGGCATATCCCGTAAAAATATCTATTGCAGCCTCCGGGATAATTTTCTTCTTTTCGCACCAGGCTGACGGATCAGTTCCGCAGTTTCCATGCTCATTCCACCCCCAGCTCCATACCTCTCCATTTCTAAGTAATACCATTATGTGTTCTGATCCGGTGATAAACTACCAAACATTAGCCACATGGGGTACCTTTGCGATTTCTGAAGCGGCAAACGGGAGGTCGTCAATGGTGGCTGGACTGACGCTCAGAGTTGAAGGATGGCTGCTTGAAATTTGAGAAAAGTTATTGCGTCCCCATCCAAAAAGCTTATTCCGCGTCACCATGAAAAAGGAATGCCATGTCGAGTGCAGTGAATGCGATGAATCAACGGGGCCATTCGAAACCTTGAACAGGGGGGAAAATCCACCTTCATGTTTCGAGTTCACATAAACGGTACCAGATGCACCAAGAGCCACCGTAACCTTGATCCCTGCAGCCATGTCAATGATGCATGTTTCCGGGAATTCCAGGAGGATTGGCTGAGTAATGCCTGTGTTTCTTCCGAACAACATCTTTTTTCCATCTCCCCAACCGTAGAGTTTTTGTCCGTGTGTTAGAGCAAGGACGTGGTACAGTCCAGCTGAAAGCTTGCAAATCGATTCCATTGCAGGCTCGATCTTTTCAAAGGAGAAATAGGGCCTTTGCGACTCCAGCAATATGGTTCCTTTTCTGTTTGAGCCGGCGACCCAAAGACAATTCTCCTTTGATAATACGATGCTGAAATCCCATCCACACACCACAGCCTGGATCGAAACCGTTTTTGGGAGTTGGAAAATGTGTGTAAATGTATGAACACGGTCTATGCTCTGCGGAAGACCCAATTGGCCTGAACAATTGAGGCCAGCGCCCCAGACGCTATTATCTTCCATAATAGCAAGGGTATGATTTGGGCCGCCCGCCATTATGTAAGGGTCTGGAATGGGGATCACCGTGCTCGAATACCGGTCTTCGAAATCGTGGACGCCCAGCTGCCCGTTTCCATTAGAACCCTTGAATTAGGGAATTACGGCTTACAAATCCGAAAATCGCCATTGAGCCTTTAAATTTAAATTTGCTTTTAAAATATAAAAATAGGCGTTTTAATGGCGCAACCCAACCCTAATGTCATTTATTTTACAGATTGCATTGAATCGTGATGGCTCGTCCCACTTTCAACTATGATTCCGAGGGCACTAGCTTTGCACACTTTCTGTTTATCATTCATGGCTTTTTCCTTTTTGTCTTTTTTGTATATTTCATTTTGTCATTGATTAAAGGTACGTGTCCTGCTTGTACCTTCTAGAAAAAAGGAAGATCTCAGTTGCTCTTGCACAGGCTTGTCCTTGTGAAGCCTGTCATCGAAAAAGCACCGCAATCAAGGCCCAGGAGCGTCCGATTTTAAGTTTAAAATCGTATTTGAATGATTTTCTTTCTCAATAGGACATGGATTCTTATTGTTGGGGTCCTGCTTTTCATAATGATTGGCTGGTCAGTGTGGCAATCCCGTCACTCTTTCCCGGTGGGATACGATCCATATGCCGTGCTCGGTCTTTCTTCCAAGGCCACTGATACTGAGGTCAAAAAAGCATATAAGCGACTTACGCTGGTGCATCACCCAGATAAAGTCTCTTTCGAGATGAGGGAACAAGCCCAAGAAAAATTCATTGAAATCAATAAGGCATACAAGGTTTTGACAGATGAAGAAACGCGCCGTCTTTTTGATGAGACAGGAAATGCCGATGGCATCCGGAATATGACGGTCGGGATTGCGCTCCCCGCTTGGATGATTTCTCGTTCAAATGTTTTTTGGATGCTTGCGGCCTATGGGCTTGCCTTTGGAATTCTGTTACCATACGCCATTGGTCGCTGGTGGAATTACTCGAAGCTCTACACAAAGCATAAAGTCCGTTTTGCGACGATGTCGCTCTTCTATCGTGAGCTGCGAGACGACACCGCCCTTATTAAGGGCGTCGGTGGTATGGCAATGTGTTACTTATTGTAGCCCTTCCCAATATCATATGCCGTGCTTTTGAATTCAAAGAAGAATCCCAGATCATCAAGCAGCTCCAGCAAGACGACGAAAATGTTTGGGTTTTTACTTTCTCCCCTGTAGAGCCTGATTGATGCATTGAAGGCAGTTCCGGAATTTCAATTTATGGAAACAGATCCAGAAAATCTCTTTCCCGCGTCAATAGCCAAAAATGATGTCGCAAGAAGAACCCTGCTGCTTTTATGGTGCCATCTGTACAGAGCCACCATTCCAAACTCGATGACCAAAGGTAGAAATCCTGTTGTTGTTACTTGATAGCTCAACAATTTGTTGTGGAGAAATCATTTCACCTCGTTGGAGGGCTCTTCCAAATCGCAACTGCAAGAAGCTGGGTCTCCACCTCCTTCAACATCATCACGTTTGGACAAGTAACTTTATCGCGGTGATCTCTAGATGCTTGTGCAAGCCATTGCAGATCCAACACTTGGGCTTCTTCAGTTTCCAGGGTTTACCCCTGATTCGATCAAACAGCTTCGTCAAAAGAGGGTTAGCAACTGATTTTTATTTTAGCCGTCCATTAAGATGCCGTGGGATCTAAAGGAGCTTCCTGTAGATGAGCTAAGGTATTCATGGCATGTTTAGGGTTAGGGAGCTTGCGGCAGATCCATTGCTGCAAGAAGAGCTGATTGTGACCGTTACCAGGTATCCTCGGGTGATTCTGGTAAAGCCCCAATTCAAAGGTGCCACATTTTAAAGCACTAATTTTTCAGTACTGGAACACGATGATATTCCTGCCGGTGCGTTGGTGACTGCCTTTTTCTTCATTACACTTGCGATGAGCCCAGAGGAAGAGCGCCAGGCTAAGAAGCTTTCGCTTTTGAGTGACGAGGAATGCGAAGCAAATATTGCCACAATTCCGTCCAGTGGAAACGGTAGCATGCCGGCGGTGCATGCGCCGCGCTTCCCCGGCATCAAGTTTCCGGCGTGGTGGGCCCTGCTCTCTCAAAGCAGAACCGGCACGTTGCAGTGCTCGCCTGTGAAAATCACATCGATTCCTCGGATCGCGGACCTTTTGAAGGAAAATCAGCCCCTTAAACCCTCGCTGGTGCTGCAGTTTAACGCGCCCACACAGCCGGGATCATTTGCGCTCAGTCTTGAGCTGAAGTGTGACTCTTTTTTGAACACGGATTTCCACTGCGACATCAAAATCAATGTAGCTCCGGCGACCTCGCCTCGCCATGATCGCATCCAAAGAAAAGGCTTCGTACAAAGCTCGGATTCCGAATAAACTATGCGGACTTTTACATGTGGCGGTGCGATTTGCTCCCATGTTCTGATGACAGCTAACTTTGTGTGCACACGTTATATTGCCCCCTTGAAGTCTTGAGTAGTGGTACACGTTTACGGGGCTTGGAGTTGGGCTTGTTTTCGGCAACTGCCACCTTGGCCGGGTGGCCACATGGCACATTTAAACCGATGCGGGTCTAAAAGTACGGCACGCCAAACACCCGATTTGATATCAAAAACACATGGATGCACGATCCACAGTGCCTGTCGTCGTGGTCACGGTTTCTAAGTATGCCGTTACTTTGTACAAGGTGGTGCGACAGTTAGAAGCCATCGGTCCGGATCAACAAAGATCCCACGTTTCGTTGGAAAATAGTGCAACGTCCTAAATTCTAGCTAACAGTGGGACGCCTCGCAAAGATCTTTTTTCAATAGATGCCGACAATCGCAGCTGGGCACCAAAAAGCAAGGATCAACCAAACCATTGAAGCTCTTTACGGGCTTCAAAATGCAGTTGGCACCATCCACACACCCTCCCATTTGGGCATAAAGCTTTGGTTTGAGCAATCAAATTCAACCCTAAAAATTCATTCTGGTCAACTATTAATCCCAAATAGGAAAATCTTCTGCCTGATGCATGACGTTGATCTTTGATCTATGCTTTACGTTTGGGCTAATTTGAATTTACCGGGTTCAGCTCAACTCCTGATTCCATCAGTCGCTAAATGCTTTGCTCCCCCCTATCTGTTCCCTTCGGTTGGAAGCATTTAAAGGAGCCGCAAGACACGGCCCCTGTGTCCATTTTTACGAGCCCCTTTTATAACTATGCGTTGGAGAATGATTTTCTGGTGTTCAAAATCGAGAGGGTTTCATTTTCAAACCAGGCACCGCTTGCTTCAAAGGAGGTCTCCTTGATGGAGTTTTACGCGGTTTGGCTTGGCGTTTTTTATTGCAGTATTTTTCGATCAAAATCAAAGACTCGCCATATTCCGACATTCAGATTTGCAAGAAGCTTTCCGAGGTGCAGCTTTTTTTTGAGGAGGTAACAAAGCCACATTGTATTTTTGCAAGGTTTCGCTGTGCTGCCATTGGGACGAGGTCCCGATATCATTTTTCAAGCAAATCTCATATTCATACTCGGCCTTGTACAAGAAGGCACTTGCCAAAAGATCGCAATCGAACCGCATCTACAACTCCATTCTTTCGTACGTAAAGCCAATGCTTGGTCACCCCACGGATAAGGGGTCTCTTGCCCTCATCTTGTTCTGGGAAGAAGTTCTTTCTTTTCTGATCGACTTTTTCAAATATGTGATCATTGCCTCTTGTATGTGGGAATCCACGCTTTTCATGACTTTTTTCCAAATCGAGTCTTTGAATTGGGCTTACAAATTTGCGTGCGAGAGATACATTTTGCTGAAGGTTATCGGAAAGGGATCAATTGGGAAGGTCTTCCTGTCCTGGGACACCTCAACGTCTACTTTAGTCGCCATTAAATCCACACACAAACGCTCAATTAAGAATTTTAAAGAATTGGAGCACTCCCATTCGGAAAGGCAAATCCTTGTTGAGTGCTCGAAAAATGAAAATTTATTTGTTATTCAGCTGCTTTCGTCGTTCCAAAACAGCACAGAGCTGTTTTATGTTTTCCCGTATTATTCTGGCGGCGATCTTGCCACGCTTTTGTCCAAAAATAGGCTTCTACCAGAAAATATGGTCAAGTTTTTTGCTGCCCAAATTGTTCTGGGGCTGGAATATCTCCACTCAAAGCGAATCATTTATCGCGATTTGAAGCCCGAAAACATCTTATTGGACGACAAGGGTAGCGGTTTCCATTTGTCTATTTGCTTTAGGATTTCTTGTGCTCGCCGACTTTGGGCTATCCAAGGCCGTTGACTCTTATTCGCTGACGGACACCTTTTGCGGAACATATGACTATTTGGCTCCAGAAATCCTTCAAGGAACCCCATACAACCACGCCATTGATATTTGGAGCTTGGGGATCGTTATTTACGAGATGTTTGTTGGAATGCCGCTTTTCTGGCAGAACGACGTCTCCAAAATGTGTCATAATATTATTTATTTACCATTGGATCTGTCCAGCCGGAGCTTGACTAGCTCTGCCCGCTCGCTTTGCTTGGGACTGCTCAATCGAAAGCAAAGCCAGCGGCTTTCTATCTCTGACATTAAGCAGCATCCTTTTTTTGAGCAGGTTGATTGGAAGAAATTAGCCACAAGGCAGGTCATTCCTCTGTTCGAGCCGCAAAAGGTATGATCCTTTTGGCGATACCCCCATATTTAGGATCCATATTTCGAATGCATCAACTTTGATCCAATCTTCACCACGCTTCCTGTTGCCATTTCCCCGCCCTCTGATAGCTACTCAGCAATTGGGGTACATTTGGAAGGATTTTCGTTTGACAACCAAACATGCCAATAAAAGAATTGCCGGTTACCACTGCATCTTGTCCTAAAAGCGTGTTTAGCGCTAGCCTCAGTTAGTCCGACACAATGGTATTGCACTGTGTGGGTAAGAGCAAAGAGGCGGCCAGAAAGAGGGGCACAGCGAAGGGGCTATGTTCTTACACATGTGTGCATCAAGATTTTATTGACCGGCTATGGTTCGCACATCTTTGGGGACGGGATCAATCCCAGGTCTGATGGGCTGAGGAACTTGTCAATAAGCGAGAGCACGGTATTTTGCAGCTTCAAATCCCACGAACTCTTTTGAGTTGCGACGTAAGAAACTGGACCCAATTGGCTGTAAAACTTCAATTTCGGCTCCGTTCCAGAGGCCCTGAAACAAATCGTAATCGAGGCTGGCTCTTTGATGGTGACGGAAAAAGTGCTTTTTGCCGAATTGTCTTCAACTGATGCAATTTTGACGCCATCAAAAATCACGGCACCCGCTTTTACCTTTTCGGAAAGCGCTGAAAACGCTGCTGGGATCTGCAAAAGAGAATTCGGAGCCAAATAGTAATGGTTGAAAACAGAAATGTAGCCGTGTTTTTGATAAATCGCGTCGAGCCTTTGAGAAAAAGTCTGCGGGTAGCTTTTCAGCAGGCATTCATAAGCGCAGAAATGCCGTCCTTGTCCATCACATTTGTCGTACACATATAGCCAAGCGCCTCTTCGTAAGCAAGCGCAACATTATATCCCTGGTTCATTAGCCTCTGCGCCGAATGTACGATGTTTTTGAACCCAGTTAGACACTGGGCATATTTAAACTTGCGGTGGGCATACTCAGCACTCCAATTAGAAGCCATTTTGCCCAACAGTGAACTGGAGACCACAGTATTCAAAACGGCAATGTTCGGTGTTTCCCTGAACAAGCCCTCCTCCACCAAATATGAGGCTAGGATGATCCCAACTTCGTCTCCAGTAAAGATCCTCCATTTCCCATCAGAAAGCTCCTCGGCAAGTGAAAAGCGATCGGCATCTGGGTCATTAGAAAAGATAACCGTAGCACCAACATCCTTGGCGGTTTTAAAGGCCTCATCAAAAGCGCCTGCTTCTTCGGGGTTGGGCTTGGGTGCTGTTGGAAACTCTGGGTCCGGATCGACCTGAGATTTTACCGGAAATAACTCTGGAAAGCCACAGGCTTTCACAGATGCTTTGACAGTTTGATAGCCAACTCCATGCATTGCTGTATACACGACACGGGGAACCGATTTTGGCGCCGTTTTGACGGAAAGAATGGATGTAATTGAAGACAAGTAGGCACAGAGCGTGTCAGGAACAAAAGTCTTGTCAAGCGCGCTTGGCAACGCAGACCAGGGCTCCAGATTCGCCTGGATGGAGCATAAGATATTGGCATCATGGGGGGCCAGAATCTGGGCTCCATTCGACCAATAGACCTTGTAGCCATTGTCGGACTTTGGATTGTGCGATGCGGTTATCATGACTCCAATATCGGCCTTTAGCTGCAGCACAGAAAAGGCCAGAAGGGGTGTTGGAATGATGTCTGGGAACAAAAATACCTTGAACCCCTTCTTTAAAAAGGCCTCGGTTGTGATTCGAGAAAAGGTTTTCGAATTTGCCCGATGGTCGTATCCAATCACTGCAACCGGCTCTTCCTTTGCTGTGTGCTTCTTGACATAAGAGGCAAGGCCTTGCGATGTCTGCATAACCGTAAGATCGTTCATGCGTGCAAAGCCAGCGCCCATTTCTGCACGCAGTCCGGCAGTGCCAAATGAAATGCGGGGGCGCATCAGAGATTCCAGAACATCCCAGCTATTTTTTTCCTTCAATCCAGCTATGAATGCCCTGGTGTTGGTATTAGAATCGTATTCAATCCAGCGATCGATTAAAATGGCGAGCTCCTTGTCGGGAATGCAAAGAGTCATCAATGTATTCGTTATGATGTGAAATGATAAATTGCCTCAATTACTCATCACGAATTTGATATTCACAATTGGACCCGAAAATTAAATTACAATTTATTGGCACGGCCCTCCAATATGCTATCAATGCAGGGATAAACGATCAATCGGCGAGCGACTGGCCCCAGATCAACTATTTGGTTTTTGGTCGAGTTGATAACAGCCAGGGTCTCCAAATAAGATGTCTGAATGCCCTCCTCCATCTATAGAATTAGTGTTAGAAATAGAACCCTATACGACATCGGCCCAATCGAAAGCGTAAGCTTGCCAGAGCGATGGATTTGCACTTTTCCGATCTTGCCATCGATCGAGGGCTGTTTCAGCAACGCAGAGTATGCGCTTTTTTCAATATCTTCAAAGCCAGGGTGCAATTGTGCAGGTGTTGTCATCTTGACTGCGGCTAGCCTTTGAGCCAAAAACCACGGTTCGATACATGGCACCAGCGAAGGAAGTTGAAGCAAAAATAAGGAATCCTGAGGGAGACTAAGCGAAGGCGTATTTCTCTCTTCAATTTTGGATGCTGCATTAAGGTGCTGCAGCTCTGCCAGTTCTGACGAGCTTTCTTTGTTTTCTTCTTTAATGGACATAGATGTTGCAGATGAGAGCCCATAATTGAGGGCTCCTCCTGCGGGTATCCTCGATTGTGCTCTAGAAATGGCAGAAGGTCCAAGAGAAAATGGACCGGAAATGGGAGCCTCATCTGCAGGGCTTGACCTTGCTTTTGTGTCCTTTTTTGGCCTCCCTGCATTTGAATTATTCTTTCTTTGCATCTTTTCGGCTGCCAGCTTGGAGGAGGAGGAAGAAGATAAAGGTGAAGCGGCAATATCGGCCTCTGCTTTCTGCCTTCCCTGCGGAATGACAGGCGAAAATCTTGTCTACAAACACGATGAGAAACCATTTCTGGGTTACCTTTTGGACACCCCCAAGCGTCACAGATTTACGATCAGACGGCGGTGTAGGCGACATTAAAATTTAAACTGCAATTTGTACATTTAATTTTTCGACAATGTCTACTGAACCCACGTCCACAGAGCCCGCTACAGCTGATGCTCGCCCGGTCACAGACCCGTCAGCACCTGCAACTAAGAATGCCGAGTCTGCGTGTACGTACTCGGTTCTTCTGCCCACATATAATGAGGTCGAAAATTTACCGATTGTCGTTTTTTTGCTTGTCGAGGAGTTTGAAAAGCAGTTTGGGTGCATCCACTTTTTCATTCCCTAGCAATATCGATTTCGAAATCGTTATCATTGACGATTCTAGCCCAGATGGCACATTTGATGTTGCCAAAAAGCTTCAAAAGCTTTATGGCGAATCTCGGATCATTACCAAATCAAGACCTGGAAAATTAGGACTTGGTACCATTCGTATCTTTTATCCGTGCTAGGATCTGCATATATTTACGGGCTGACCTTTTGCAAGGGCGATTTTACAATCATTATGGATGCAGACCTCTCGCATCATGTATTGATACGATTTCCTACAATCACCAATAGCCGTCTGCAATTCCAGAGATGATCGCCATGCAGCGGGGCAAAGATTACGATATTATTACTGGAACAAGGTATGCAAATTGTCGCCTAAAGACAGATATGCAGAAGGGGGATCCATCGAGGGTTGGAATATGCGAAGAATCTTGACTTCGCACGTAGCAAATTTTCTCTCCATAACGCTTTTGAATCCAGGACATGGGCTAACCGACCTAACCGGATCCTTTAGACTGTATAGAACGGAGGTGCTCAGATCGCTAGTTTCCTCGTGCACATCCTTTGGATATGTATTCCAGATGGAGATTATCGTGCGAGCGGCTGCAAAGAGAAAGCTGAAAATCGGACAACTGCCAATTTGCTTTGTAGACCGTCTTTTGGGAACGTCCAAATTGGGACCTGGCGAAATTTTTCAATTCCTAAAGGGAGTCCTTCATCTGCTTTTTGCCGATTTAGAAGGAAAATAAAAATAAAAATAAAAAGGCAGTGCAATTAAAATAGTTTAAAAGCAACCTGGAAACCGTACAAGAAGGCGCTGCTTTTCAGAGCCGTTGTCTATTGCAGTACTGCATCGTGTAAATTGGATTTCCATTTTAACAAAAAGTTTAAATATTAAAATTGGCCCTTGCAACTTTTTTATTCAATGGACAGAATGAATAATGCCGCTGAGGCATACCGACGTATATCGGCCTCTGCGCAATATCGACACACATCGACCTCATCAGATTCTGACAGCAGCAGCGAAAATGGCTGTTCAAACATGGAAGACCACAGCTACCAAACCATAAACAACCGGTATCCCCCAGGGGCATTTGAAAATGCAACTTCAACCTCCAATAATTACGAGCTAGAGGATGTTAGAGATTGGTTTCGCCAGATGAAAGTGAATTTCAATCGCCAATGAAGCAATTCATTGGCTAAGAAAGTTTGTAAATTATCACCAGCTAATAAATCGAACATCATGACGTGCAAATCGCACTTTCGAGACTGCAAAAATCACTACTTACCGAAAGGTTTAACTGCATTTATTGCTTTTATAGCGGGTATGCCAATTAATAAGGAAGTGTTGTTTCATTTTAAGGTTTCGCTCAATATATCAAAAAATAAATGAAAAAATCCACGAAAAAACCCATAAAACAAGAAAAAAAAGTCTGGAGAAAATCACCAAGAATATCAAGTACAACATCGTTAGGATCAAGAAATTAACTCTGTCGCCTCTATCGGGATCCTTAAAACGGATTCTATAATGATCACGGATATAAAAAGATATCAAAGATGAAAAACAGATCAACATAAACAATCCATAAGCATATCTCTGAACTGATGGGCTGAATTGCCTGAAAACATACCAAGGAGTCTCTTCAGGTATGTTTTTACGCCTTTGGTGTCTGATAAGCAATATGACACTAGCTCCAGCAGAGAGGAAAGCAATCATAATATCACTCGTGCATACCTTGGCACTGATGGCCAGGAGGTCATAAATTACTTTCGAAGACATGTAAATCCTGGTCATGGAAGAATTTGCAGGGCATGCATGCGAAGTCTCTATAGATGCCAAAGAGGAGGCTAAAGTTTCAAAACGGGGGTGTGAAGATACCAACGACGGCTCTAGAGATGTGTCTTTGCGGATTGCTGGCGCCGTCGACACGGATGTGCCTCTTAACATGCCAAAATAAACAATCATAGCCGCAATACAAACGGATAACACCGCCATACATCCGTATTTGACGAGTGAAGAAGATGTTTGCATCGTCGACCGAATTTCGTTTAATCAACTGGAATAAAATTCGGGTCTGGTTGGTGCAAGCGACCCGTTTTAATGAACACAAATCGCATTCAAATCTGATTGGTTCACATGGCTTTTTTGATGAATTCATACCATTGGATTTAGGGTTAGGGTTTGAAGCAAATGTATCAGTCAAAAAGCATATGACACGCATGTCTCAAAGCAAGGAGGGCACACCTCAATGTGCGATTTCATTGCATCCAGAATGCCAATTTCAATGTATTTTTGCAGCAAGGCTTAGTGATAGCATGTTTCTCGACGATACGCGTCTCAATAGCCTGTTTATTTATCGGATAGCTTTCTGTGTTGACCAGAAGAATGGCCACTAAATGGTCTCCTAAAAAGACGTTTCCAGCAAATTAAATTGCCGATCGGTTTATTGGCTTTTTCTGGTAAATAAACTCAGCTCTTAAAGACGATTCTGGTCTGTTAATAGCATATTCAAGTGCCCTGTGGGGTGTGCTTGCTTTTTGGTTGTAAATACGCCGGACTCGTCAAATTTTAGACAATGCCATGCTATCAGATGCGTGTCGGCTATTTGCAAGTGCTTTGACGCCGATCAAGGTGCATATGCATGGTGCAAGCGCTTTATTATTAAAATTACAATAGCGGTATCAAGTCTCACCATGCTCCATACCGACCGTTATACTTGAACCTGCTCCAGAAAGCATTTGTCTGTTCATCACAATTTGCCATCTCCCATATCTTCATGGCTTCCGGCATTTTTTCTTCAAGATTGTCGCTTCTTTTTCCGTGAGAAGGATGGGTCGACAGAAACTGCTTAATGGTGCCTCCCTTATTTCGGTCCAGTCCTTCATGGAGACCGCCGGTTGCAGCCTTATCCATCCTGTGCCAAAACGAGATGGCCTGTTGTGGGTTATAACAAGCTGCCGCCATGAGCAAAAGACCAATATGATCAGCCTCGATTTCGGTTTTTCTGGAGTTGGGAAGTAGGATACCAATTTTCATCAGCAAATCATTAATGGATCTGATAAGTGAATCTATCGGTGGAAATGGGGCAAAAAGTACCTCCGCCAATTGCAATTTGACCAAGGATGCCAAAGTACAAAAGAATGGCATACAAAGACATACGCTCCCCGTGATGTCTCAACAGCTTGTGAGCGATCTACGTATGACAACACACCAGCTTACCTCGTGGCTTAGAACCGTGGCAAGCCCCGCCTCTTCGTGTGCGATAGGGAGGATCCCGGAAAAAACGAATATCGATCCATCTGAAACACAGAGTTGTTCACTCAAAAGGTACCTGGAAGGACGGACGCGTTTACCATCGACGATTTGATGACTCGTATTGGAAACGACTTGAGAACAGCTTCAAAGGATGCATTTGGAGGAAATAATTCCGGAAATACAGTAAGAGCGGCCAATAGGATTCTTCTGGTCACCCTGTGCACAAGGACCACGCTGGGATCGTTGGGTGGAAGTAAAAGAGATGCATTTTGCCGACAAAGGCTTTCGGCCGTCATAGACCCGAGCGTTGCCTCTTGCTGTGTGTTGACAAGCATCAGCCTCCAACGCTGCGTGATCGGAGCCTTTTCAAGGTTGGGAAGAATGACACCCCCTATTAAAAGGGCACTGGCACCAGCGACGGCAAGCCACAGCCGCTTTCGAAGCAGTTTGGTGCTATTGACCCCACCTGGGATGTTGCCCTGCGGACCAAATGCGGTACCCCTCTTGAACGGAGAATCTCCAGGAAATCTTGGTGCAATTCTCTGTGGACCCGTGCGAATGCCATATCTGGGCGAAGATAAGGTAATGAGATTTGCATTCAATCTCAATGCCGGCAATGCTCTCATTGCAAATGCCAAATTTTAAATTTTAATTACCAAGCAGGGCACTTGGCTCAGCACCAACCCTAAATTTAGCAAGTTAATCTCTTTATTTGAAGCATGGACCAGGCGGCGGACACCTCCTCGGTGCGCTTCTGTGCCGAGTGCAACAATATGCTGTATCCACGCGAAGACCGCTCCGCACGGCAGCTGCTTTTCTTTTGCAAGAATTGCGACCATCAAGAGCCGGCAGTTGGGCATATTGTCTCCCGAAACGATATCCTATTCAAGGGCCAAAGCAAGCAAAGGGGGCGTGTTGACCTTGCTTCGGATCCTACACTTCCACGCACATCAAGGGTAAAATGCCCGCGTTGCACACACCATCAAGCCGTTTTCTTCCACGAGCGGGAGCGATATGCAGATGCCCCGTCTCTCACACTCAGCTTTGTTTGTTGTAACATCAGCTGTAACTTCCAATGGAAGGATGTTTCCGCTACTGTCTAGTCTCAATAAACTTTTAAATAGCACCGCTTGATCTTTTCAAAGTAAATGTAGCTTCAAAGAAGGATGCAAATAGAAAGCCGATAGACCTTCCACACGGTCGTAAAATATCTCCAATCCATGGGGTGCCGTGTCGTGAATTCGATTGTTTATTGAGGTGCTGCAGTCATGCGCAGCTTGATACGAGGGGACGTCGGGCGAGTTGTGTTTTTTTTTTGGTTCTTCGAATTGCCACCTTTGGCATTGTTTGCAGTGGTGCCACCGGTAGAGGCTCCTCGTGGCGTAGCGTGTCTGGATGAGGTAGCCCCGCGTCGAATTGGAGCAGCCACCTCTGCTTCAACTTCAGCTTCAGCCTCAAACTCGTCGTCATCGTCAACAACTTGGCCACGCCGCTTGCCAATGCGCTTTTGAGAAGCCCGTTGCTCGCTACGGTCGCTCTTTTTGGACGAATGGTTATCTTCCCACAGCTCTTCTTCATCCTCGTCTTCCTCATTTGCCGCAAAAAGGAACCCATCGGGAGTCTTTCGTGGCCTCGAGGGCGGGAGGGCAATATCAAATTGGTTGAATTTACTTGCGGAGCTATCCTCCTTTCTTCCGATCTTTTCAAGTATACGCGTCTCAATTCCATCGCCAACATGAGCAACGAGTGTTCTAAACCGCTGCTCGAGTTTCCGCTCATCTAGGTGTTCCTCGTCATTTGGGGGGAAAAGTCGCCGATCAGAAAAAAGATCTGCAAAGGACGTGCCCAGGCCATTAATCCACACCGTCAACAGAAATGTCGCATCATGCAGCGGCACCTGCCACCATGTGGGCAATGTACCATCATTGCTGGCTTCGTCGACACCGGCCGGCCAGTCGTACGACGCGAGTGCTGCAGAAAAGGTCGCCAAGGCTTTTGCAGAAGGAGCCTTGGAGCGCAATCCGGACGACGAAGTGCTAACTCCCAGGAATGTGAACGCAGCCCCAGCATCCGCATCTAACCATGCACTGCCGCGCAAATTTGCGGTCTTTTTTCCTTTCCGAGGGACCGAGAGGAAAAGCTGGTCAATAACCCTGCCAAGTAGCCGCATTATGGAGGCACGGATAAGAAGAACCTCGAAAAGCGACGTGCTACTCCCAACCAGATCAAGAATTGCTCGACATTCGACATCAACCGCTGCGTCTATGCATGAGCTGTCCGTGTCATCTTCCTCTGCTATCTCTTCATCGTCTATCAATAAAAGAAGCGAAGTAGAGTCGCTCACGAGCGTCTTGTCCACCGCATCAAGGTCCATTTTGAGGATGTGGTCTTCCATCAAAGACTTTGTGATCTTCCGTATCAAAGCAGTCGTATAGCGTCCGTCCATGCTATCGCTAATTAGGCGTGATCGTCCAAATCCAAATCGCAGCAGTGCCTTGAGAATCTTTTCTGCGTCCGAACAGACCCTTTTGGTGTCAGACAAGCCGCCAGGCCCTGTACTTTGGGTCTCAGAATCCAATTCCACGCCCTGCGGGCTTGAAAGAGAGACCACACTAGCACAACCTAAATAAGAGCGCCCCTCCCGAGTGATCCGTTTAAGTTGTCGCTTGAAACGCCGTTGGTCTTCTTCCAAGGGCGAAGTGATGGCATCGGCAAACCGGCGAGACTTGCTTCCATCTGCGCCGCTTGCTGCATCGCCTTCGCGCACATGTCGCGCCCATAGTACCCAGAAATTGGGGTCGTCTACGTCGACACCAAAGTTACTTTTCGAGGGCACAAATGATGCCTTGCTGAAGATAGACGAGCCCTGTTCAGGCGCCATTTCCGCGGATGTCTCTTCATCTGTGTGTGTAATTACACGCGTCCGTCGTTCGAGTATGACGTCGATATCTTCATCTTCTTGCGGGATTTTTCCAATAGCTCCAGGGTCTTCTTCGTCATTGAAGATGGCCCCATACGCGCCCTTGCGAAGAAGGTGCTCGATTTCCTTTCGCGAAAAGGAAGAAAGCCCTCCAGTGGTGGAGATGCCGGCAACCCCAGATACATCACCAGATCCAGTGGCTCCATTCGAAGTGGGGCCTGTTCCCGTTGGTGTGATATCTTTCCCGGGCGCCATTTTCTGTAAAATAGCCCTATCCAGACCCAATTTGCGGCCTGCACGCTCTAACATTTCCTGCTCATATGTTCCTGTGCAGATGAGCCGATAGACTTTCACCTGCCGCGTTTGACCGATGCGATGGCACCGTGCCATCGCCTGTATGTCATTTTGCGGATTCCAGTCGGAATCGAAAATGATGACAGTATCTGCGGCGGTCAAGTTGATTCCCACACCCCCGGCTCTGGTACAAAGAAGAAAAACAAAGGCGTCCCGCTCTTGGTCGCAAAAGCGGTCAATTGCCGCCTGGCGCAAATCTCCGCGTACCCTGCCATCAATGCGCTCCCAGGGATATGAATGGGCCTCCAATAAAGTCTCAATCAGATCCAGCATTCGCGTCATCTGCGAAAAGATCAAAACACGATGCGGTGTTGTATCTTCCCGGAGCTTGCGTAGCAGCTTCTCAACAAGCAGCAGCTTTGAGGAAACGTGTGTCAGCACATAGTGATAGTCGGCTCCCTGAGTGAGGGCATCCTCGGCGCCTTCAATTAGAAATGGATGCATGCAGGTCTTGCGTAGCTCCATCATGGCGTTGGCCAATGAGGACAGTCCGGCGGCGCCTCCACCCCCGCCAGCAAGATATGTCAGGTTGCGTTCCAGAATGGCGCGATAGTACCGCTTTTGTACGGACGAAAGTGCTACCTCAATGATGGTCTCCTCGCGTAGCGGGATCGATGCCTCCACATCTTCTTTCAATCTTCGAAGCATCAGCGGACGCAACATGAGCTGAATTTTAGCGACGTCTTCTGGCCGCTCCATTCGTCCGTACTCTGCCAAAAAGGCTGCCTCGTCTGAAAAGCGCCACGGCTGTATGAACGTCAGTAGCGCAAAGAGCTCTTCGATGGAGTTCTGCAGTGGTGTCCCTGTCAGTAAGATTTTGTGTTCAATGCGAAAGGTGTTCAAAATCTCCGCAATTCTAGACGCGCGGTTTTTTAAACGGTGTGCCTCGTCAAAGATTCCGATCCGAAAAGGAACTGTTCGCAGGTGTGCCTGTCCCAAGACCGCCATCTCATACGAGGCGAGCAGCACGTCAAATTTTGCAATTCCTGGAAGGTTCAGCTGGTTTTTCTCCTCGTCCTTGTACCAAAACTCGTATTCAAAAAGCGCCTCGCGATCGCTTGCACGCCCTTGGTATGTCAGTACAGAAAGAGAAGGTGCCCAGCCGGCGAGCTCGCGCTCCCAGTGTGGGATGCACGATAGCGGGGAGATGACAAGAAAAGGCCCAGGCACCTGACCGAAAGATTCGCTTGAAATGCGAGCCAAAAAGGCAGCAGCTTGGATTGTCTTTCCAAGGCCCATCTCGTCAGCAATGATGCAAGGCTGGCGCTGGCACCAGCAAAACGAGAGCCAATCGACACCTTCTCGCTGGTATGGACGTAACACCCTTTTGGAGCTACCCCAGAGCAACTCGCACTCGGCATCTGTAATAGGGGCATATTGTGGCCTGGGAATGGTGGTATTGGAGCTTTTAACATCCACAAGCATTTTGGATGTCTGTATTTTGCGCTCTGTAGGTTCACGGGCCGACAAAAAGCTATCAATCAACTGGGATGCTCGATCGGGATCCTTTAGCCGAATAGTATCTTCATATTCCCAAGTCGTTACATCATAGGAAAGATTCTTCCACTTGATCAGAAAAGATCTTCGGCCTTCCAATGGGGGAGGGGCTTTAATCGAATTTTTAGATGAGTCTGATGACTCGGTGCTAGCACAATGATCTTCTTCGCTTGGATTGTTATCGCCAGCACCATCACCATCGGCATCAAGGGAATCTTCGTCTTTCTGCTCAATATATAGATCCAAGATCCGATCAATTACAAGGTAGTTTTCATCAAAGTAGGGTGGTGTGAGCGAAAGATTGGCCGGTTTGCCTATAAAGCGGTGATACCGAACGTTCCCGCCATGCTCGGCCAGAATCAGGTCTTTGGTGACCCATTCAAGATGCCAATATGAACGGTTTGTTGCTTTAACCAGAAACAACTGAAGGCCCTCGACTTGATTGCTTTTTGAAAGGGTCCGTTTTGCAGATGGTTCCCTGTCCATGTTTTGTTGCTTGAGCACATTGGAGAGGTCTTTGTTTGCCGTCAATAGCCTCATGCCATCAACTTCATGCTCGGCCCCTGGAGTTATCAGAACATTGGCATCGTTGTGAGAGATAGCATCTTCAATGGAAACTATGCTTCCATTGATCGAGACAGCGACGATCTTTTCGACCAAAGGAAGATAATCGCCACCTTCTAAATCATCTACATCATCATCGGTATCTTCGTGTGAATTGGACGGTGGGCTTTTAGCTTCTGACGCACCGGTGGATTGGGGAGACTCGTTGTGTATCGTATCTGCAGCCTCAACATTTTCATGTTTAAATTTCTTTTTTGTAGCATTGGTTTGAGCGGCAGCAGTCGATTCAAGCTCATAAATTTTGGCTTCTCTATCTTCTTCAGTGGCTTCATTGTCACGATCAAACGAGGAGTAATTGACAGACTTTATATTTGACCTACGGGCCCTATCTTTAACTAATGAGGGGCCGGTAGCATCAAAATTGGCATCAATCAGCCTTTGAGGAGCTTGCGGGATTATTTGAGAAGGGGCGTGTTGTTGATACTGACTTTGTTGCTGAACGCCAGAAACGGGCAGTTGAGGGTTACCATCAAATTGTGCTTGGGGAAGGGTTTGAGGCGCGAGGGGCACAGGGTTATCTAGTCGAAATTGCGGTGGGGATGGTATAATTTGTCCCGTCGTGGTAGAAACCATTACGCCTGAAGGTGTTGTAATGATGGGAATCGGCAGCATTTGGGTGCTTGCGGCCACCTGGCCTTGATTAAATGCAGCATTTGGCGCACTGTTGGATGCAGCCTCGGTGGCAGCAAAAGAAGACGCATTTTCAACTAAAGTTGGTGGCCTTGATGCGGCCAAAGATGCCTGCGGCATAACCATGGAAGCCGGAAGATATGGAACCATAATGGGAATTCCATTTGGCCCAGGCATGGGCACCAAAATGGCCTGGGGAGGCAAGCCATTTAATGCAGGATGGCGATAGGGATACTCATAGGAGAGGTTGGAGGTCGATTGATAAGCTCGAGGCGGCATGTAAGCAAACGGCCTAGATGGGGCCTGCGAGGCAACAGAGGGGTCCTTTGCTCTTCTTGGCTTGTAAGGCCCTCTTGGACCCCTTGGAGGGCCCCGTGGCCTGGGCGGTTCTCCAGGAATCTTTGGCTTGCGCCCTCTTTTTGCAACCACGGTTTGTGATGTTAAACTTGAATCTGAATTGATGGCGCCTGATTGTCGAATGGAGGCCATTTTTGCTGTTCGCTTATTATAGTTGAGCCGCCGTTGTTCTTCATCGGAATCGACATAATTTTCATCTTCTTCCGATTCGTCTTCATCATCTTCGCCGACAATATCATCATCTGCTTCTGAATAGACGTCGGAGGAGGAAGAGGAAGAGTTGGCGTTGGAGAATGAAAGAACGGGAGACTCTTGATGGTTAAGAGCATAGGAAGAGCCCGAAAAATCGGGCAATCGCTGCGAATCATGAACTTTTGCATTTGCATTTGATTTATTTAATGTGTTCGCTTCATTAATCAAATCTAAATTTGGATTGGCCCCTTGGTCCATGGCGGTGTCCAAAGGAGGTGGATCAAAGGATGCAAATTAAAATTAAATTTTATTCCACATCATCAGCATGAATCATTAATAACAATACACAACACAGCGGGGTGGGGTGGGGTGGGGCCGGTGGGCAGGCTAGGGTTGAAACCAATTTATTGCAATTCAATTTGTCTTTGTGGGGGGTTGGCGCGCTTGCAGCTTCCCCATGCTGCGGCTCGCCATCGATGATGCATTAATCTTCTTATTTTGAAAATTGATTTTTTCCGATGCGACCAATTATTATTTAAATTGGTTGCCGTGCTGAAATGCATTTTTGGAATTCAGAGCATGCCAATCCCGATAATCTCGCGAGTATGTGTTTGCGACCTGGTCAATGTGATATTTGCATTTTACCTTCTTCTGGGCGAACTTTTGCTGCGCATTTTGCTGTCATGGATTCCCGATTTTGTTTTGGCATTTTTATCATTCGGTCCGAGCGACGCCGACAAAAAGACCAACCCTACCAACTTTGTTGAGTTTGTCGAAAGGTACGCTTGTTGATGAAATGAGCTTTTGCACAATAGATGCGAGGGGTATGCGGCCGAAGAGCACCTGTGTCTCACCGATGATGGGTTCATCTTGACGTTGCATCGCATTCGAAAATCCGGATTTTCGTCCATAATACCGGGGAACGAGCCCGCCACGTTTTCAAAGCCATCTCCTATTCTTCTAATGCATGGGTGCATGATGTCTTCGGACGTGTGGGTTTGCACTCCGCTCAAGTCGCTCTCCTATGCCTTCATCCTACTTGACATGGGGTATTGCGATACCGATTTTTACCGCCCACATGTAGTTATGACGTTTGGCTGGGAAACTTTCGGGGCAACAAATACTCGTCCAAGCACCTGCGATTGAAGCCCTTTGATGTCGAATATTGGGACTTTTCTTTGGACGAGTTGGCGCTGATTGACATCCCGACCATGATAGATGTACGTGGTGCGCGCTTTGTTATTTTTAGTTCATCTTGAATACAACGTCATCAACGTGCCTCTCCTATGTGGGCTTTTCGCAGGGAACGGCGGCGATGTTTGCGGCCCTTTCTTTGAGCAAAACGCTTCAATCGAAAATCGACCTGTTCGTCGCTCTTTCCGCAACGACCATTCCCAAAAGCATCCAAACAAAGACGGTTTCTTCGTTCATACGGTTTTCTTCCAAACTGGTGTATCTGTTTTTTGGGCGGACCTCGTTCATCGAGCTTACATATTTTTGGAGAGACATTTTGAGCCCCAAAGTGTACGCGCACTTGCTGGACTTTTTGATGAAAATGCTATTCGGATGGAGCCTGCAAAACATCTCGCTCCCCAACAAGGCAATTTTGTATCAAAATCTGTACTCCACAACGTCGACAAAGCTGATCACAGTAATTGACACCCAATTTAACATGCTAGCATTGGCTGCAAATCATTGACTCTGGAAGATTCCAAATGTACGACGACAACAATATGATCTTTTCCAAGCGCCATTTGGTTCCAAAGTTTACTCTCTCAAACATTAAAACCAAAGTTTTAATTTTCTATGGAGGCTGTGATTCGCTAAGCAATGTCGACTCATCTTTCAAGGGCATTCTGCAAAGCGCCAAATACATAAATGTCGAGCATTACGAGCATCTGGATTTTCTTTGGGCTACAGACCTTGACAAGACTGTGATTCCAACCCTTTTAAAATTGATAAAAAGAAATAAACTATTGTAGCATTTCATGTTTGCAGCTGCCTGTTCGTTTCTGCAGCGGCTTGTTCGCTTCGATGGCCGAGAAACCTTATTTTAAAGTTTGATTTGGGCGCAATAATTTGGCTATTTGATCTGCGTTGAGCCCGTGATTGGTTCTTTTCCTGGCACTATGCTCGATTCGACCACTGATTAGGAACTCCCGAACCCGAGCTAATTTAATCTTTTCATTTTCGATAACATCCGCCGCTCTATCCATGGCCATGGCTCAAGACACCGATACCGACACCGATACCGACACCGATACCGACACCGATACTGATGTCTGCAATTCCCAGGCGGATTGTGGACTGGCCCCCCATACGCCCATCACATTTTCTCCGGTAAGCATGAGTCCAAAGGAGTTTTTTTCTTTCGTGCAAAACACGTATCTTGTTGACGAAAGTCGGCCCGACAGATTCATCTCAGTATGGCCACCGCGCCCTTCTTATCTTAGTTCCCTTCGATCGGCAATCACGGCTCAAGCCCGGACGTGATCATGCTCAGTCGTTCTCTTGAAAACTGGATCCAGGACGATCTTGTTGGCCCCAGGACGCTGATCACGCTTCCAATCGACTGCCCCTCCATTGCATCGACCATCATCAAGTCTTTTGAAAGTACTTTTAGCCTTTCCGTTTTTAGATGATGCTTGCCTGAGCTCTTGCTCAGCAAAGATATGCTTGACCATTGGCCACCCCTCGATTCTACAATCCATTGCGGCATTTAAAAATTCCGCAGACATGAGCGAAGATTCGTTTAATTCCTCAGACCTTTCTCCCGAGAGGTTTGGTTTGCGCATCACAACTTTGTCTTTATAGGGCGAATCCGATCGAAAATTCGCCCCTTTTCGACAGCCTTCCAAATCTAGAAACCCTATCTGATTTGCTGACCTCTGTAAGTGACATGGAGCTAGCTTTTCTTTGTAGTATACGTTTTTTGTTGATGTTGTGATCTCGCTTTCGGAAGAGATCGAGGGCCAATCGGCAGACACCCTATCTGTTGAGATCATCCACAGCTCCGATGATGCAGAAGGTAAGTGTGGGGCTTCCACAATTTGCCTAGTGTTGTACAAGTCTGGAATTTCGGTTTTGAATCTATCCCAATTGGGTAAACCAACGGCGGCAACGGCCGCCGCAGCGGCAAGCGCCACCGCGTCTGCGGCCGTCAGTTCATGATATTTTCAAAGTGAAATGCATTGCAATAATAAACCCAAATTTTATTTCCAATTTTTTGATGCTGCTGAAGTTTAGATTTAAAAGGGACAATCAAGCGGAGGACTGCATGTTTTCGCTGGACCTTTCATCAGACACACCGGTAATGCGCTTTTAACTTGCCATAGATGGAGCTACTGATAACATTGATCAAGTCAGAGGCAAGGGTTAGGGTTTAATTTATCCGTAGACGGGCTTGGAAACCTTCCATCTTTACCTACCGGATGAAAAAAAAAATATTGAACTTGACGACAATTCGCTCACGGTCGGAAACGTGTTCAAACAAAATATTACCTCTGTCATTGGAATTATACCGCCCAAAGGTAAGACGTTGGGGGTTGCAAAGCAAAAAAAGAAAGAAAGGCTTTCTAGTGTGCTTTCCAATGAGCTTTCCACCTTTTTTTCACCAAAAAATCCCCAAATTTCAACACAAGATCAAAATCTTTACCATGCGCTTGAACATTTTCCAGAATCCTTTGGAAGAGTGGTTCTTCTATTTATCAAGGTGTCTTTAGCAGGATCTTCATATACTGCATTGATAGATACAGGTGCACAAGCATCTATTATTTGCTCCTCAATCATCGCCAGCAATCACGAAATTTCCAAGGCCGTCGATAAAAGATTCTTTGGAACAGCAAATGGAGTTGGCCAGTCAAAAATCTTGGGAAAAGTGCATTCTATCGAGCTAATCCTTTGGCAAGAGCTGCAGAAAAAGGAGGCTGTTGTGCTTCCCTGTGGGTTTCATGTGATGGACATGACTAACAGCGGAAAGATCGAGATTATCCTCGGGTTGGACATGTTGAAAAGACATCAAGTCATTTTGGATTTGGGGAACAATTGCCTGTCTGTCCATGGCTACAAGATAAAGTTTTTGTCTGAATGGGAATTGCCCGATAATCTCAAATGAGACTCCCTTTTGAAGCCTCCGTTATATGTACATCATTAGTGTATGGAAATAAAAGATTTCCTATCCACCCCCATATGGCGCATGTCAACCCTTAAAATGCTAAAATTTAATTTAAATAGCAGATTTGGTACCTATTTTGGCTGCACATTCTGTATGAATCGGCGTTTATTGGTGAGGCTCGGCTTTATCCCTGAGCAAGGCTTCTTCATGCCTGCGATCCACAATTTTAGAAGTAGCACCAATTTTTTAGCCTCATTTCCCATATTAATTATGCTGCCTCTGTACATGGATATACATTCACCGCGCCTGGAGGCTATTAATTCAGCCTCACAGATTGCTGCGGCTGCATGCCTTGGCCTGATTTTCCCACTTGCGTGCCTTCCTATGGAGGACAGTTATTTTAAATTCCGGTCAACCAACCTCCCTGATTCATGAGCTCGGTTTCTTCAATCGTTGTGATCAATAACTAAAATCTATTCGCAGCAGCATGAAGAATCGATGGGAATGCAAAAACCCCGATGCAGGCTACGAAAAAGAACATGTTTTCAATGGCGATTGAGGCATGCTATTTTTCGAAAAACATGCCGCCATTTTTCAGCCAATCAAAAGGCTAAATTGAATAATTGCGAGCGTGACCAATTAAATTCAGAAAATTGAAGCACCGAATTGCTTCACTTGTGTATTTCATTGGCCGGGCTAGGATTAGCGCTGGTGCCATCTTTTCCTTTTGAAAATTATTTAGCATTTTTGTGAACTCACTACTTTGGTTAAATATCTTGAATACGCAATAAAGTCTCGGATTGACGAGGAAATTTTGTCCGAAGTTTAGGGTAGCCTCGACGATGTACTTTTATAATTTAAACTTCTAGCCATCACACGCATGCTTATTGGTACAGGGGACAAAGAAGGTCTATTGTCAAAGAATGGTTTTTATTTAGCTGGCTTCTCTTTCTGTTTGGAGGCATATTTGCTTGCTTGTCGGGTTTACATATTTAATAAATGGACACAAATATTTTACTGCTGAAAACCTTATGTGCACCACATGTGGCGAATATTGAGTGAGGGTCGCCCTTGTGCAAGCGGTTGCGAAAGGCAGACAAATACCAATTGTTTCTTCAAAGCTTAAATTGCAAAGTTAAAATTTCGGGGCCATCCTAAACTTTGGTTTTAAAGGTTCACGGTGGGCGCAGAAATTTTGTTGACACCCGTTAAAAGATTATTAATTTGGCCATTTGAAGCGGATCAATTTGAATAGCCAATTAAAATTTTCCATTTTCATGTATTTTTTTTTTCGGAAGTTGAATAATGAGGGCCATTTTGTCCTCTCTCTCTTTGGTCGGATTCTTTAGTGTGTTTGTTTTGTACGTGCAAAGAGTATACTTTTCGCAAAGTATTCTGGTCATCCCTTCCGCAAAAAATTGGTCCCAGCTACAGCAGGGATATCTGCAGGGCGCATTTTATTTTGGATATCTGCTTGTCCAGATATTAGCGGGCATCCTGTGCAAAGCCATTGGTGGACGTCGGCTTTCCGCGCTTTCAATGTTTTTTTCCGCAATCACATTTGCAATGATCCCAGCTGCCGCAGAAAACTATCCCTTTGCTATTTTGATCCTGCTGCGAACAATCATGGGCGCATCGCAGGGTGTTCTTTACCCTGCCATCATGGCAGTTTTGGGGATAGAAATCCCCAAAAACTCCAAATCGACCGTTGTCAATTTTGTGTTTTCTGGAGGACAGGCGGGCAGCATTTTTGTTTTGCTCGTATCGCCGTTTCTGTTCAAACTGCTGACCGTTTTCATCACCTCAAACAACATTAAGTCTCTTGTTGCATGGCAGCTGCAGTTTATAGTTCTCGGTGTTCTCGGCATCATTGTCACCATTGCATGGGTACTTTATATGCTGACTGCTGCTGCGTTTTCTCCAAAAGGCTCTGGCGGCACTGGGGATCAGCAATACCATTGCGAGCCTGAGATGTCATGGGTATTTATCTTTTCGCAAAAGGCATTCTGGGCGTATGTGGGTGCATGTGTTGCCTACAACTGGTTCATGATGATTGTGATCTCTTTCCTTCCAAAGCTCCTGCGCTTCTTGCTGCATTTTGGCACGGACCAGCAGCAGCTTTTGTCGGCCATCCCATATTCCTGCTTTTGGGTGCTTACCGTTTTTACGGGCATCCTTACCGATTATCTTGTGTCCAAAAAGTATCTTTTGCACGACATTAGGAGGGGAATGGGCATATTTGGGTATCTGCTTTGCGCCATTTTGCTGTTTACTTTGGGCATCTTTTTTGGGCCCCCCACACACGCTTACGGAAATGTTGTGAATTTTGCACTAATTTCAGCAGTCGTGTCCGTTTCAGGCGTGTGTAAAAGCTCCTTTGGCCCAAACGGCCTGGACCTGTGCAGGTCTCCAGTAAACATTGGCAAAATAACGGGAGCGGCGTTCTTTTCTGTTTCGGTGGTCGGGATAATCTCGCCAATGGTTGCCTCTGCCCTTTTCCAAGCCGGGGGATGTACAGATACACTTGCCGAACCCGCATCGTGCTACATGGCATGGAGGATAATTTTTCTCATTTCCGCCATAATGAATCTAAGTGCTGCAGTACTTTGGGGAGCATGGCTTTCAACTTCTCCCATCCCAATTTCAGCGTAGAGTTTTTCTTGTTGTGTAAACTAATGAAATTTTAAACCAAACGATCACTGTCCACGGAAGGGCAGCAACTCCACATGGACGAATGCACCGTCAAAATACACCCCTCCATGCGGCTTCACCGCTACAACGCAAAAACATACCACCAGGCACGAACGAATGGCCATCCATCATCGAGTAGCAATAAATTTATAAAATTATCAATTTAATGATCACTCGATCAAGGTGCCCGCGGGAATAATGTGTTTGGCGGGCCGGGGCGCATCTTCCAGGTGTCCAGCCTGTCCAAGCATAAAGTGCTGTGGTCTGTGCGCCTCGTCATAAAAGGATTTTGGACATCCAAGTTCTAGTTCATATGCGAGCGTCGGTGTATGCTTGACAGCCATAAAGGAGTAGTTCCACGGTGCGTCGCGGGCCGGAACAAGAAAGGCACCACAGGCAATGGCGGTGGCTGTTCCGGAGCCATTGGCTTCATCATCGACGATACGCACATCAACAACGTCTGGAGAAGAAAGCACACACGAAGCAGGCCCAATGGCAAGTGACAAGGTCACGGGCGCCACGCGAGTGTCCGTGGCATGTCGCCGGCCAATTTCGCTGTCAAGAACCTTGGCCAGCAGGGCGTTTCGGTCTTCTGCGCCAGAAAAAATGGTGTGTATGATGCCGAGAAAGGTCAGTGCGCCTGCCAAAGCAGCCGGGACCGCTGAAGTGAGCGCTTCTTGCAGGTTGCGCGGAGCTCGTCCGCTAAAATGCACTCCGCTGGAAGTTCCCCATTGTGGGACCATGACCCACACACATGCAACCCAATCACCCTGTCCAGCAGCACGCACACCATATAATAAAGCCATAACTTGCACGCGCGTATCAGCAACGGCAACCAGCCGCCGCATCAACCGCCGAGGTACGATCAGCGAAGTGGGAGTATTGGTTTGTGCAGCAACATCGGCATCGTTCAAATGTGCAGCGTTGGAAACGACGATCTCTGCAGTGAGCCCGCTTTTTTTATCGCTGCCGCCGGCGATCGTGCCGGTAGATGATAATCCACCAGTTACAAGGACGCGCGCCGGGAGGCGCTGGGCAGCCAAAGCACGCTGCCGCCAATCTGCCCGCGACGAGAACACTATAGTTTCATAGGCGCTTGTCGTTGCCACAACCATCTCATCTCCGTGCACATTGGTCGATCGTACAGATCGAGACTGCTCTGCCTGGTCTTGTTTTGGCGCATCAATGGCTGCCGCTGCTGCCTGCTGTCTTTGAAGTGCCGGAGATGCTACTTCCATCCCAAGGATGATATCTCTGATTTCAGATTGCGTTAGAGCACCCACATTTGCGATGTTGTTCCGCCGTGCATAGTCTGACAGAATCAAATCTCGCAACGCATTTTCAACCTCGATCCATTGCGCGTCAGAAAAGCTTGGCCAAAGATGATGAGCCTCCGTTGGCACGCCAAGGCGTGTCAACACGCCCTTTGCGCCTTCTCCATCCACGTGCAGAGCTCGCAGCAGCAGTACTAGCCGCGAAAAGGCAGTGAACGACGAGATGCGCAGCAGCCAATCGTCAAAGAGAGAAAAAAGCATCATTTGCGGCTCGGTTGCTCGCGCTACCACCATCCCAAACTTGGCCTCAATTTTCAACAACGCCGCAAATGGAATGGCCAGCTCAGAGCCCTTAATGACAATGTTTGGAAAGTCCAACAGATGCACCTCCAGTGGGTCCAACATTCCTTTGCGCGTCACGATGACCGTTCCTGGCTGCTCTTCCGGTGGCAGCGATCGCGTCAATGCAGCCACTTCTTCTGCCGTCTTCCATTTAGCAAGCTGTCCCAACCGCTTTTGCCCCGCCCACACTGAAGTGTGGATGATCTTCATGAAAAGCTGCCCAGTACGAGGGTTAAAGATCAAAATGGCGCCGTTGATTGGCCGTGTTGTTAAATTGCCTTCAAATGTCTTGTGAATCGTTACACGGTAAACGGCAGAGTCATCGACAAACCATGTCGTACCACCTGCAAAGAGCTCTCCATAATTTGCAGAAGAAAGATATGGCTCCAGTGGCTCCGAGGCATAAAGCTGCAATCCCTTGCGGATACGCTCTCTAAGCACGTAAAGCGCCGGAGATGACTTGTGAATGGTCGCGATGGCGCTCCGCACCAGCGGTTTCAACCCTGGCACCCAGTGCCCATATGCCGTTGCATAGTTGTATGCAAGATCCAGCCCAATCATCAAGCCATGCGGTCCCGGGTACAGACTCATCGCATCAGTAGTATAGTCCAGGAACTTTGCGCGTGTGTACCGTTCAATGTCGTGACTATCAAAGTCACCCCAGCGCAGCTGCACATCAATCCACAGGCTATTGGCTGTTGTGCCACCAAAATCGCCCTCGGCATCTGAAAGCAAAGATGGCGTTGAGACGGGCCACCGTGAAGCTGCCCATAATAGGATATCCGCACAGGATGAGTTCATTTTGTATGATTTCCGCGGATGAATGGTCTCTTTGTGGACTGCGTCGAGCGCAAGTGCCTCCAGCTCCTGGTCAAACACCTGACACAAGTCCATCACGACGGATTCGTGGATCTTTTGCCACAAGTGCGCCCGAAAAATCTGGATCAGTGAAATCTTGAGTGTCGGGATCTTGCCATGCATAAAGATGCCTGTGAGATCCAATTGCACCTGGAAGCCAATATATACGGACGCCCGGTTGATCGTTGGCGACCACCACAACGTCCACCGCCGATTTGGGATTTGTGAAAGCCCGGACCGCTGCGCGTTTGTCAGCTTTTTGAACGAAAGTGAATCCTCAAAGCCTGAAGCCTTTTCCCAGAATAGTCCTTCCCATGTGGCAAATCCGGTGCCTTTAAAGAGCGAGTGCTCCAAAATTGCCTCCACGCCACCCAATGCTTGGATCATGTCTGTCCGGTAGGCGTTTAGGTTCCACAACTTTCCATCATGCCGTGCATGGGTCCACCAGAATGGATTCACTTTCAAAATCGAATAAGACTTGAACTCGGCGCGCATGCGCCAACCCTTGTCGTACGCCAGGGTATGTCGATCTTTTTGGAACAGTGTTGAGATCCGAGGCACACCGTAATCCCAGATGCCCTCGAGATCTTCCAGCGAAAGTCTTTTGGAGAGCGTTGCAGCCTCCGCTCGCTTCATGGCGTATTCTGCCCATACGCGTGCTGATTCTGTGATTTCGGAGGCCCAGGGAACCACGTAGCGCCAAATGTTTGGAATCAATGTGTCTGCTTCGTGTGAAAGACCGGATCGAAAGTGTGTGATTGCAGAGCCAGCTTCTGATTGTGTTGAATAGCGCATGTCTGAAGCTGGGATTAGAATGTGGCCCATGGAAAGCATGCCTAGGCCTCCTAACTCTTTGGGAGCATAAAACAGTACGGGCGGAAAGCGCGAAGGCATTTTGGAGTTTAGCCCCATTTTGATGCGCGTCTGGATTTTGCCCTCGCACCGCACAATCAGATCAAGCAGGTCGCGGCTCTGAATAATTGCTTCTCGAAAGTAGGTCACCAGCCCAATCAGAGCTGTGTTCCATTTGTTTGCGATTTTGGTAAAAGTGGTCGCTCCAGATGCCATCAGAACTTGGCGAATACGGTTGTGGAAGCGCACCACGGCAGCTTCTGAAACGCGCAGTCGTGCCACAGCTGTCCTCTCTCCAAGGGTAGCGGTAGCAAAGCGCCAAGTACCATCGCTTTCTGAAATTGTGGCGCCCGTCCACGCCACGGGCATCAATCGCACCTCAAAGCCTCCCATCTCAAAAAGCAATGCCGGGTTTGATTGTGCACCGGAACAAACACTAGCAAAAAGCGGTGCCACAACACCGTCAGCGGTAGTTCCGCCTATAGGTGCCCACTCGATAACGGCAATCGAGCGCGGAATGCGTTGCGCAATTTCCCACCAGACGGCACGTCCCAAATTGACATCGGACCGCAAAAGTCGCATGCGCGCATCTCGCGGCCAGATTTTTCGATTTGGGTACCCGACTACATTTTCTGCGTTCGGGTCTGGATGCTGAGCGAGAAAACGCTGTACAAGCGCTCTACGCTCCACTTCACCTTCAAACACCAATAACAGATATATTCGGTCTACAATGCGCATGTAGAGCCGGATCGGATGGGGACTGGCGCCTTCCGGAATGTAAGGGCCAGTGGCCCCTGGAAAGGCAGCAGAACGCTCAGGAGGTCCCGCCATGTGCGCCGCCAGCGGCAGCCCAAGGATCAGCAGATCAATAATCAGCGAGTAGTATGAAAAGATGAACGGGGCAAACTGAAGCCCTCTAATGAGGCCAAGCGAGTTTTTGTGTGACATGTCCTTGTAGTGAAAGGTGATGTTGTTCTTTGCGGACATGTAATCAGCAAGACTAGCATCGACCACCAACCGCAATAGCCGATTCAAAAGCGTGAGGTCCATCTTATCAGCAACGCGTCCCAAAGTTGCCGAGAGCAGAACTGAGGCGCCACAAGGGGACCCCGATGATGATGATGATGCAACTCCACTGCTCCCATTGGATGCATTTTCAGCCCCCAGACCGGGCCAAACGCCTGGAGCAGAAGCGAGCGCCTGGGTCCACCGATGTACAAGTATAGGCATCGGCTCGCTGTCCGAAGGCTTGATCCAGCACGGGAAAAGCCCCCGCTTCTCTGCCTCGTACCACAGATACTGGTCAAGATATGCATCTGTGATCTTTTCCAGCGGCTCCACATCGTAGACCGGTGTCAGATGGGCAAAAAGATCCATAAACTCGATACCACACTCTTTGAATGCTCGCTGCGTCAATAGCAGTCGTTTTATGCGTGCCAGCGCCTCATGGGGATTATCATATGCCTGTTCAATCAGTGCAAGTTCTTCTCTTTGGTTTGCGTTCAGTCGCCCCTTGACCGAATACGCTTCTCGCAAACGCTCCAGCGCCAGGATCAGCAGCTTCGTATCATGCTTGTATGTGAGTGGGGGCATTGGGATTGGCGCAAACCGCCGCGCCTCCAACCAATGCACGGCGGTGGTGTAGATTGCCACGGCCTCTTCTGCACCCACATATGGGCCATCTTTGAGGTAGTCTGCTTGGCGCTCCTGCTCTGCCTTGAGATAAAGCCGCGTCAGCCGTCCAAGGTTTTTTTTGCATACGGTCTTATCGACCGTTGCTCCTCGTCGAATGCGCTCTCGATTGTAGTGCGTGACGGAGGTCCACCAATCTGCCTTGTTCTTGACATATCTAAGGATAAGGTTCTCCAGCGGCGCAGGGAGCCCCGGAACTTTCCACGGTACGTTTGCTTTCCAACACCGCCACGCCTCCGAAAGGTGTTGCAAAATTGTGCGGCTCTTGTTTGCACGAATGCCTTCTGGCATCATGTCGAGGATGTCTGCAAGCACGGAGGCGCGTAGCTCGAGATCATAATGAGTTTCCACGCGCTGCTTGGTGACCGTTTTTGCCACGGAGCGCCCAGCACGACCCTCAAAGTGCCTTGCAAGCAAGTTCTGCAACCAGCGTTCTAAAAGCGGAATGATGCCTCGTAAGAAAAAGATCCATATGCGCCAAGAAGGCGCCCAAAAGCCGCATCCGGGTCCCTTGCCCACAGGGCCCACATTGAAGCGATAATAGAGCAGATGTTTCAAATCTTTGGCCATTCGCACTTGACGCATCAGTTTGTACTTGTAGCGATACATTCCGGTCAGCTGTCCGACGTGTGTAAAAATGTAGTGCAGGCCATCGGCAAGCTGGAACGCATCAATGTGCCCAAGACGGAATTGCACGTGCGAATCGACGACGATTTTGGTCAATCGAAGAATTTCGCGCAACAGATGGAACGCGTTCCCAAAGCGCGAACGCTTGCGCTCCTTTGTGGTCAGGGTACGCACAGGCTTCAGGTTGAAATTATAATCGAGATGTAGGTAATCAAGCCCTTTGCGCGTGATCAGCAGATTGAGCATGTTGTAGCCCTGGCGGATGAGCTGTAACCCCGCTTCCACCCAATCGATCTCGGTGACTTGGAAAAACTTTGTTGCTGCAAGAGTTGTGAAAAGGGAGCGGCGCCCAAGCGCACTTCGTGGGCCGCGGCGAGCTCGCCGCCGATGCTCCGTCAGTGCTCGGGACACGTGGCATTTAAGCAGCTTTTGATAGGAAACACGCACCTTGACCGGTTGTCCTGGCGGGCAATGTTCCAAAAAGAAATCTTTCACCAGCGGGACATCTTGAGCGCGGCTTGTGCGTCCAGTCCGTATGCAAAAGGGCCAGGGCGCCCAAAAAAGAGCCAATGCTTGTTTGGCTGCAAAGCTTCCTTCACTTTCGTCCAGAAGAGAGAGAGAAGCAAGCGGCGGTGAAGCAAGCCGTACCACATGCTGATTCAGCTCACTGGTATCTTCAAGGTCATCAATTGAAAACAGTCCGCGATGCGAAATTGGATTCAAGGACGGGTCAAAAAAGAACGCCGGCAGCTCCGGATCTTCTGCACGGACCACGACCAAAGGTGGTGCATGGTACTGCCCCAAAAATGTCTCGCGCACCGGCAGCACCGAGTTATAAAGAAAAGGGAATGCAATGCGATATTCAGAGCGCATCGGATGACGCACAATCAGTTTGCGGATGTCATTAAACTCGTTCCAATCGTCATCTAACGATGCAGCATGTGCATCACGCACCTCTGCAAGCGGCTCGAACTTGGGCCCCCCAGGGATGGCCACATTGAGCGCCTTGGCCGTAAAAAAAGCGGGAAGGTCAAAAAGATAAGTGTAATTCGGATCCATCGTCAGCTCGGATATCAACGGCCGCGACAAACGATGCAGATTGGCCATCACGCGCAATGGCAGGCTCCAGTGGCGATACTGCGATGTGCCCGCCACGAAAGGGGTTCCCCGCAATGGCTGTGAGCCTTCATTGTAAAACCACGAGGCAATGGCCTGGTCATCTCCAGCGCCATCGAGCTCCAGCTGGATGGCATCCAATGGGGGGATATCCAGCACGTTATCTCCATAATCTATGGGCGGCTCTTCATCGTCAAAGGGTGGAAAGCGCATGCGTTTAAAGTGCTTGCGATCCCGCTTCTCCCGTCGCATAGCCACCCAAAGGGTGGCCCATTGCGCGATAAATACAGGCGGAATTACCCACGGACTTTCGTCGACAAACGTCAGTGCACCCGTGATATGGTATAGCACGCGAACCCAGCGACTCTGCTCCCACGGCATCGGCATATTTTCCAATAGCTTCAAAATAGCGTGTGGCACAAACTTGAGAGCCCCCAAATAAACGCGCTTGTCTGAGCGAAACTTTTTTGATGAAAGATCGCCATGGTCGCGGATGATCTTGCGCAGATGCTCTGGAGGCATCATCTCTTTGCGTGCCTTGACGAGAGGCGCTCCTTTGGGAATCCCCATTGCAGATACCCTCGGGCCTCGCTTAGCCTTGGCATTGTTGGCAGAGGATTTTCTTCTCCTCGGCTTAACAAAAGGAAGCGACGACAACGATGCAGTCATCTACAGAGAAACTTAAATTGCAAACTGCGATTAAAATTTAAATTGGGTATTGTCAAAATTAACGGAGGTACCGCCGCCACCATGTTACGAGGCAATGATGTTGATAGAGGCAGCCCTGATAAAGCCCACAATGAGGGGCGACGGGCCTAGTGGCCGGCTCATAAATTCCGGGTGAAATTGGCAGGCAACATAGTAGGGATGGTGATGATCGTCAATTTCTAGGATCTCCATCCTGATGCCGGTCTCGGCATCACGCGCCACAAAGTTGATGTTGCAGCGCTGCTCCAGAAAGTCCACATACTCCGGGTTGACCTCGTAGCGATGTCGATGGCGGTCCAAGTGGGTAAATTCCAAGCCGCCATACAGACGGAATGCCTGACTCTTGTCATCAACAAACTTGAAGGCACGTGCACCCAGCCGCATGGTGCCTCCCAGATGCGTTTGTGAAATCTCTGGCATAAACTTGATCACTGGATCTGGCGTAGATGGGTCAATCTCTGAAGAATTGGCATGGGTCAGTCCACCCAAGTTGCGAGCAGCCTCGATAGTGGCGATTTGAAAGCCCAGGCAAATTCCAAAAAATGGCACCTTGTTTTCGCGAGCATATTGTGCCGCCAGCAGCATGCCTTCGGTACCTCTGCTGCCAAAGCCGCCTGGAACAAGGATGCCATTTGCAGATTTGATATTTTTCCACGAAAGATCATACGCAATCGAACTGGCGGCATCTTCTTTGGTCAAGTTTGAGGCCTCCACCATCACAAGATCCAGGGCATGCCCCAGGAACAATGAGGCATGCTGCATCGACTTTATTACAGAGATGTACGAATCAGACAAATTCGTATATTTTCCCACAAGCGCAATTCGGCAATGTGATTTGGGATTGTCGATGCAATTGGCGATAACCTTCCACTCATCAAAGAGAGTATTGCCTGCTAGAAGAGGCGGGGAAATCTTCAAGCGATCACAGAGCATTTTGGTGATATTTTGCGAGTGTAAATTTAACGGGACATGATAAAGCGAGGGGCAGTCCTGGACAGCAAGCACTTGCTCTGGAGGGACGTGGCAAAACATGGAGATCTTTTCGTTTATGGCAGACTCGAGAGGGTGTGTCGAGCGGCATATGATGAAATCCGGCGAAATTCCCAATCCTCGCAGGTCTCTCACCGATGCTTGAGTGGGTTTTGTTTTCTGCTCACCCACAGACCCAACCACCGGCACCAGCGAGACGTGGAAGCAGCAAAAGTTTTCATGCCCCACGCGGAATTGAAACTGGCGCATTGCTTCGATGAATGGTGCCGACTCGATATCACCTACTGTGCCCCCAAGCTCGACGATACAGATATCTGGCGGCGAGGAGGTAAACCGCTTCGACACGATGATAGTTGAGACCCGCTCAACCCAGTTTTGAATGGCATTGGTCAAATGAGGCACAACTTGAACGGTTTTCCCCAAATAATCACCCTTTCTTTCGCGCTCAATGACTTGCGAGTATATTTTCCCCGTTGTCAGGTTGTGGTCTTTGGTTAAAGTGACGTCAAGAAAGCGTTCATAATTTCCCAGGTCCATATCAACTTCGCCGCCATCATCGAGAACAAACACTTCGCCATGGTCAAGGGGGCTAATCGTTCCCGCATCGATATTTAAATAGGGATCGATCTTAATGGCCGTGACATTAAAACCGAGCGTCCGCAAAAGGAACCCAGTAGACGAGGCAATTATGCCCTTCCCAACGCCAGAAATGACGCCGCCAGTTACAAGGATAAACTTTGTCATAGAGGTGAGGTGTAAATATGGTGTCTAATAATAGATTAAATAAGGACCAGAAAGACCCGCCGCGGTTTTGATCAGGTAGACCGGGAAATAAAGCCTTGCACATTAATTTTTTTAACCAATTAAACGTGACTTTTGAGTCTTTAATTTAACCCTAGTCTCATGATATTTGTGCAGGAAATTTTACAGACTCCATTGAAGTGCGGTTTCCCTAACGCTTAAAATATTTGACCGGACACATGGGATTGCAAGCAACTGTACTTCTTTACAGGGATTGCAAGCAACTGTACTTCCTTACAGGGTTTGCAAATTCAGGAGGGTCCGGATGTAAGATTCCTCTAAATGAGCGTATTTTTTCGTTGGGGTTTCCCGATCCACGTGAAAAAATGCCAATTTGTTCCTGTTTATGATGCGTAGACCGGTTTCTGAGCTATCTGGAAACAATCTTAAGCTGCTCTGCAAGGAAATTAACGTCAACTTTAGAAGCTTTCCTAATTTCAGTCGCATTGCGAGCGGATTTCTGATCGGCAGCGATGCCTCGAAATTTAGATGTTCCTTGTTTAGAGTCTTCTTTGTCAAAATTCTAGCTAACTAGATGATTTTTTGACCTCTTTTGCGAGCCATTTTACCCTTCTCTCAGCTTCTATCACATTTATCTCTTCAGCGACAAGTAAAAAAGAGCAAAAGTGCAAATAAAAGATTCAAGAAATCTTTGAATATCCATTAAAATAGCCCCATAAACACCGGTCGGTTACATTTGCAAGTTTTAAAGTGCCAGTTGGCTATGTTAGCACATTTGGGCCAGAATATGGCGGACTATCTCTGACCTTAAATTTGCGACACTCTCTCAATCGTGTGTGTGTGTGTGTGTGTGTGTGTACATGTTTGTTTCAGCAAGCCCTCCTCTTATCGAATATTTCAGGTAAATTTGGGGGCGGCACATCATGTGTGCACTTTGAGGGCCAGTTTTGTACGGAAAAAAATCATGGCGCAATGATAAACATTTATTCACAAGCTGATCAAAGAAAAAAGCTTTCCATCGGAAAGATATCTTCTGCCGCATAGTAAGGCGAAAAATCGACGTCTTTTTTCAATGGTCTTGCATAGATTCAGTTTTTTCGAAATGAAAGAGTCCGAAACCGGAAACAGGAAATTGCACATAACGTAGGGGTCCAATAGAAATGCCTTACTGCACAGATGTACGTTGTAAAAACGCTTCTCAAACGTAGCAAACGCCTTGGTCCTTTTTAGATGCCTCCAAAGTTTGGTGTGTGCTCTTTGACGGTCGAATTTGATGGACGGGTTGTTCAAAGAGGCAGATCGTATCCAAAAATCAAGAATGTTGAACGGCTTGAATCCATACACAGGGGACGGCGCAAATTGCGTCATCTTGGAGTATGAGAAAATATTTTCCAATCGAGATTGCTTATCTCCCCAATGTGGCCAGCACATCTTTGCCAAAGAAACATACTCTTTCTGAAACTCTCCGTCGTCATTGTCTTCGCTGTAATAATGGGGCAATTTTGAGCAAAAAAATCTAGGTGTCCAGCTGTCAAAATACACACCTCCACAATATGAACACGGATGGCTTTTGCGCAAAAATATTTTCAATGAAAGTGGGAAGCTGCCTGGGATGTCGATCAGTCGTGCATAGACGGCTCTTGAGGCAAATTCTTTCAAACTTGGGATCTTGAAAAAGAAGCCATCAAAGCTTTTCGAGCGGTGGGGAAGCTCCTTTTTCCCCAAATAGGAAAAGATATGGCCGCCCTCGTTTGATTGAATCTCAAAAGAGTCGTTATAGATTGGAGGGTGCGTGTTCGAGCTGAATATGTTGATGCTGTCATAATTAGATGCAAAATAAGATATTAGACTGGAGGGGAATTTTCCACACATTGTCAATAAATGCTGTTCGGTGATGGCATCTGGCAAGTCAAAATATTCCTTAATGTAAGCAAATAGGGTTCTGGTAACAATGCCTCCGTTTTCAAATAAAAAATTGGCGCTGGTGAAGCCGTTTTTGGGCTGCATGTCCTCGGAAGGGTGTTCCCATTTTTCGTTGAAATAATGGTCGTACAGGACTAGGGGAAAGCCGCAAAGCGCCTTTGATGTCAAGAACGGGCATTTTTTGCTGATGATCTTTATGTTTTTTCGCCTCAAAAAGAAGGGCGGAAGAAATGTAATTGGGTTTTCAGATATGTCCAAGTGCAGCAGTAGCGAAAGAGGCCCCAAAAGAGAATCTGGAAGAAAGGTTAGCTGGTTAGATTTGCAACTGAAGAATTTCAATTTTGTAAGGGCGCCCAGAGACTCTGGCAAGTATTGTAGCTAGACATAAGGCTCGTGTGCTTACCTTGTTATAGTCTACGATAAGCGTGTCCACAGAAGATAGCGCACAAATGGAAGCAGGAAGCCTAGATAGACAGTTGCTTTCCAAGGAAAGAAATTTTAGGCATGGAAAATAAAAGCCAAACGACTCGGGGATCGAATCAAGCTCATTAAATGAGAGATCAAGCTTTACAAAATTACTCAAACACAAGGAAAGATTTGGCCGGAAAAACAAAGACCGGAATTGTATGTCAACTTTGCACAAGCTGAAAATCTCGGCCATTTCGGATTCCTTGAAACATGAAGAGGCAAGGCCCCCTTTTTTGATGGCAGCAGGTTTCTTAGCTTGGCCAACATTGCTGTCAAATTTTGCTCCATAAGAATGCAAAAGAAAAGAAAGTCCCATTTCAGTTGCGACCGAAACATCCCATTCGTCCTCCAAAGAAAGGGGATACCTATTCTTCAACGAGCAAGGGGCGACAGTGGAATTTTTCGTGTCCTCGTCGTCGCCCAATACATGTACTTGAAGGGGAAGTTTTGCCCGATAAAACAAAGCATCATCATATGTAGACAAGTCAAGGGGAACCCAGCTGGGACTGACCGAATATCTGTTTTTATGCAGGAATCCCATCGAAAAGGGATTCGATCTATACCGATATATTCCACAGTGGCATCATATTGAAACAGCTGGGCGAATAGAAGAGATCAGATACATTTAACTTAAATTTAGGTTTAAAATTGGCCAAATATTTTGCCTGCAACAGCCAGGCCAGCACTTTAATCAAAAGGCCGGTTGAACGCGGCCCAACACAGCCCCAAGACACCCCAGCGAACCCTAACCCTAATTTTCTTGTAATATTTTATTTCAGTTGGCTCTTTTGTTCCTACTTTTGGGCTTTGGCAGCGCATAATCGTCGTCGGAAGCAATTTCTTCATCTAGATCCTTTTTTGAAAGCTTTGGCAAGTAATTTCTCCTGCCTTTTTTTTTCTTCGGGTGGAAAAGACCCGCTTCGTCTTCCGAATCGGGAGTGTATTTATCAAGAAGCCCAATACTATCAAGCTCATCCAGTGCGTCAATAAGCTCAGGTGCGCTGGATCTTTTGGATTTTTTCTTTTTCTTTTCGACACGGGTAAAGTTGTCTTCCTCAAACTGCGTGATCGAGTGCTCCTTGTCTCCGAATTCGGAATTGCGGTAAACACTATAACTAACTTCTTCTGGTCGTGAAGAAAATTCATCTTTGAACTCATTGACAAGACGGCGGCTCTTTGCCGTTAGTTTTCTGGTCTCCTGCTTTTTCTTTTCAAGATCTGCATTGCTAGAATGGAAGAACGCAGGCGCAATCTTTGGTGCTTTATAGGCCCTCTCTCCGTCTTCGGCATCTGAAAGCGAGGAGGATTCCGACCCTTTGTCCTCCAAAATTGATGAGAGGTTTGGCTTGTGCGATAACAACACTTCATTGTTGGAGGAAGAGCTTAGACTCGAGTTGCTCGATTGCTCCAATAGCCTTTCGATTTGAAATCGCATTTTTGCCTCGATGGGTTTGCTTTTGTCAATGAAAAGCCTATTCTTAAACAATGCCTTTGAAACCTCCTCCTCTAGAGCAGCATTGTTCGACGAGGTGGCATTAGCAAGAACCGAAAATAGGATGTTTAAAATGTACTCTGAAAAAACCTGATGTTTGCAGCTGTACAAAGACAGGCCCAACTCGTTGCTTTCCGGGTGCTCCAGCAATCGTTGGTGTGCTTTTTGCATGTGGCTTAAAATTTCTTCCAATTGCGCCGAAAGTTCAGGATCCAACGGAGTTTGTTCCCCGTTTTTTTGGTCCCCCAAAAAAAGGGAGTTTATGCTTAAACTGCCCAGCATTCTCGTTTAACGCCGCAACAAAAACAAAAAGTTGGAAAAATAAATTTTATTCTTCACGACAAATTGGAATTTAAATTGGACTTTTTTTCGATGATCGAGATGCCGTGTCTTTCGACCTCCTTTTTGATGATCCATAGCTTGTGAAACGCAGGGAGCGACGCCAAAATCGAACCACCAATCCACGGGGCAAATCTTTTTTCATAGCTGGACGACGGAGACAAAACCTTGATTTTTTGCTACACATTATTGCGTGGGATTGGTATAAAATACCGTGGGCATTAGTCTGGATAACTCGATGCTAAGTCTATCAATAAAGCCGGGAACCTGCGAAGTTCCGCCGGTAACAAGTATTTGGTTGCACAAAAGTGCTCTGATTTCAATATCGCATTTCATGATCGATTTTTGAACAAGCTCTGGAAGCGAGCATTCGGCAGTGCCCTCCAAGCCGGCAGAATCGCTTTCGAAAAAGCCTTCCATTATTTTGAACCGCTCAGCCAGGAAGGAGTGTGAATATCCATCCGGGAATTCATAATACGAAGCTGGGCGCAACCCCAATTCACTAGCGCATTTGTAATATTCGCCACTTACATTGCATCAAATTGTGGCAAATCCGAAACATGAGCGATGGACATTTTTATGTCTTCTATCACATTCTAGGAAAAGAGACCATAAAGCAACCTCTTTCAAAAAGAGCAGCAGAGATTCTTCGCATTTGTCTATTGGCTTCAAAACTGCCTTGGGAGGTGTCATTAATTCGACCTTTTCTTTGGATATGATCTGTTGAGGAATGGAAACACTTATGCCCAGATCCCGCGAAAGAAACTCGGTCAACAGTTGCGTGACATATTGCCCGCCAAACTTTCTCTCATTGAATGAGACGTTGTGTAGCACATATCCGTCAATGATGGGCGTAACAGAGGCAACTTGATGGCCCAAATTGACCACCAAAGAGGTGCCCTTTCCTTGCGAAAACCTACATTTAGAAAAAAAATTACGCTGAAAGAATGGCAGAGTTTACGGAATAAATTGCTGGGATGTTAAAATAGTTGATCAAAACGGCGTATACAATTTCGCGAGCGGCATATAAAATGGATGGTGAGAAGGTAATCAAAACTGGAGTCTCCTCTGGAGCTACCCCGAGAGAGCCGATAAAAAAGATATAATAAAACAGCGCGATAATTGAGTTTTGAAATTCTAAACAATTAGGGGGCAAAGGGACCAGAATTGGGGGCCGGGGCGGCAATTGCAAACATATGTTTCACCTCCATCCCAGCGCGCAAGCAGTTTAATTGCAAGTCGCCCACGTGATATCTGTTATTGGCGTCAAATGATAGCTTGATGATCCCATTTTTGAGGCCCGATGCAAAAGAGACATTTGACGCTACAGCTTGCGAAATACACGGCTGCGGCTCAGAGTCAACATTCATATTCTCGGCATTGCTAGAGATACCATAAAAGGCAGGAATAACCAGGCGAGGGGAGTCATCGCCAGAAAATCCTGCTTTGATCCATCTAGAGCCAAGTTCAATAACAACACACGAAATATCGCCTGCACCCAATTAGAAATACGGCATTACCTGAGGCAAAGGAGATGGGCATTTAATTTGTAAATCAAATTTAATTTTTAATTTTTATGTCCACCACCGGTATCATGTCCCCTTCTTTGCCAAAAGATACATTGAAACCCCCTTGCATTCCTAAAAAGAAAAGGGAGCGAAATCACGAAAACCCCGCAAAAAGCATATACACCATCACTTCGTACAAAAATCAGCATGGCCCTCATGCAGGAACTCCTTTTTTAATCACAGACTCTTCTGCTGTAGACCCCTCAATCTCACTTGAAGTGCATCGGCACAAAAATGCTGCACGAAAACCAAACCATTGGAAAGTCACGGCATCAACGCCATTTGTAAAGTATGAAACACACAGCCAAGGTCATGCGCCATCTTTTGCCACCAAGCATGCGATTGCGGTCGTGGATAACAATACGAAATCAATTCAATGGGTGGAGCCGCAGTTTTTCCAGCTTTCCACAACGCCTTTAAGCATCAAGAAGATAGATCCTTTGACACTTTCGGCCGCTTCAATTGTCAATGCAGATGCAGCGGTATATTGTTTTATGCTAACTTTATAGGACAGGAAGCGCATTGCCAATACTCTGGGCCAGTCATTTGGTACTAGAAAAAAAATACAAGCCATTAAATCAAAGGAGAGAGACGTTGTTCGCCTAGACATGATATCCACCGCAGAATCGTCCTCCATCAATGCATCTATCGATACAAAGGTTAAAAAGAGGCCAAGCAAACCGCCTACAAGCTAAAATTAACCTTGAAATTTAAAATAAAAAAATTACAAGCCTTGAATGCACCCATAATTTTAATTACGCAAAGTGCAAAGAATATTTACGAACAAATGGGATGAGGTTTTTAGAAAAGCTAGTCAAACATCTGTTTGTGTTGAATTATGAGGATGGAATTAGTAAACGATGCCTGCACCCTTACGTCTCAATTGTATCGCTTGGTGGTGTTCAACTCCAAGAAATATGACATCGATTCTTTCATGGCCTTGGAACATCAATACCGCTCAATTGGCGCCACTCTAGAGTTTGTCGACCAGAAGCTCGATGAAAAGACTATGTATCATGCAAAAGGGGCACATGTAGTATGTGTGTTTGTCAATGACATGCCTGAAAAACCGGTAATTGATTACTTGAAGGCACACGGAACAGGCCTGCTTACATTTCGCTGTGCAGGCTTTGACCGAGTGGACCTGGATGCATGCCGCGAGGCTGGCATGAGTGTCAGCAGAGTCCCGGTTTACTCTCCATTTGCGGTTGCCGAACATGCCATCGCACTGACTCTTTCTCTCAATCGCCGCCTTCGCAGCTCTGATAAAAGAGTTTCACAAGGGAACTTTTCTCTTTCAGACTCTCTCCTTGGCTTTGACATGAATGGAAAGACGGTCGGGCTTCTCGGAACGGGAAACATTGGACGAATTGCAGGAAAGATTTTCCTTGGCTTTGGTTGCAAGATCCTCTGTTATGATGTGTTCCAAAGCGCCGAGTTTGCTGCTCTTCCGAATGTCCAATACGCCACCATGGACGAGGTCCTTTCAAATGTGGATATCCTTTCCCTGCACCTACCTCTTCTGCCGTCAACCCGTCACATCATTAACAAAGAGAATTTGGCTAAAATGAAAAAAGGGGCCATCATCGTCAACACCTCCAGAGGCGGGCTCGTTGACACCGCAGCTTTGTTGGAGGCCATCGACAGCGGCTCTATCCGTGGGGCTGGCCTCGATGTCTATGAAAACGAGTCGGAATACTTTTTTGAGGATCATTCTGATCGCGAAATTGAAGATCCCGTGCTCAAGGTGCTAATGAATCATCCAAACATCATTTTAACGCCCCATCAGGCTTTCTTCACCGCGGAGGCACTGTCTGAAATAGCAAAGGTTACATTTAACAATGTAAAGGAGTTCATTGTCGATGGAAAGCAAATGTTGAAAATGACCAATACTTGCCTCAAATAAGAAGCCTTTCTAACTTTTAATAAAATATTTTGGAGAATTATCCATCAACTGATCGGTGTTTACTCATAAAACACTGGTGCAAAACAACTTTGCTGCATGTGTGTTTGACTGGCTAAAATTAAAATTAAATTTATAGATCATCCAATCAATCAATTGCATGACGTTTACATATCCCGTTTTACGCTTTTGATTTATTAATGCAAAGCAAAACTCTTTACTCCATTTTCACGATCTCCGCCTTATTGTTGATTGGACTTGTCGTTCTGTTTAAATATCCCGCAAATGCACCTGGTGAAGAATCGCTAGGACCACAAGTACATTCTTTGAAACACACTAGCGAGGCCCTACAAAATAATGCTGTGGTGATGCTACCCACAGTATCATCTGCATCTCTGGCTCTTGATCAATCCAAACCATCCAGGATAACGTTTTCTGAGCTAATCAAGGCTCCAGCAAAGCTTATGTTTGGAGAAAAAGCCAACTCTTCAGGCAGTGTTGCAATTGCAGTAGCAATGGTCATCTCTGCTTCCATTCTCGTGTGTGTTCCTTTGACCGTATTGTTTATCATTTACATGAACAGTAAGAATGAACAACTTTCTCAATACGAATCTGTTTGCACAAGAAGATACTTTTTGTTGCCACCATTGTTTCTTTTGACGGTTTCTACGATAGTACTTGGCTTTCCCAGTCTTTTTGAGGGCTTAATCGGGAAAATTATCACGTTCCAAAATGCAGATGATTCAACCCATGCTTTTAACTTGTCTTTTGTTCTTTTGTTCACTGTAGGCTTTGGGTTTGCTTTGAGCGAATACGGTTTTGCCGGTTTTTGGATTATGATCGAGCTATTTAAGGGGGTTATGTTCTCGCGCGATTTTCGCCATGGTCTCCAAAAGCGTTCTTAATGCCATTTTGAAAACCAAATAAAAGTGAACGTCCACTAAGCTTAGTAGATTAAATGGCCACGGCATTTCGGTAGCGCTTTTATTATTAACTAAATGTTCACCAATCTACAAAGGCGCTGGATTTTGTTTAGTAGCGAGTCGCCAGCCTTGACCAAACTCAAATATTGATCATTTTTGGAGGTCCCCTTTGCAGAGTGCTCGACAATTCCAGATACCTTATCAATGGTGCAATTGAGACGGCCTGCAGAAATCCAATGAAATAGCTCCCTACCAAATACACGAGTCACATGCACACACCATACCGATCGATAAAGTCTACAGAAACGCCAAAGGCATTCGCAAGTGCCTCTAGGGTGACGCATTTGTAGGATTGGAGAGTTTGCGAATATGCTCGGATGCGCATCTCACGCACAATGAAGGTCGAATGTGCGGAAAGGAAAAAGTCTCTTTTCAGGAAATCCTCGATGAAAGATGCCAACAGCACAAAAAACTCTTTATAATGGCACTCATAGAAGGAGGAAATATACTCCCTGAACTGAGGGATCGTTTGAATGACTTCAAGAACCTCTGGGGATGAGCAGATCTAGAATTTAGGGGCGGAAAAACCTTTTGCTTGATCTCGGCGCGAGGGAGCGTTAAAAGACCCGTTATAACTGTATATGACACAAAGGTTTGGAAATCCATCAGCTCTGTATAGCTAAAGGTAGAGAGGGAAGACACCAAAAGACTGGCGGCCTCGCTAAACTTTCGCTGGCAAATATGGAAAAGCGCCTTATAAACCCGCAGGCGGTTGCATCGATCCCAATCTCCCCCGAGCTCCAAAATGCTAAAAGTCCAATTAGAAGGTACGCAAAGTACCTTTCCGCTTTAGCGATATTGCGCTTCACTATGTCCATGTCATCCCAAAGAAAGCCTAAACGGATTGAAGCAAAAGCAAAGTCAAGTCTAGATCCAGTGGTTGGACATTTTTCCTCCAATTGGCGGAGCAGAAGAATCGAGGCATCTTTATCCCCAATTTGGCAAAGGTAAATGGCCTTTGAAAGCATTAGCTCGACAACATCGCTTTGGCTGAGCCCCTCATTGGCTTTTGATATTTGAGCATCAAATTCGAGCAGCTTTTCAGCGTTAAGGGCGACCAATTTGGAAACAAATGCAGAGTCCTGAGACACCAGGGGGGCAAAAGGCCCCATTTCTTTTTCCAAAAGGATCTTTGCGATTTGATCATTAAGATCCGAGGTTGCTGGCCCCGCATGCGCGCAAGAAAGCTGGTGAACCAATTGCTTAATATGCAATGCAGGGAATTTTTGCAGCTCCTGATATAAATGGGCAAAATTGCTGCCCCTGTAGGGCTTTTTCTTGGGGGCAGGCCTAGGGGGGGCGGCGGCAGCAGAAGAGTCCATTTTGACCGGAAGGGTTGACATTTGGAACAATAAAACTTGAATTTGGCATGCACGCGCATGGCATGCATTGTAACTGAGCGCAGATTTTAAATTTAAAGTTTAATTGTAAAATGGGATTGTTGATCAAACGACCATCGACCCACCTGCTCATCTAGTCTATGGAACGCCGTTGTTCCCGATGCTTTTGTCAATTGTAGAGAGCACATGTATCGTTCGCCAGTCTGGAATCCATTAATCTTATGGAGGCGATATAATGGAAAAATGCAGCAAGAAATACCATCACATGCCAGACTTGATGCGAATGGAAAAAATGGTCTAGCTTTCCAGGAAACCAAGCTTCGGGAATTCGCACAACATACACATATGCACCGGCTAAATACAGCACGATTTCTATCAGCAAATATTCTGCTGGCACCAGGTCACTCCATTGTGTCCAGCCATTTAAGAAAATGGAGTGTGCCGAGATGAGCCCAGCTGCAATGCCCATGCCTATGACATTAAACAAAAGAACGAACCGACAAAAAACAGCGTCCTCCACACTCGAAATTCGTTCGTTCTAAAAAATGGAAACCAAGGCAATACGACGCCGGAAAGGCAGAGAACCGTAACCAGCGCGATGTAGACCCACCGTAGCGTGTTGTGGCAATACAGGGCGTAATTCAAATAAATCACAAAAGAGCCCAAGATCAGCAAGGAGATGCCGGAGTAATCGAGAATGGCCACGATATCGTAAACCGAAGAATGCGAGTGGCACGAAAAAGTGTGGAAAATTGTGGAGCAAAGCAAGCATTTTATGGCGGACACCAGGAAAATCGTGACCATCGCATAATCCAAGCTGGTCGCGTGCTGCGGCAAATTTTGGTATCCGACGATCAAAAAAACAAGGAAAACCAGAGCGCCAATCAAATGGGTCCAAATATTTCCTGTTTCATTATGAATTGCAAAAATCGATTTGAAGCATTGGGAAAAGTTATAGTGGGCCCGATATCCGGAAAGAATGTACAGGTTGTCTTGCAAATGGGAAGGCACCTCGTGGAAGTGGAAATATCTCATTATCGTTTTGTTGGCCTCCTTGGTGGCGCGAAGAAGCTTTTCCGGAATGCAATCGGTGACCAGATCTGAAATCGACGATGCCGATTTCGACTCATTAAGCAAGGGGGAGCGGAGGGGCGCCTCCACCCTGAGGAGCAAATCCAGCTCCTCGCTTTCCGAGTACGACGACGACGAAGTCGACACGAACGAGTCCGGGGATCGTTCCAAATCGCTATTTTGATACGTTAATTCGTCTTGATCTTGATTTTGATTTTGATTCATCGGCCGGGCTGAATTGGATAAAATTTTTGGCCACAAATTGCTGGAAAATGCACCTATGCAAATACAACAAATGCACCATGAAAATTTTATAACACAAACATTTATTTCTAGCCGCTGCACTCAATCATTGTACAGCCAATCGAGCATCCGTTTTTTCTTTCTCTCCATTTTGCGCTGTTTGAGGACATTGACCTCTTTACGGGTGAGCTTTAGGGGCGTCCTTTTTCCGTCCTTCATATCTTGGTTTATGGCATCATTGTAGGCCTCGTAATTAAAGTAATGCGACATTTGCCGGAATGCCTTTTCCCCTGCAACCCTGGACCCCAATGCCGGGCCAATCAGTGGGCCGGCCGCTGCAGACGGAGCCGGGCCCATGGCCGGCGATGTCTGCAAATTGGAGGCCGAAACCAAGGAGCTCAGGCTGTGTGATTGTTCGGAGGCCGAAGCCTTCAGTTTGGCATAATATTCTGGGTAGTACGTGGAATAGTAGTAATGCGAGTATGTGTTCATATCCATCCCAGCGGGGAGCCCATCGAGGTTTTGCGGGGGAGGCTCCGGCATAATAAAATGCTTCCAACTTTTTAAATTTTAATTAAATGAAAATTAATGTCCACAACGGCAAGCCTTTTTCTTCAGGCTATTTTTCGCTTCTAGAGAAAAGGAGAGAGCTTCCCGTTTACAAAAGCAAGGAAAATTTTTTGGATCAAATTTCAAAATGCAGCACATTGGTACTTGAGGGCGACACGGGTTCCGGAAAAACCACGCAAATTCCCCAATTTCTGGTGGAGCTTCTCAGCCCAAAAGCGTCCGGGAAGCTGATCGGGTGCACGCAGCCAAGAAGAGTTGCAGCCATGTCTGTTGCAAGGAGAGTTGCGCAGGAAATGGATGTCGAGCTTGGAGCTCAAGTGGGATATACCATCCGGTTTGAAGACATCACATCTTCTGCAACGATTCTCAAATATCTTACCGATGGAATGCTGCTGAGAGAGGCTATGTTTGACCCGCTTTTGTCCCGCTATGCAGCAATTGTTATCGACGAAGCTCACGAGCGAACGCTTGCCACCGACATTCTCATGGGCCTTCTGAAGGAGATTCTGTGCAAACGGAACGATCTCAAAGTAGTGGTGATGTCAGCCACCATTGAGGCTTCCAAATTTCAAAACTATTTCCAAAACGCACCTTTGATCAGCGTTCCGGGGCGCACGTTTCCAGTGGAAGTGTTCTACACTCCAAACCCCGAGAAAGATTATCTTGAAGCAGCAATCAGGACCGTGCTGCAAATACACATTACCGAACCGGCACCTGGTGATATCTTGCTGTTTTTGACGGGCGAAGAGGAAATTGAAGATGCGTGCAGGCAAATTTCTCTGGAGGCCTCACGCCTGAACAGCGACAATTCGAAGCCTTTGACCGCGATTCCCCTATATGCGTCTCTTCCCCCCTCGGCACAGCAAAAAATCTTTGAAGATGCACCCCGCTTCAAAGGCGTGGTTGGGAGAAAAATCATCGTGTCAACAAACATTGCGGAAACGTCGCTTACGATCGATGGAATTGTTTATGTGGTTGATCCTGGATTTTCAAAGCAAAAAATATACAACCCACGGCTGCGAGTCGAATCGTTATTGGTTTCTCCTATTTCAAAGGCATCTGCACAGCAGCGAGCCGGTCGTGCCGGACGAACCCGGCCTGGAAAATGCTTCCGTCTGTATACGGAGGCGGCATACAAAAAAGACCTACAAGAAACCACATATCCCGAAATTCTGCGCTCAAATCTGGCCGCCGTGGTGTTGCAAATGAAGCGGCTTGGAATCGATGATTTGGTCCATTTTGATTTTATGGACCCGCCGGCTCCAGAAACGCTTATGCGAGCGCTAGAATCTCTCCATTACCTTGGGGCTCTTGACGACGAAGGCGAGCTTACAGAGATTGGCAAAAAAATGTCCGAATTTCCGGTTGACCCGCCAATGGCAAAAATGCTACTCACCGCTTGCGATTTGGGCTGCTCAAACGAGATTCTATCGATCGTTTCGATGCTTTCAGTGCCATCTGTTTTCATGCGGCCGGCAGATTCGAGAAAGGCGGCAGACGATGCAAAGGCGCTGTTTGCACATCCAGACGGAGACCACTTGACGCTGCTCAACGTATATCATGCATATAAGCGAGACGGAGACACTCCAAATTGGATTTATAATCATTTCCTTTCCGCACGATCTCTGCGCTCCGCAGACAATGTGCGTGAGCAGCTCTCACGCGTGATGGAAAGGCTGCAATTGCCGCTAAAGTCTCCCGTGTTTGGAACGAGACTGTATTACGATCTGATTAGAAAGGCACTCGTCTCTGGCTTCTTCATGCAGTGTGCTCATGTGGAGCCGTCTGGAAATCATTACTTGACCGTCAAAGATAACCAGCTTGTTAAAATCCACCCGTCAAGCGTCCTAGATTCCAGGCCCCAATGGGTAATATATGGGGAGTTTACGCTCACCACGCAACACTATATTAGGACGGTCACCGAAGTCAAAGGCGAATGGCTTTTGGAGATGGCCCCCACTTACTTCGAGGGGCTTCCAGCATCTTCTGCGAAGCGATCCATTGAAGAGGTCAAGCAGCGAATTGCCCGCCAGCAGGAGCTGAATGTGCGTCGGAAGCGAAAGGGCACTTGAGACAGAAGGCCGTTTTTAAAATAAAACCATCATCAATGTTAGGGTTAGGGCCACCATTCATGGCTGGAACGGTGTCACCGCTTCAAAGCATGCCATTGGCAAAGGCAGAATTGGCCATCAAAGTGCGACAAACAAGCAAACGAGCCGATTTCAAACGGACAGAGCGGACGGCATAGTGGATCGGACAAAGCAAATGTGCCAAAGTGGCTTTAAATTAAATTCCGGCCGATCCGGAGATTTTTACTATCGCCACGGGTATCATGCGCCACCAGCTGATTGAGGTGATCAACCGCCTGCACGCGGTTTTTGCGTCCACACCGACGTTTGGAAGTGACCTTGAAATACCGCAAATTATAGCGATTGGCTCCCAAAGCTCTGGGAAGAGCTCGATTCTTGAAAACATTGTTGGGTTTGAATTTCTCCCTCGTGGGACTGACGTCGTTACAAGGTGCCCAATTGTTCTCCAACTACACAACGTCGACGATGCGGTCACATTTGGCGAATTTTCTCATCTTCCCAACCGTCGCTTTGAAAACTTTTCCGCCATTAAGAGCGAAATCATTTCACGTACAAAAGTGCTTGCCGGCGAGAACAAAGGCATCTCTAGGGTAGGATGGCTGCGTTGCTTTCTCATCACATTGTAGAGTCCAATTTTTTTGAAAATATGTTCCAGTAGCGTCCCAAATTTGTCTCTAGTGGATTTGCCCGGCATTACAAAGGTAATAGCGACGCTCGGGGCATGATTTGTTAGATTCCCGTGGGCAGCCAGCCCAGAGATATTGAGAATATGATTCGCGAAATTATTTTGTCATATGCAAGGAAGCCATCTTCGCTTCTGTTGGCAATCATTCCGGCCAACATTGACATTGTCAACTCGGAAGCGCTCAAATTTGTGTCTGAGATAGACCCAGCAGGCCAAAGGACACTGGGCGTGCTGTCGAAAATCGATCTCATGGATCAGGGCACAAATGCCCTCGATATTTTGTTGAACCGCGGTCCTGTGCGCCTTGCACTTGGATTTGTCGGGGTGGTGTGTCGCTCGCAAAAGGCCATCAATGAAGGGACTTCTATCCAGCAATCTTTGGAAAATGAGGAGAAATTTTTTTCTTCCCATCCCATTTACAAGTATGCTTGTGCGTATCGTTTATTTTATTTGCAGATCCAGCCCCAACATCAGATGCGGCACAGAGTCAATCTCACATGTGCTTTCAAGCATATTGCTGCGGCATATTCGGGCCAGCATTCCGACACTGAAGTCGCAAATTATGGCCCTACTATTGAACACACAGAACGAGTTGAAGGGCATTGAAAGCTTGTCGCTCTTGCATGGGTCTTCCCATGATCTCTCGTCATCCCTGACCGGAAAAGGATGTCTTGTTCTCAAGCTGCTAACAAAATTCTCCTCCGATTTTGAAGATTCTATTCAGGGCTCTTCGCGCCACATATCCACGTGTGAATTGTAGGCGGTTTTCTCCAATTATGTTAGGGTTGGCGGGGCGCGTCTTCAGATGATCTTCCATGACTCGTTTGCCTCTGCCATTTCTTCGTACGATCCAACAGGTAGCCTCTCGCTTTCAGACATAAGAACGGCAATAAGAAACGCCAACGTGAGCTTTCATCATTGATCCGTAGGGCGCGAAACCGTCGCTTTTCGTGCCAGAAATGTCTTTTGAGCTGCTTGCAAAGCAACAAATAGCGAATTTGGAGCCTCCATCGCTCTTTTGTGTCAGCATGGTGTATGAAGAGTTGCTCAAGCTCATCACTTCTTGCGCATCTGCCGTAGGGATTTGCCATCTTTTCCATTAGGAGCTTGCAAGGTATCCAAATCTGCAGAAAAAAGTCATCGACGTGGCGAGCACGCTCATCAAGGAGCGAATGGAGCCCACGCGAGCCATGGTCCAGTCTTTGATAGCAATCGAGCTTGCCTACATCAATACTAACCATCCGGATTTCTGCAGGGCCGGGGCAGCCCTGGCCGCGATGGAGCAAGCTAACGAGATCAGAAAGCCGATTTCTGTAAGCGAGCCTGCACAAATGGAAGACATATGCACATCGCAAACTGGGGGCTCGCTGACCTCTTCGTCGCAAACAGCCCTCACCCCATCAAATAGCGGCATTTTAAACTTTTTCTTTCGAACAGCCTCTTTGCCTATTAATAGCCAAAGCCAATCCTTGGGCACATCCTCGCCCATGGAGACGCCCATTCGAGGGGGGATGGCATTTGCTCTTCCCTCAACCCTATCGCCCTCGATGAGCCCAGCCTCGCTGCCGCCAGCATTGAGGGCAATGGCCCCGGAGCCCAGCACCACCACCGCACCTCACCGACCAAAGCTATTCTCTTTGGAGTCAAAGGGATTTACCGAGAAAGAGGAAATGGAAACACATCTCATTATGACGCTAATTAGGTCCTATTTCAATGTCGTGCGCAAAAACATCGTCGACCTGGTCCCCAAGGCAACCATGCACTTTTTGGTGAATGCCGTTAAAGAAAACCTGCACAACCGTCTGGTTACTGAGCTTTATCGGTCGGATTCGGAAAAAATCTTTGACGAGCTTCTTCAGGAAGATCCGGCCATCGTCAAGGAAAGACGTCGAATATCGCAAATGCTCGAGACGCTTTCGCACGGCATGGAAATCCTTGGAGAAATCGGAGAAATGGCCACCGAATAGCACTGAAGGGGGCAAATCCTTGACGGAACTTGGCCGTCGTCTTTGATCTTGAAGCTTTCAAAACCCAACAAGTTGTTGTAATTGACTTAATCGAGTTGTAATTTCAAGTTCACACAATTAATTTGCGCAATTTAATCGAGTGGCGCCGCCATAAATAGGGGTCTCAATTAGACCGAAAGGTGGGTCAGTCCCAGGGAGTCCTGCTGCTCCTCTGTCCGCTCGTAATCCTCCACCTGGATCTGCGGGTCTGGATCTGGCGCAAAAAAGCTTTGAAGATACGAGTTTGCAAGTGGATCGTCAATGACAATTGTTACTGGCTTGGTTTCATTGAGGACGGCAGAGAGTGCCTGTACAAGAGATTGAAATCGAACGGTCTGCTTGGGAGTGGCAGAGTCGCCCAAGGCAAATGGGATTCGCTCCTCCATCTCCTCTTTGATTTGCACGAGAAGACCTTCAATGGTGGTGAACCTTCCTCCCAGCGTGCCCGGTGCAAGCTCTAAATCTATCTCTGGAATAAATATAGAACATGTCTCCGATTTAAGAATATCCCTGGAAAGGTCTTCTGGACATTGCAGGCTAAAGGTGATACGACGGCCAAGCGGGGAGATGGCACCTCCGGTCTTTATTTCTGAAGATTTGAAGTTGCAAACGGGACATGTTGTGGCCATAATTATGACCTCCTTAAAGTAGGGGATATCAATTGGGTGCATGCGTGTCGGACAATACGCCAGGCAAGAGGGACATGTTCCCATGAATTCAAAGACAGAATCTATTTCTGAGGGCGGATCGTCATTTTCCGCGCTTTCGTGTGAATTTGTCGTAGATTCATCGGCAAGTGAAGGCTCAGGATTGAATCCAAGAAAAACATTCTGCTCAGAACTTCTGACATATCTTCGTATCAATAGAGATGGATCCAATGCTTCTGGAGTGTCCAGGGTAAAGGCACCATCGTCAAAAATGGTCGATGCGGAAAGAAATTCGATATAGGAATTCCCAGCAGGATCATCCAACACCAGAGAAAAGCAGCGCTCTCCACACTTCATTTTCTCTAATTCGGCGATGATATTTTCTATGGCAATGGCGGCTTCTGGATCGGACCCATTCTACAGGTAAAAGGGCACATTCACACCTTCCTCTCCTCTTGATTCAAAGAAAGATCATCAATGAATCGACCCAAAAGGCCCTCAACGGTTGTAAGCAATCCCTTTGCATTTGAAAAGGCCGAAGATGGGACCTCAAGTTCCAGCTCTGGAATCGAGATGGATGCATACTCGGTTCGAACGACTTGCCTTGAAAGATCCTAATATTATGGAAAGCAGCTACCTTGGTTGTGGATACCTTTAGGGTCCACTCGATTCCGTAATCACCAATGGCACGTGCTGATAGGATTTCATTGTTTGTTTCTCCGCAATGCGTGCACTCAAATGAGGCGATTATCACCTGCTTAAAATGCGGAATATTGCAGGGAAGAAGCTGGGTGAGGCCCTACAGGAAAGAATTACCACGGCCATCAAAGTACATTTTCGCCGCACTTCATACAAAGCGATTCTACTTGTGTCCGTTGCTCTGTCATGAGAAAATTCCGTAAAGTTAAAATTTAAAAGTTTATCACGACACTGGTCTTATGGCAGCGGTACATGTTTGCCACTACCTTGCCCATCATATTGGGCCTCTTTTCCATTATAAAAAGGGTTAGGACATACACGATATCGATTTGGTTGTCTGTACAACGATGGCCAGCCGAACCCATGCATCATTTTCGCCTTTTTCGCTCAAAATAGCACTGCCCAATTAAGTCGATGCCTAATTGGGGAGCCAATCAATGTACTTATTTGTTTAAATCCAAGTGCACATGCAACCCCAAACCAAGGCTTAAAAACACGAGCCCAATACCCTACTCAACTCGATGAATCGGCAAAGGTTACAAACGCTGTTCGGTATATTTCTGATGCCTACCAGATGTAATTGGTTTGAGAACCATTTCAAACTTCATCGTTGCTAGCTTCTTAACTTGGGCATGAAATATGTCGTTGAAATTAGCGATTTATTTGCGGTGTGGCTCAACTTTTGTTTTTTAGCGGTCTATTTAACGATCTGAAACGATTGCAGCAAATTTTGGAAGCCAGCGTGTTTGTTGAATTTTCCTTTGGACGAACATTTTGCATGCAGAAATCCTCCAGAAACAGCACGTAAACACAAGTTCTGGTTTAAGTTTTGCATCGAATCTTTTCTAAATTGCAGCTTAAATTGTTTCTTTGCCGCCATTCAAAGTTACATCGGCCCCAAGTCTGAAGACATATTTCGCCTCTCAATGTTGGATATTGTGCTTTGCTTGCATGTATCGTTTTTACTGTTGCCTAAGCCAAATGGAAACAGCAGAAGCCATCGCGATGTACCCTGTGTACATCCGCTCGTTTACACACATATGCACGTGTAGCCAAAGGCGAAAACGGTTTCCAAGTGCACCGGTTACCAGTGGCATATAGATGGGAATCCCTTAAAGCAGGGTTAAATTTGCTTTAATTGCAATCGATTGCAAATTAGAGTTTGGGGATTTATTGGCCCAAATTTCGCTTCAATCAAATGGTACGAAGGGGGAGCCGTTCCCTCACCATATAATTAAGGTCTTTTGTATGTTTCCCTAATGAGATACAATGAGAACGTCATAATTGCGCTCGATATTTTTGAAAAGTCTACCCTTTGGAGGTCCGTCTCCAAGCTTCTTAAGATAGAGGAGCATGACTCGTCGAGGGAATCGTTCCTGCAGGTTTCCAAATTAATATCCTCTGGCGAGTATCGAAAACCGCTCTCTCTTTTGCTGATGCAATTGGGATATCATGAGGCGGAATCTAGCTCCCTGATTTCGAGGAAGCTCCTTGCCAGCATAATCCTTCTCCTGTTTTACGAGCAGCCCCCAGAGAGTCCATCCTCAAATCATGAAATTCTGCTTGCGCAATTGAAAACCATTTCTCGACGACTTTGGAGCCTGCTCGAGTTGGCATTGAATTCTGTCAGCTCTGTTGCCACAACAACAATCTTGCAACGGGATAGTAAGCAGGATACATACGGCCGCAAGGATACCCACATTCACAAAAGTCCTCAAACAAATGAGCCCGAAATTCCAGAATCTGAAACCCTTATCCCGCTTCACAGCGTAAAAATCAATGCCACACTATTGGAAAGTCTGAGGCTGGAAATAGATGCGTATCTTCTGCTCTTTGATAAGTGGAAGGCTTCGGATCTGCACGCCCTGCAATACTCGATCTCAGAGGAAATCACTTCTGTTGAAAAACTGGGCCAATCTGAAAACTTGGGCCCTGAATGGCAGGGTCCACTGCAATCGTATTCTTCCATTCTTGAGTGTGCAACGAACAAACTCTCCTTGTATTCCGATCGCGCTGATGTTCCTGCTGCCAAAAAATTCGAGCCCATCATGACGGGAAAGGATTTGTCCATCTCTATTCAGCTCAAAAGCAATCCCGTTTTGGCGAGAGCATCTGTTTTGTACGAAATCATTGTTCAAGGTCCGCAACAGTTTATTGCATGCAGAGAAGACATTAGCCGCAAAGCACCGTCTATTTTTAGCCCCGGAGGTGAAAATTCGGAGCAGCTTATTCATTTTCGCTCTTTCCATGCTAGCGTCGTAAAAAGAATTAAGCGGGCACTGATTGAAATTGTCACCATTGGCGAGGCTTCGTTCAAGTGTATGCGTCTCAGGGAAAGGACAAGTAAAGGCTCCATTGAATTTCTAGAGGCAAAAGATGATGGAGAAAGCTTAGCTGGCGTTATTGAAAAGGATTTTTTGTCCGTCTGTGCGGGAGGCAGCATTTCATTGAAAGATCTAATCCACACCCTGCGACGAACACTCTTTTGGCTCTCGACCCTCGTTTCGGCCTCCAAGAAAGACCTCTCAATGGTGACGGCCAAGAAAACATCCACCACCTCTTCTCTGATACTCGGCGAGGAAATTCGACTCCTTTCATCCTCGATGGATGCCTTTTATGCCCGCCAAAGTACGCCTAACCCAGATGAAGCGATGATTGCAGAGCGTAAGGCCTTCCTGATTGCATTCTACAAGTCTTTGGAGGGCATTTTCCATCGCACCCATTTTCTGGCCTTGGAGCACGCGGTTTCTTCCCTGATTCTTCCTTTTATTTCAGAAAAATCTCATTTACAGGACTATTTCACGAGTGCTTTTGCATCTGCAATTTCTACCTTTACCAGCACCGAGGACGAGCAGTGTTTGGGGAACAATTTTTCTTCAAGCGTCGAACTTGCTGTCGATAAAAAATTGGCGACCAGCGGTGCTAATTCCCGCCCGAAAAATGTCGAAAATCGGTCAAATCCCGATCATTGCCCATGCTGCTTGCATGTCGCCAACTTGTCCTCAAATTCAGATAATTTTTCCCAGGAAGAGGGGGCTTTTGCGGACACCCTTGCTATTGGCAGTCTTCTGCACAAAGCTCTTGCCATGGAGGATCTCCAACTGGAAACCGAATTGCCCACTGTGCTGTGGTTCGATTTCTTGTGGATACAGGACCTTTCGCGGTCAATCACACTGTGGTCTTATGTGATGTCTTCTTTTCTGCTTCTCAAAGAGTCGCTTGGAACTGTAGGGCAAGATTTGCTAGTAACCTCGTTCCCCGGTATCATAGAAAATATCGAGAGTTTCAAAAGCACCGCGAACTATTTTCCGATGGAACGGATTTGGAGAGAAGCCCTTCAAATGGAAGATGCCGAGTTTGGAATCCTCAGCAGCCTCAATAAGCAGCATCCTCTCGTCCTTCTATTTTCAAAGCGGATCACGCGAGCCATTGTTGAATGCGGAACCTCGCTTTTCGAATCCCTGTGGGTAGCATCTGATTGCATCCACAGCAGTGCCTCCATTCCAAGGGTCATGCAGACAGGCAGGTTTCTGGCTTCTACCTCGTCCAAAAACAACCAACATTTTGAGTGGTGGACCAATTGGTGTACATTTTTGGCGGCCGTGCAGGGGTACGATTTTTGCAAATCTTCGCCCACGGCCCTGCCCATACATTCCTCGCTCGCCACTGGAGTTTCGGGAAAATTCTTGTGTGAACGTGTTATTTATCCTGCAGCGCAACAGGCAGCAAAGCGCATATGCTTACACCATATCTTGTGCCACAAATAAATTAAGCTAATAAACGATCAGCCCCAACGGCAATGGCCATATGCGTTTGCACGGTCTACAGTGTATTAAAAAGCAGCGTGTAAGAATAATCGACTGAATTTCCATCATCCTATGATGGTGGAGTGATTGGGGTGGGTATGTTGCACGCATTGGGTATGCTGGAAGGCGTCATAATGGCATGCAGAAGGGTAACCCAGCGGGTACCATATAGGGCCAGCTCTTCCGCTGCAGATCTGTGTTTTCGACGCGCACGAAGCCACTGTAATCCGCTGGCATATGATGATGGCTGCAGTTCAGATACCGGAGCGCCTGCGCGCTTTTCAAAAGTGAATCCAAACACATTGGTAAGGCGTTTTGAGGATGGGCCATTTATTCCCAAAGAAGTGTCAACCAAAGAAATCGATGCCTGGATTCTGACCTGCGATTTCTCAGCATATACTACCGCGGCATCGATGGAGAGCAGAGAGCCAAGTGGAACCGGAATCAAGAATGACGACTCGTCCAGCGCTATAAAAAGCGGCCTGTCCCTGCAATATACAGAAGCCAAACAAAAAGCAAGCTCAAAGGCCTCCTTGATGAGCCAGCCACCAAAGATAAAGTTGTGAATGTTTCGTTCTTGCGGATGGCACAGCCGGAGCGAAGAGACACAGTATTGCGAACTCGGCGAAAACCCTTCTTGTTCAGACACACGGGTCATAATGCCATGCAATTCTTTCAGCTCGGAGGATGAAAAATCTCCATCCTCCGTGGGGACGGAGATTAATTTTCGTCGAGCACGCCGCTTAGAAGAGGCTGAAAAAAGCTCGATCTCCTCTGGAGTATCCAAAGAAAGCTTGGGAACCGGAACGGCAACGTGCAATAGCGGGTGTCGGGCAACCATTGTGAACAGGGCGCTGGCTGCAGGAGACCAGGTCGTGGAATTGACCTTTTTGTCAATGACTATTAGAACGTCCATTGAAGAGCTTCCTGTGGATTAGAAACCAAAACATACCGATAAAAGAAACGCACCCCGAGAGTCTGAGATCCTCGTGGATATCAAGGCGTTGTTGAAGGTCGATTCTGTCAACGGATGCAGTCACAATGGTAATTGGGAGCAAGGTTTCATGTTTCGCAGCATCATCATTGCCGGGAGACTGAGGAAGCGGCTCCAATGCATGCTTATAGGCGATGGATCCGGCAAGTGCGTCGATGTCTTCAATTATTTTTGCAAATCTTATGCCCCCGTACACATTTACATATTCCTCCCTGAGGTTTTCATTAGTAGAAAAGGGAAGAATAATTTCAATATACGAGTCCCGCATTTTGCGCGTCGACTCCGGGGGGATAGGTGTGGATTTTAGCGACAAATTCAAAATGCTTTTCAACTGCTGGAAAGTGGAGGTACGCGAGGACATGGGTGGCTTTCGGACTTGAAAATCAAATTGATAATCCCGAGATTTAAAATTATCGCGACTACATGATATGAGTAATTTTTCAATTCGAGCAAATGAGCATATATTTTTTTTTTGAAGAGGGCCTCTTTTGGCATGTTGATGCGGCCCAAGAGGAAACCCCGCGATTCCCCGCAAAAAAAGCGGTCTGAAATGTTGTGGTCCCATCAGAGCTAGTTGTTTATGTAAAAATCTTTGGTGGTATAATCGCAAATTTTTAATACTTTTCGATTGTAAATTCAGATTGTAAATGTCAAATTGAAAAAGATAAAATTTTGAATTAATGTCCTCGAGCACTGCTTCCATCACGTCTTTGCTGTCAAAGCCACGTTCTGAGCTTACCCAAGAGGAGCTCAAGGCAATTGAAATTCACGAATTTGAGACCGGCCCGCTATCCCTAATCAAGCGAGCAATGAAATCCAGGACAATGGTGCTTATCAGTTGCAGGAGTAATAAGAAGCTTCTTGCCAAAGTCAAGGCGTTTGATAGGCACTGCAATATGGTGTTGGAAAACGTCAAGGAGGTTTGTGTCATCGATTTCGCTTATCATGTAGATGTGGGTCGATACTCCCCGCGGTGGCGGAAAGAACAAGCGTCAAAAGACAGGCCGGCCTCTCAATAGGGACAGGTTTATTTCCAAAATGTTTTTAAGAGGCGATTCGGTCATCCTAACTGTGTTGACAAATATCCCCACTGAATAAAGCTCGTTTGAACATCACAATGTGTGCGGCGAACGTTCAATTGAATTTCGCCATATCTAGGGTTGGGATGCACATTAATTAATCAAATGTTTACGGTACTTTAAGGCTCGACTTTATTATGAAAATTAATATTTTTCCAACATTTGTCCGCTTTATTTTGCGTAATTTGATTGTGGTGTGATTCGCACGCGAAATACCGCACATTTTTTTGAGATGACCGCAGCTAACGTATGCTCACCCAACTTTGTTTCTGTTGTTCTTGGTTCGCAATGGGGAGACGAAGGCAAGGGAAAGCTTATTGACCTTCTTTCGCAAAAGGTAGACATCGTGGCGCGTTGTCAAGGCGGTGCAAATGCAGGACACACCATTATCCTTAACGGGCAAAAGTACACGTTTCACTTGCTGCCATCTGGAATTCTGCATTCACGAGTTGTTGGATTTATTGGAAATGGTGTTGTGATCCATCTGCCTTCTTTATTTAAGGAGATATACCAGCTTGAGGGACAAGGGGTGTCACCCATCCTACCAAGGCTGAAAATATCCTCGAGAGCACATATTGTTTTTGAGTTTCATCGAACCGTTGATGGCCTTCTCGAATCTGAAGCTCAAAATTCTTCCATCGGAACGACCAAGCAAGGAATCGGACCGACATACTCTTCAAAGGCATCAAGGTTTGGGCTACGGATAGGCGACCTGCTATGCGACGAAAAAGCCTTTAAAGCTCGGTATTTTCAACTATTGAATGGATTCTACAAACGCCACCAGGGCTTCACTCATGATTGCGATGCTGAGTTGCAAGAACTATTCAAATTTAAAGATCTTTTACGCCAAGTCGTTATCGATGATGGGGTCAGCTACCTTAATCGATCACGGACGCAGGGGAAGGAAATCCTAGTGGAAGGTGCAAATGCGCTTCTTTTGGATGTTGATTTCGGCACATATCCGTTCGTAACGTCTTCATCTTGTTGCATCGGAGGTGTAGTGGCAGGTCTTGCGGTCCACCCGAGGTCTTTGTTTCCAATTATCGACGTAATCAAGGCATACACCACCCGCGTTGGGCATGGTCCGTTTCCGACAGAATTGGATTTGGAACAAGACCCAATTGGCTTACATCTTTCTTCAGTTGGAGCAGAGTATGGAACCACCACGGGAAGGAAGAGAAGGTGTGGCTGGCTCGATCTAGTGATCCTATCCTATTCCCACGCAATCAACCACTATGATCTCCTAAATCTCACAAAGCTTGATGTTTTGACTGGAATTGCAAAGATTAAAATAGCAACCGCATATAGAATGAAAGATGGGACCATTTCAAAGGACCTGATTCCCTCCTGCTTGGATGACTTGCCCAAAACGGATGCCGATGTTATTTATCATGAGATGGACGGTTGGAACGAGCCGATCTCTCACATAAGAGAGTTTGGCGACTTGCCTGAAAATGCAAAGGCTTACATTCAATTTATTGAGGACTACATTGGGGTGCCCATCAAGTGGATTGGCATTGGGCCCTCTCGCGACGCCATGATTGCCAGAATGTAGTTTGCGCTGGATGGGCTGTCGCAATAATTTTGAAATTAAATAGAAACTTTTGCAACCCTACACATGCAGGTGTAACCCCAAGATGGCGGTGGCAGCGGTGCATAACAGGGCAGTTGTCCCCATGCAAAATGCTACTCCGTCAATTGCACAACGACTTTTACAAAATACCTAAAGTCAAATCTTTTAACGCCAAAAGTGATGGAACATAGCACGTCGCTCCATTCATCGTTCCAACATCCCCTTTGTTCCAGATACTCGTCCAAGGAAATGCAAAGACTGTTCTCCGATAACTGCAAATATTCGCTTTGGAGGCAACTGTGGTTCAATTTAGCCAAGGCACAGTATCATTGTGGGGTTTCTTGCCCCGGATTAACGTGCACAGCATTGGATGAAATGGAGCTACATTTACTGGATCCAATCGACTACGATCAAGTGCAGAGTGAAGAGAAAAGGCTTAAACATGACGTGATGGCGCACCTTTCTGTTTGGGGCTCCATCTGCCCATTGGCAAAGCCCATAATGCATCTGGGGGCCACGTCATGCGACATCACCGATAATGCCGATTGCATAATTGCAAGAAATGCGTTGAAAATCATTTTGGCAAGGCTTTATGGGGTCATTCGATGTCTTCGCGATTTTTCCATGCAATGGAATGCCCAGCCAACACTTGGGTACACCCATTTTCAATCTGCACAGCTTACCACTGTCGGGAAAAGGGCTGCCACATGGCTGCAGGATTTGGTTTCGGATTTCACCACAATAAGCCAAAAAATCGATCAATGCAAAATGAGGGGGCTAAAGGGAACTACCGGAACGCAAGCCTCATTTGTCTTTCTATTTGGCGGGGTTGGGGTTCCATCCAATGATACCTTGCAAAGCATCGACCAAATGGAGAACCTGTTTTGTTCATATTCCGGCTTTGACCGTGATAGGATTTATCCCGTCACTGGTCAAACAACGCCGCGCAAATTCGACATCGAAATACTGGCTCCTTTAGCCTCTCTGGCTGCAACGGCAAACAAGATATGTACGGACATCCGTCTGTTGGCACACTCGAAACAATTGGAAGAACAGTTTTCTGAATTTCAAGTTGGCTCTTCCGCCATGGCCTACAAAAGAAATCCCATCAAAAGCGAGCGGTGCTGCTCGCTTTCCCGCCATTTGATGGCAATTACAGGCAATGCATACACAACCCTGGCCAACCAGTGGCTTGAAAGGTCTTTAGATGACAGCGCATCTCGAAGGATAACCATTGCAGAGTCCTTTTTGTGCGCCGATTCGATCTTGCTGCTGCTTTTTTCGATCATTTCAAATTTGCAGGTCTACCCCGAGGTTTTAAACTCCTTGATTGGTAAGGAATTCCATTTCCAAGCGACAGAGGCAATTCTGATGGCTGTCGTCAAAAAGGGCGGAGACAGGCAAGTTGCGCACGAAATCATTCGCTCCCTGAGCATGGAAATTAATCAAAGGCGCATGTCCGCCCATCAATATGCAGATGGCTTTGAGGATGAAACCATCCCATTGCTTGATAGGCTAAAATCGCATCCCTATTTCGCAGAGGCGGATCTTTCGACAATCACTGCAGACCTGATTTGTGGGAGGGCATCGCAGCAAACCACTTCGTACATCCAGAATACGGTGGACCCTATCCTAGAAAAATACCAATCTCTTCAAAGTGAAACTCCAGATCCCATATCGATATAATCATTAAACCCCAGATGCCTCCAATAGCCTCCAGCATTCAATAGTAGTTACCTGTGCGATTTTGACCGCGCTATGCAAAGCTCAATGGCTTGCTACATAGTCGCCTTTTTAATCTGCTTTACCAGCCAAATATGGCACCGTGAACGATATGCTTCAAAAGGCGTTGGATCGTCATACAACGAACCAAGATTTGTAAAATGCCTGGTGCCAGCTTTGTTTCTCATCTTTTTTACAGCGTAGCGCATGCTCGCTGTCTTGAATTTTTCGACACTCAAATACCCAGCACTGGGCGAATGTTCCCAAGTCCTCTTTCGTTTTTTAATCAAAATTCCAATATGAACGACGATGCATGTGCCGGAAAAGTATGAAAATTACGACCGAAACCAGACCCCATCATATACGCTGCACACAGCAGAGACAAGAAAAGATCAACAAGGTGCGCTGGAAATATTTGATGCTTAGATGGAAATTGGCAAGGAACCATCATCAGCCGGATAGCTTTTTTGGAAGAGATCCAAACATAAATAAAAATGCCCATACAAAGACAGGCAACATTAGAAATAAACCTCACAAACTCCATGAGGTGACTGCAGATACTCGGCATTCTATTTGATCGTGCGTTGAGCTGCTAGTTAGGTATATTTGGATCTATATCCGATGCATTTTCAATACGTTGCTTGAAACAAAGTGGCTGGAAGCTGCGATTTTGTGGGCTAGTTTGGCTGCATCATATGCCTGATTGGACCCTTTCTTCGGCTACAAAGCTTCATACACATTTTTCTCCCATTCAAATAGCCAACACGAAAGCATCGAAAGGTGATATGAAAGAGATATACATTAGCCGCAACTTGCTACTAATCTCCAACAAACTGTTCCAACATCCTATGGGTTCATTTTCTGGTTTTATAGGCTTATCTTTTTCACGGGGTTAGCTCTTTTAATATCGCTTTGCAATCGGGTATTTTCTTTTAGAATCGTCTTGGCATCCGATGCTTCTATGGAAAGTATCGGTTGCTCCGCTTAAAAGCTTTCCAAAATATGGCTTTTATTGATGCACGGCAGAAATCTAGTAGCCCGCTATACTGTCTCTGGAATACCTATGTGCCCTCTTGACTTCATCAAGAACATAAATGCAAGTCGAAGCTAAAGACGCATTCTCTGTCTTTTACTATATTTTGCGATACGTTTAACGAAACTAGGGGTAGTTTATGTGATATATCCGCAACAGCTAACTGCTCCAATTCAAGAGCTAATCAAGAAAATGATCCGTAAACCAGGCCCCAATACTAAAGTTGAAGTTTGATCTTCGTTTGCAGGAATTTTGGAACATCGACATAAAGTGAACAGCCACCATGAGCTTTTGAGGACGGCTTTTTTCATTTTGTATCATCTTTTTGAAATCTAAAAAACACTACCAAAAGGCTCGAAAAGACCGTGTTCCTGGTAATGTAGCCTTGGGGTATCACATAAGCCTTGAAAATGCACCTGAGTCTCTGAACTGGGTCACTTGGACAAGTTTTCGACATATAATTTGCATCATTTGTGGCGTCTCTTATATGATCGCCTTTTAAGTCCGATTTGTTGAAAGGACTTTTCACTTTCGCCAAGTATCTTGTAGAATGACCGCGCATCACCATATTGGTCCTCATTTAGATGAATATCTCAGCCTTCGCATATTGAGAAAGTTTGGTGGCTGATCAAAACAATAGATACATCGACAAGAGCAATCAAAGCGTAAACATCAAATCAAAAGGACACTCCGAAATCGGATAATTTGAGTTTAATTTTATTTGACCAATCATGGAAAGAACCGCGTTAGAAAAGTCACACAAAAGTGCTCGTTCACTTGTGTTGCAACTACCCCTATAAAGCTGTTTTAGGTCTTATTTCTTCTGTAAAAGTAATGTTCCAATAATACATCTGACCGCAAGAAAAAGCTCAAAAGCCGATGTGTGCAGCCTTTGTCTTAAAGCAAGAAGGCGCTTAACATTTAGCATCTGACATTCTAAATTCCACGGCAGCATCCAATGCCAGATAGCTGAAAACATACCACTGGAACACAAAATTTTATTTCTAACAAAAGCAAGCATTTGAAATTCTACTTATAATTTCGTTCTATTTCTCTTATTGGTGAACCAATTGGACACCTGCTTGTTGGTCAAGCCACAATACTGCGATATTAGGACTTTCTCAGCCTCTGATGGGTATGGGCTTTTTTTGAAGAACTTTTCCATGTATTCAATGACCTCTTTAGAAAATCTTTTCTGTTTAGAAGCACAAATCTTTGCCGACGAACATTCAGATAATTTGGTGCTAGTCCTTTGCCTGCTGCTCTCAAGCCCAGACTCCATCAGACATACTTCTTCGTAGTTGGTTAGGAACCTCGCAACACGCTCCCTGATTAATTTCACTGCAAGTAATTCGACGAGATTCGAGTCTTTTTTGAACTGTGAGACCATTTTTTCGTTTAGAAGCATCGTTTCGTCTATCTGAAACGGTCCCAGTATTTGTAAAAGGTTACTGTTTTCTGTAATTAATCGGGATTCGCTTATGAAAACATCCTTGTAAAGAGCGAGAATTTTGTTATAAGTTTTAATGCTCTCTTCTTGTATTTTGAGTAGGCAAAGAGAGACTTTTTTAGATTCTGTCATCAGCTCAAAAATGCAACTCACATGTGACTTTTGGCTTTTTTGTTTCTGTCATTAAAATCAAAGGTGCAAATTTATGAGCTGATTTGTGAGTTGATTTGCGTGTTGATTTGCATGTTGATATGGTCTTGTGACCCGCTGATTTGTGTCATGTGTTAAAGTCACTGTTTATTCCACAAGAAAGAGTGAGCTCCTCGAACTTGGACTTTGCAAGGAGTTCTGCATCACATTGAGGAGACCAAATGTACGGGTGGAGTGTTGATTAGAGCTTCTGTTCAAAAGAACAGCAAATTAGCAGTCAATATTTGCTATTTGGGCAGGTGGCTTTTCATGTAAAAATAATGTGCCGAAAATTAATTAATTAATTAATTTCAGTGAATCAACTGCCCATATTTGTGCAAGTTTGTTGGAACTTCTCCGATAAATGAAAATCTTATCCCTTTGCCTTTTAAAAGGATCAATGAAGTCCACTTTTTCATCAATAAGACGCCAGTATAATTGCATCGTCAATTTTGCATTTGATTTTAAACCTGTCGCCCGTGCATAGGTGGGACCTGCATATATGAAGACATAGCTATATTCTGTCCTTTAAAAGTAAAGATTCAGCATGCTGGCTTTTAAAAGCAAAAGCCCAACATGCTGGCTTTCTGATGTCAATTTATTGCCAGTACTGCTCAAATGCTATTTATTTGAGACCCATATCTTGTAGGTGTAGATGTAGTTTTTAGAAAAGCTGTTAAATCTCTACATACATGGATGGAATTGTGATTAATTATGCGATAAACTCTTTGCTCAACTGTGGGGGCCCTCACCAGTGCTTGACATATGTAAACACGTCGAAATCAGACGTTCCCTGTCAACTTGCACATCACGGAAACTTTATTGAATTTTGCTGCTAAATGTCACATTTCAGAGATCTTCCATTATCAATTGTGCTAAGCAATTCTCAAACAATTACATTTTCCTGTTATGAATTGCAGCAATTAGGACCAAATGCTTCTCTTGAAAGCGTAAGAGGAAATGTATGTTTTTATCCTGCATTTGGTTACCTTGCCTTGTTTTAAATTCTTATCGTTAGATAAACCTCTCGTTCGGATATGAAATTATCGATTCCTCAGCAATTTGGTCAGTGGATCCTTATTTCAAGCAAAGCATTCCTCTAAGATTCCCCATAGCATTGCTCGGGTATTTACATGCTTCTATCTTATTGACTAGGAATATTTGTTCGCTGTATGTTTTTCTCTCTGCAATGCGAATAAACCTACTGGATATCACAGAACTGGCAACGGATCAGATATTTTGTGATCAGGAGAATCTTGCAGCCACTCTTGAAGAGATGAAAAGAGGGTATACTTGCCTTAATCTTGATAATAAATATGCTCTTTAGAACTTTTACGCCTTGATTTTCTCGAATTGGCAACCTGCTGCATGGGTCGATGTGAACTAGTTCGAGACATTTAGAATTATTTAATTATTTTTGTATTCGCGCATCCTCCAATCGATGTCTCGGTACACAATGTGAGGTGTTTATATTGTGCAAGAATTTCGGCTCCAGAATGTTAGGGGAAACCCCGATTCTGAGAGAATCTTGATTGAAAACTTAAATTTTAAATTGTAACACATACATTGCAGAGGTGCAGGATTTTCGTGAAACGAACTTAGTATTGGCATCCTTTTTTGGATTGGCTCGTGGAGATTGTGGATATTTAAACATACAACTTTCGGATGATTTTTTACTTTGAACCTCTTGAAATGAGCGAACCGTTTCTCCGACAGACCAATGCATGAGAGACAAAGTCAAAGGAATGATGTAAAAACATGTTGCACTAAAAATCCGAGTCCTTTGTAAGACATGGCCAGCAAAATTTTCTCGACCCATCTGCAATGGCTGAAAACGTGGAATGTACGTTCTAAGCAAAGTAATTGAAAACTACTCTTTAATACACAAATAGATAATACGCTATTTACACAAAATGGGACAGACAGATAGGGCGGGGTCATTAGTACTCATGTTTATCTGTATCTTCATATTCGTCCTCATCCTCAGAGGATGAAATCGAATTTCCATCAAAGGGGATCTCTTGCATTTGAACAGAAGGGGCTCCCTGAATTGAGCGAAGCTGTTCCTTTACAATGGCAACGATCGAGTCTAGATATTCCCTTGTATTCGTATTTGCAATAGTAGCTGACACCGTGGGGTACAAAGAATATTCAGGCGAAAAGTACTGGCGGTGTATTGTTGATTGAGGAATTTCGTGGTGAATAATGGTATCGACAAGTAGCCCCGTTTCGTATGCCCAGCAACGAGAGACATTTTTGATAGTATAGCCGCCACCTCCGAGTACAAGCAGTGGGATGTTAAAAGACTTGACAAAGGTAACACACGCCCCGTGGCCAGATATACTCAGGTTGAAGCATCCGAGCCTGTCTCCCCCAAGAGAATCGGCGCCGCATTGAAGGACAATAACAGATGGCGAAAATGTTTCGATTGTTTCTCTAACAATAGGCTCAAAGATGTAAGCAAACGATGCATCGTCTATTCCGTCTCCCAGAGGAACATTGAGCGAAAAATTCTTGCCCCTGCGAGCACCAATTTCATCGAACGACCCGGTATTTGGGAAAAAAGAATCGCCATATTTGTGAAATGAAAGCGTCATCACTCGATCGGACACGTAAAATGCCTCTTGAACGCCATCCCCATGATGGACATCAATGTCAATATACAAAACACGAGGGAAATCCTTCAATAGCTCTAAGATTGCAAGGACAATGTCGTTGATGTAACAAAATCCAGATGCTTCTCCCCTTTTTGCATGGTGCAGACCACCAGACCAATTTATGGCTATGGAGGCGTTTTCTCTGGCCAAGTGCCGTGCAGCAAGCATAGAAGATCCGCTTGAGATGGCACAGAAATCAAAAAGCCCATCAAAAACAGGACATTCATCATCGCCGATATTGTAGCGAGCCCCCCATCTTTGCACCTCTGCACGCACAGTGTCTGGGGTAATCCTGCGTAAAAATGACACATAATCCTCGGAGTGGAACCTCGAAAGTTGCTGGGCAGATGCTTTGTATCCACGGTAGACCCGCATACGCTCATGCAAACCATAGGAAATCACCAAATCATGCGTTAGCGCAAGGCGGTACGGCTTCATGGGATGTCCAGGCCCATAATGGTGGAGGGCAACCGAGGGCTCATGGATATAAACGACCTGTCGATTTATCGGATGCAAAGCAAAAAAATCGCTAAAATCCTCTTCTACCCCCTTGGTGTGATCGCTCGATTCATAGGTGCCCTGTTTGGAGGGAAATACAAAACTATTGACCGGGTTTTTGAAGAACGAAGAATCGACAAATGTTGGGGACATTTCGTGAATTTTAAATTTCAAAAATTATTTTTCCGCTTAATGGGCGACAACATTCAATGCTTCCTTAGCTTCTTTGGACACTCGCCAGCCAAAATAGATGTGAACGGGGATCTTGACTGGCTCTCTTCGATTCCAAATCTTTTATTTAGACTAAATGGAGCAAAGGCAACATCTTCACTTGCAGATGTGATCTCACAAATACTGAATTCCGCAAAAAGGCCCATTTTTGTGGTTGAAGTTACCGGAAAGCTTGATGGCGGCAAAGGTGGCTTTGGGTCCATGCTACGTGCCCAGGGTGGCAGGATGTCTAAAAGAAAAGCATCCAGCTACGATTCTTGTCGCAACATCGATGGAGTCCGAATCGGATCCAAAAGGCAGGCGGTCGAGCTGGCAAAATTCATCCAAGAAGAGCCGCATCGTGAGCGTGAACGAGAGGCCGAAATAGAAAAGGCCATCGAAACGGCACTTAATCCTTCCGAAAAAAAGTACTATGCAAAAGGGATTCCCGACTATGTCAAAACCCAAGAAACCATCGCAGAGGTGCTTGAGCAAGCGTTTGCGGACAAGTTTTCCTCGTCAGATTCTTCGGAAGGCGATTCTGATCTTGAACATGGAGACTTTGCAAAAACGATGCCGAAAGAACAATCTGCCGTCATTAGCCGCCACAATTAGATGCATCATGGCGATGCTTTGAAAACCTCCACTGAATGTTTGGAAATTATTCCAGCCAATGGTCGACCGTGTCAGTAAAATTTATTAAATTTATAAGCCCAACTCTGAATAATTGCCATGCGAATTACTCCTCATCATCATCGTAATACTCCGAATCTTCGTCGTCATCTTCATCGTCATCATAATCGGAGTCATCGTCATATTCATCGTCATCATAGTCATCAAAGATGCCCAAGTCATTTTCGATCCCCTGTAATTTGGCATTTCTAAGTTTAAAATCCTGCGTTATCTTCTTAGCCAAAGGAGTAGATAGAGGATCTAGCTCATTTTTAAGTGTGCAAGAAGAACACCCGGCCGTATTGTGTTTTGCACCAAAATTTGAAATTCTTTTTCCTATTTCCTGGGAATTTCTAAAGGTGGTACTGTTTCGAATGCTTCCGGGCAGCTCGATCGATAAACCCTTTTGAGGGAAATTTCTTTTAGAACCAAAATAATCCCTATATTTAGGTGTATTTTGGGCACAAGGGGACAATAGATCTACTTTTGAGGATTTTCCTGCCATCTGAGCTTTGACCTGAGAACATAGATCTCCTGAACCTACTAATGAAATAAGAGATTCATCCTTTATCCGACTCGTGTACGGGCAAGTTGGCTTGTGAGAAATTGTAGAATTTTTTTGGATCACTTCGCCTTTTAAGCAAGGACATCTAGATGCGCTAGCGCTTTCTGCTGTGCCAAGCTCGCTGCTGATACTTTTCCAATTTAGTGGCTTTTGATAAGAAACAAAATTTCCTCTTCCCTGTTTAAGCTCATTGATGGGATATTCATCCTCATTACAAACCAACTTACAAACTCGTTTCTTCTTTTCCTGAGACTTCTTTGATGGTTTTAAGTAGTTCTCTTCCGTGTGTAAAATATTATTTCGAGCGCAGCGGCGGTGGTGGCGATTTTGGCGAGAATTGCGCAATTTTGCAAGGCTTTTCAAAATAAACTCCCTGCAGATCTTGTCTCTGGCCGTGAGAACATCCTCCGGAATTTGGTCGATTTGCAGAAACGCATCATTCCGGGCGCTTAACGGGCCTGCCTTATTGGAACGGTACCATTTATCGTCCTTAACCTTGTACTTGAAGATATCTTGTGGAAGATATTCTTCTTTCGAGCTATGATGCGGGATATAGCATGTAAGCGTGTGTTCATCGAATATCGGGTCAAATGCCGAATCCGATGATGCCACAGAGCCGCGGAAAAGAGCAGCAGTTACCAGAGGAATGAAAAAGAATATATTTTTGATCATGTTTTGAGTTCGCTTGTCTTTCCTTGACACTGTTCTTTCTTAAATCCCGTGGGGGGGCTCTCGCAATTGGATGCCATATGCATAAATGGGAGGGGGATTTTCTTCAATAGGATTAAAATCCAGCCAATCATGTTACTTTAATTTATTTTGAAGGATTTTTAATTTGACATTTAAATCATCACTAAAAATAAATACCACTGCCACTTACAGATGCGCAATAAAGGAGTCCAATTGGGCCTGCATGCATATAATTTTGCAAAGGATGTCTGTTTGCGATATCCTATCGACCGCGGCATCCAGAATCGATTGGTGAACCGAGGCCAGGTATTCGCTCGTTATATCCAACGCATCCATTGCGGCATTTTTTACGGCCAAAATCTGTTTGCTAGATTTGGCTGCACAAGACTGCAGTTTAAAAAGGGTCGGGTCCATCATATAAAAAGCAGCGAAATTATTTTTGAAACCACTAAATTTCAACCCTAACTCAGACACACCCACCCAACCACTTGTCTCCATTCCATGGTACTTTGCGCAGGTGGTCATTTGAAAAATGCCCGTGCTTGGACGCTTCTAAGGCAAATCAGACCGATTCAGCAAGCCTTGCTCTCGTCAAGATCTACGATTTCAAAATCGATCCGGATTTGTGCCCCGGATTCTCCAAATACCTGCTTCGTCGTTACCAAATCTGCGTTTGATGTGGGCACTACTTTATTTACGTGTAGAAGCTTAAAGAAATCAAATCGTCTTTCCACTCTGGGCTGCATCTCAAAGTGGATGTAGGGGGCTGTCACGGGTTCCAATATCTTTTTTCGCTTCAAAACATAGCGACCATAGACAGCATCATCGATGATGCCCAGAATGTTTAGTAAGCATTTAGTGGCCATTTAAAATAGCAAGCTCCACGTTTGCATGCATAACGAGCGCGAGGGCGGTCTAATTGTAATCGATCGCAAATCTCTCGATCTTATCAAAGATTCGACGCTGGATTATAGCCGCGAACTAATTGGGTCAAAGTTCATTATAACGGATAATTCTCGTGTAGAGGACCCTTGCGGGTGTGGCGTTTCTTTTGGTTTGCGCAAATAGGCAAGAGCTGATTCCACCGCACCAAATAAAGTCGTGAATTAAGACTGAAGTCGCATGCGAGTCGTATTGGGATTTCTTAATATTGATTGTTTACTATACAAATCAAAGGGCACTGAATTTTCTAAGGAATATCTTTTGAAGCCGTTTCGCACACCAGGTGTTTCCTTTAAACCGGGCAGGTTGTCATCGTAGAAAGATGGGCTTAGTGAAACACCAACTAGTCCACCGGTGATCTTTCCTCGCGAGCCGGAAAAACATGCCATCCTTGGGGCCGTAAATTAGATGCTACCTTGTAAGTGGGAGTAGGGTAGAAGCTTCCATATGTTTTCAGGAAGCTAGATGGATTTTCACATAGGTTTCTTGTCTTTATCATTCATAAGACGCAATATTCGCAAATGAAACGTTTCATAAACCCCGTACGCTATAGTATAACGCTTCTCCTTTTCAGATTAGATGGCTTCTGGTATCGGATCTAAATGCTCGCAAAAATACAGCAAAGGCCAGTAAAAGTTTAAGCAGCCATTTGCTTTCGCCATCAAGAAAGCCCCAAACTATTGCCAAACTCGATTTCTTTTGATTGTCCAAATCTTCAAAGCCTGCATTTACTCCAGTTTCTTTTGTTTGGTGGTTCGCTCGATTTTTTGTAAAAAACTGGCTATCTTTGAGATGGTATTTTGTTCAAACCTCTTGAGCCTACCCTCAACAGTTTCTTGGTCCCTTTAAGCGAAAATTGGGCTAACATTGGCGTCTGGTTTTCAAAACGATCGTTAAATTTAATGTGGCTGCTGAAAATGTAAATTCACGCTTTTGTTTTGTAAAAACCAATGTGGGGCCTCCCTCTTCTGTGTACGTTTTCCACCAATAGCAAAAAGGGCCCGATACTGAAAAAAATATACTCTTCATTTTTCCCGCTGCCATCGGATCCATGGCTCAAAGTGACCGGGGTGAACGGAAGGCCAGAAACGCTATTTGGATCCATGTATAACAATGACGACAAGAGCTCTTTGATGAAGAGCCACTTTGGGTCTCCTCAGTGGATGGGAAGTGCCTCGACCATTTTAACGGATCTTGCGCCAAAGCTTTTGATCAAATGCACACTGAATAATATCTTTTTGGAGCTTTCCGGTGAAAAGGGCCGGCCAATTTGGGCAATCTCTGCCGGCTGCCTAGGGTTCAAAAACGCTCAAAAGACCACAAACAAAACCGCACTCGCAATGATGGATGCGCTTTGGCTGAAGCTCTCCCAGCTCTCCATCTCAAAGATCCGGGTTGATTTTCGTGGAGTCAATCCGGCCCGTCAAATTTTGCTTTCGCAGCTTAGACGTCCAGGCCTTGAAATTGCCGAAATCATGGATACCACTCCAAAGCCGTTCAACGGCCCTCGTCCAAAAAAGGCACGCAGAATCTAGCTGCCACCTTTTATTTATAAACCTCCTCCTTGTAGAATAAACACCTAAAACGGCGTTGCTGCAATAAATGGCAAAATAGGGGCCAACGGACGGATAAATGAATCTTTTTATTCCATGTGGCAATGTGTATTATTCGCAAGGAGGAAGGCCCCGCTGTCGATGGAGAAAGGCATCAGAGGCCGTTTGAAACTGCTCCAAAAGAGAGGGCGTTCTACATCGACGTCCCTCCCGCGAAATATCACCCCAAACGGCAAGCTCGATAATATCAAGCTCCTCAGGCAACTTCCATGACTTTGCGCAAGAGTAATTGGAAAGCCGTTGCGAGTCAAGATCTTCTTGGGAGCCTTTTAGCCTATTTACACGCGTCTGAAGGATTTGGCAATTGCTAGAAACAGATGGCCCGCCCTTTGAAAACGGAATAATGTGGTCGTATTCGAAACAAAGACAGCCCTCACAACCAGAGAGCTTTGCACAAACGATGTTTCCGCAAGCATCGAATCTCCATCGATCTGGAGAACGGCCAGAAACTATGGGTGCTGCCGCCCAGCATTCGCGTTTAGCGGCACGAGAGAACGAACGTCCCTCCATCGGCGACACAAATATTCGAATTAAAGATTTTCAACAAAGTGTCAATCAAAATTTGGCAAAAGTTGGGTCAAACTAAAAGCCTTGTTGCTTGCGTACGATGGCAGCAACGCCCTTGTGCTCGCGTACAGTGTTAGATACATCAATTAATGGAATTCGTGATCTGGAAGAAACGATACATTTCTTCCAAAGGGAAACGATACATTTCTTCCAAAGGGAAACGATACATTTCTTCCAAAGAGAAACGATAAATGGTATTTTATAGATCTATCGCCGGTCAAAGGCTCGGGCGGTAACATGCGAGCGGCCAAGCGCATCAGGAGGTCGCACCTTGAAAATGCGAACAATAAATCGCTCAGAAGAATATACCTCTTCCAACGAATTGAGGGGGCTAATTGGATTTGGGAGAATGGCACCGCCACGTGCAAAATCTTTTTGCCCATCAAAGCCATGATAGACTAGCTTGTAAAGAAGCGAAGATTTGATGGTTTCGCTAGCGCCAGCGGCATCCACACGATACTGGCCGCCTGCACCGTAAAATGCTTCCTCGGACACCATGGAGGCAGGGCCTAATTCGTTCTCTGCAATCTTGATCATCCAAAGAAACTTGTTGATGTCATCGCCAGAAAAGCCTGAAGCGACACCTGCAATGACAAGGACATAATCAACATCCAGCTCTCGCAGTATTTCATAAGAAGATGGCTCTGGAAGAGCAAAAGCACGGCCCACCAAGCCGATGTGGGTAAAGTTCCACGTGTTGTTGTCAACAATGGTGACTCGCTCAGAAAACCCGGCAAGCTGGTACCCATAGTCCCACCATGAAAACACTTTGGAGCGAGCAGGGGTGTTTTTCCTGATCCAATAATAAGCTTCTCTAAAGTCGTCGACAATGTGCATGCGTCCAGTATGATCTGTGGACGAAAGCACGACGGAGGGAGACGAATATGCCGTCGATGTTGCCCAGGTGCAATGGCGAGCAAATTGGAATAGCGAAAGCATCACCACACAAGCAACAGCACCATCGAGAAGCAAAGAATATGAAGTTCCACGTCGTAGTCTGGTCGACATCCGCTCTTGAATGCCTCCAAACACAATGCCACCTCCAATACAAATAATGGGGGCGAGCGTCAGAATCAAACGGATCATGACGCCTGCAAAGTAAGCCCCAGTGACTGCATATAGAATCAAAAAGGCGGCCCCTTCGACGCTGATGTATCCTATTCTTTTTCCGAGGCTTTTGAAAGAGGAAGGAGAAAGGGACAACCAAATCGAAGCAGGAAAGGCAAACATCAGTAAATTCAGGTCTAGGAAAAACGTGGCCCACGGCGTCGGTTGGTGTTCAGACACGCTCGCAATCAAAGGCGAATGGCGCTTCGCATAAGAGGTATCCCAAAGACTCATAAATCTGCCGCCCCAAGAAGAGATAACCCCAGTTGCCGAGAGAAACACTATGCTGAAAAGAACAAAAAGAGCCACCCCTACAATGCCAAGCGAGAGGCGCTTTTTAACCTTTTCCCTAGCCGGTGAGTTTTCCGGGAAAAGTTCGGATATAATCGTGCAAATTGAGACAAGTTGCATCAGTCCGAAAACACCGATCGCTCCAAGATGATCCGAAGCTCTTAATGGGTATGTACCAACAAATGGAATAAGCATTGAAAGCACAGTGCCGAGAACATAGTATGTGCAATAGGCGATGTAAAGATTGCTTGAATAGTAGCCCATTGCCATCAATGTGAGGGCGTGAAGTGGAATTAGGTTCGTAATGAAGATGTATCCTCCCCACGAGGCCACCATCGCAAAGTATGAAAGAGCGGCTAAAATTCCATAAGCAGCCGACCCACGGCGAACAGCCCTTAGCCACATGAGGAACGTTGCGCCAAGTAAAAAGATGGCAATCGCCTCGTTGTCATATGAACCGGCAACGGACCGTGAAATGTATCCAGGAATGACGCCCATAAACATGCTGGCAAGTAAAGCCGAGGTGGGCGATTCAGGTGCTATCTCAAGAGTAAGACCATATACGACATAGGCCGTGGCTGCGGAAAACACTGGAGCCAGGAAAACGCAAACCTCTCGAATGTCAATTGCAATTGCCAGAATAGAGTTCATCAAATAGTGAATAAGCGCAGATGTGACCATGATCCCAGGGAACACCGTGTGGCCAAGAACCCTTCCAAGGGGATACCATGCAGTATCATCAAACCAATTTAGAAAAGAAAACCATCCATTGTCCACAAGATATCTTGTAGCCCTGTAATTGAACCACGGGTCAAATTCGTGGATGATCGACTCAAATCGGATCACTGAAAACAGCCGAGAGCAAACGGCAACGATCCCGATCAGCAAAAGTATGAAAATCCTTAGGAAATAAAGGAGCTCGGCTTTTTTTCCAGGCGTTATTGAAACCCTCTTTTCAACATCAAATTTCGACGATTGAATTGGTGCCGAAGAAACAGACACTGAGGACATGATTGCAGATTGATAAAATCCCACATTGATTATGTGATTGCACATAATTGGGTTAATTTTAATTTTAATTTTTAAATTTGTTTAATTGCGTCGGTTAGATCACATTTGCCATTTGCCATTTGCCACTTGCCACTTTGGTTTGTGAATTTTTACTTTTTGCACTAATTGGCGATGGCCTTCCATAAAAGTACGCATCCGTTGATTGCCCATAAGCTCGGCCTCCTAAGAGATAAATCGACCTCTCCATCCAATTTCAGGATACTTATGAGCGAGATAGGTTATTTATTGTCATATGAGGCCACCGAGTCCCTCACAACTAYAGATAGCCGCGTTGTGGATGGCGTTTTCTTCCAGCATCCAGCGGCCAAGCTTGCAGACAAAATTGGAGTGTTCCCCATACTTCGTGCCGGCTTGGGCCTTTCTGAATCGTTTCTGTCGATCATTCCAAATGCACAGGTTTATCATCTGGGGCTATATAGAGATCATGTACATATTGGGCATTGTTTACTTTTGCTAGGATACCCTTCAGCCGGTAGAATACTACAACAAATTGCCAAAATTTCCAGATATTGATGTTGCAATTGTTTTGGATCCCATGATTTCCACGGCTGGCACTGCTTGTGCCGTTATTTCTTTGTTGAAGGAGAGGGGAATCTCGAACATTATCATGGTTTGTGTCGTTGCTGTTCAAGAGGGAATCACGCGACTTGAAAGCATACATCCTGAAATCAAAATATATGCTGCTGCACTAGACAAAACACTCAATGAAAATGGCTACATTGTCCCCGGCCTTGGTGATGCTGGGGATAGGATTTTCAACACTTTTTAAGTTTATTAAATTTGCACTTTTTTCGGGCCCGCTTCGCAAACATTGTTCCGCCGGTTGCTTTGATATCCCCGGATGGCCTCGCCGGAAAAAATTGGCGGCAGTCATCGCTTGTTTGTCCGTTTAGGAAATGTTTAAAATAAAATTGAAGCACTCGCCTTAATATGTCTTGAATTTTGATTGGCTCCCTTTCCGGCCGCTGAGAGTTTTATCGACTTTTTCGTTAAAAAAGAATGCTGAGCTTGGAAGGATTTCTTGATGGAAAGACATATTAAGGAAAATAGCTTGCCCATTTGCTATGTGTGTTTATTGGGGCCTTATTGCTTCTTTCTTTACTCCTTTTGGCGCTATCTACAAATGTGGTGAGGTTGCTTTTGCTCGAAAATCCTGCTACTTCGAAAGCATGAAAAATAGCGCGTACAAAAAATAATAAAGCAGTCCCAAAGACAATTAGCATCACAAAAATGACATCATCAGTTGGGTGTCGTTTTTATTGGTCCTTTAAGCTTTTTTGGTTTCCTTTAAAGCATGGCTTCGCTTTGAGGCTCATTTTACCGAAAATCCCTTCTAATTTGACTATTGAAGCCCGTTTATCAGCATTCATTTTAAACGTCGCTTTACCTTTTCTTCTTTCGTTTTAATTTAGCTATGTTTCGGGCATGTCTTACGGAGACCAGAAATATTACGGATTCCACAGAATTGATCGACCAAACCATAGACAGATGCAATTTCGGGAAATTAAAGGAAATACTCAATGGAATCTTTCCTGGTGTCTGTACAGCATTCTTTTCTCGGCTGTTAACTTTCTCTCTTTCGAGAGTATCGGTATTTGTATGCAAACAACGCGTTGTAACTTTAAGCCCTCTATGAAATTGAAAATTTTAGCTTTTATGCTAGGTTTAAGCTTTAGGTTTTACAGATAGCCAGCCCCACTGATGCTCTCTTTTAAGATACCTTCATCGATGAACGAACTTACCGCTTGCCTGAGCAATGGTATTAGAAATTGAAGCTATCTTATACTTGTCTTTAGAGCTTTTACATGATTCGGCGCTGATGAGAATATTTTCCAGCGTTGATAGGAAATATTTCATCCCCAATTCTTATTTGGAGAATCCGTTGGATGTCTACATGGATGCTCCCCACTATATTGGGTTCAATGCTACCATTTCAGCCCCACACATGGCATGTACTGATAGTATTAAGCTTGTCATAGCATGCATTAGCGCTATCCCAAATGCACGGGCCACTTTCACGCCCCAATTGCAAAGCATTAGACATCGGATCTGGTTCGGGTCTATTAACTCTGTTGATGGCAAAAATCAATAAGGTTCATAACATAGCCCTTTTTATTTCCTATTTATCAGAATGGTAGGACAATTGGAATTGATCATATTCCCGAGTTGGTTTCCCAATCTATCAGCAATGTTGCGGAATCTGGGCATAAAGCCCTTCTTGATGGCAATGTCCTTGAATTTTTAGTGGCTGATGGAAGAGATGGATATGCCATGGAATCTCCATATGATGTTATCCATATTGGTGCTGGCGTTTCAGAGCTTCCGGGGAAGATAGTTTCACAGTTGAAGCCAAATGGAATACTGGTAGCACCTATTGGGCCAGAAGGTCATCAGATATTTCAGGTGATAACCAAGATTTCCCAACAAAAAGTCACCACAAAAACCATAACAGCAGTTCGCTACATTCCGCTCACATCAGCCAATGGCCAATTAGCAAATAGATAGACCAATCACATTAGAAGAATTGAATAAACCTATTGGACCAACCTGTACCAATTGACACTCCGTCGCATCGACCAGAGAAATAAAACGATCCTGTTTTGGTTGTTCGCTAGTGATAGGAAGCGTAGCTTTTCTTGCTAAAATGACCCTCAATACCAAGACGCTTTTTATTGCCTACCTTTTGATCTTAGGGTTTATTTTTAAAGCATGCTACTGCACGAACTCGTCTGACCTTGATGACAACATAGACAGCAAAAGTAGAACGACAATCGATCCTATTGAACACATGATACTTTTTTTACAACGACTAACTATTTCTATTACCCCGGGCGCTTATTCTAAAGCACCACTAATTGTGCTATGTGTGCTCTTTGTAATCTTTCATGCGCTACAGTGGGTTTCTGTCAAGCATCTAAAATCCCAAGTTTATGGAAAAATCTTCTTTGGACTGGAAGTATGTACTTTGCTAACACTTTTCATCGAAGGGATTGTATTACCTGGCGCATTGACTTCAATTTATCGAAAAATCTCAGCTCCCAAAGGCAAAGTCGCCACTCCTAGCAAGATATCGAGCTTTGAGATTTTTCGGGTTTTTGTTGCATTTTACACGCTACAAGCAATGTTCGAGATATTGAAGAGCTTAATTCTAAAAGTACTGAAGAAATTATTGTATATGGTTCCAGCTACTCTAGAAGTAACACCCACATAATGGGTGTTCCGATCCTTGCTTGGCTACATACCCCGCAATCGTAAAGGTAGTGGCAATCGTACTATGTCGAGCACGCTGCTCTGTAGGAGGGAACAGAACAAAATAACAATAAAATTTATTCATCTGGATACCTGCGAACTAGACGGATATTTTGCAAGGACAGGATACGTTGGGTGACTGTCTGGGTGACGGTACTTAGCTGGGGGGATGCGGTCGAATTTACAGGTAAATCGGAACTGGTAACTGGAGAGGTGGGATTTGTAGGCTTCATTGAAGACAAGGAATTTGTAGGCTTGATTGAAGGTAAGGAATTTGTAGGCGTAGCTGAAGAGGAGGGATTTGTAGGCATAGCTGAAGAGGAGAGATTTTCAGGCCTAATTGGAGATGACCCCGCTGCAGAGATGGTTTTTGTCTCTGAAATGGTTACGGTAGCAGAACAAGACCTATCGTTGCTATTATTGGGATACATCTCCGAGGTTTTGGGAAGGGTATAACTATTCGATGTGCTGGAAGGAACAGAGGAGGCACTATAGGGGGTCAAAGTAACTGTCTTGGTAAATGTTGATGATCGGGTTGAAGACGTCGTACAAGGTGGGCAAAAATTTGAAAGTGTCTTTGTAACGGTAACCATCCCATTGCATACAGACATGGAAGGAATAGCCGGCACGCAATTAGAAGGGCTGCCTCCAGGTGTCAAAACAACAATTTCTAACAAGTACGAAGTGGGGATACTCGTTTTTGTAATGTAAGAGACATCAGTCGAAATGGCACATACCACGGAAACATAAAAAAAGAGGCAAAATATGTACAGCTTCATGCGCATTATATTTGGCAACCGCTTAAATCAGCCCATGTTCACACAAATTCACCAATTGGTATGTGAGGTGAAACGGGCATTAAACTTTGCCATTCAAAAGTAAAGGATGAAATTTTTATTTTTATTTTTATATTTTCTTTAATATGGCTCCTCAATCCAGTACCGCTGGTGATCACCATGTGGAACATGAGGAACTTAGCGGCGTAAAAAGCGCCCTTTTCATTAAAAACTCCACATGCACAAATGTGCTATCAACTTTGCTTGGCCATTTAAGCCTGCTAAAGAAGCCCTTCTCCGCCGTTCTGAAAGCAAACAAAACCTTATTTCCTTTTGAGGATCAAAGTCAGCTCGAAAGCCTACTACAGTCCAAGAGGACACCGCTATTTGGGCTTGCATCACACTCAAAAAAACGGCCGTTATCGCTTATCCTTGGTCGCCTCTTTAGCAATTCTGTTTTGGACATGATTGAGTTGGTTATTTGTCCGACCTCGATAAGCCCCATTGTTGGGTCGTGGAATGCGGGATCAAGGCCGCTTTTAATCTTTCAAGGAATTAGATGGGAATCCGGAGATGCAGCGCTATCAAAGCTGAAAAATCTTCTTGTCGACTTTTGGTCTGGTGCTGAAGGCGAGAAATCGGTCATTTCGCTCCAAGGCATCCAGCATGCCATTGTTCTAACTGCAGACGATACACACCCGACAATATCGTGGAACGTTCTCGTGCAAGGCCCCGGAAACGCCATCAAAGACTCGGAATTCTCATTCAAATTTACGATTGGAAGAACGCACTTTGCTCCAGAGGAAGTGCAAAAAAAGGCCATTGAAAAGCGGATTTCCACAAAGCTGCCTAAAAAGGAGAAGAATGTACACGTTGACCCAACACTGGGAGATAAATTTGGAACGGTCCACGTGCCGCGTCAAGACTTTTCTTCGCTGCAGGTGAGAAAGGTCAAGGCTCTTAAAAAGCAAGTCGCCCAATAAATTAATTATTTTTCATTTTATGCTGCAATCATTCATATTGGGGCTTCTGATAAGAGGCCTTGTTTTTCTGTATGGTGTGCACAACAGCCAAACGATGCTGTCATTTTTGTATGAAAACGAAACACTCTCCTGCAAGAGCATGGCGGAGAAGCTATTTCGCCTTCTATTTTCATTCCCTTCTCCCCCGACGCTTCTGTTTATTGCCGTTGATGGGCTGATATATTATCTCATGTATACGCGATCTTCCAAACCTGTTGCCAATTTGTAAATTATATCCCGTTAATTTAGGTACTGGATCAATCCAATAACTGCGTTTTCCTGCACTAGGTGCAATTTTTCTATTTTCTTCAGACTGGCATCTCTCCTCCTAATTCTTTTTAAGGTTTATCCTCAGAGTCAAAAGGCTCGGCGGAATTTGGAAAAAGATGCAAGCTATCCCCACTCAACGCCAGACACACAGGGGGGCCATTCAGAGACAAAAACAGATAGCCCGGTCGGTACTTGCGGCCAGCCCATCGATGTTCCAATTGGAACATCGAATGGAGGTTCATACGAAAGATTTGTTGGTGTGTGTTCCATGCTATTACTGGGAACAATTGACCCGTCTTTTGCAATCGCCATCATCCCGTCCTTGGTTCCTTTTCCACACAAAGACATTTACTTCCGTATCTTCTGCTTTGTTTTATTTGCCATAATATCGCTGCGTACTCCTCTTCCCACGCTTCCGGCACCAGGATCATCGTTCTGGTATTTGGAGATGCAGGTCTTACCTTCTTTTTTGCAGTTTTTTACATTTTCCCTTATTCTTTGCACAGTAATACCAGTGGGTCTGATGATGCTTCTCCCCATTTCACCTGCTCTCCACTTTGCAACCGTAAGCTTGTTGATACATTCCGGATATTCGTCTCTGGGTGATGTTTTTTGGAGCGCCATAATTGTGCCGCTACTTCTTCTTGAGCGAATCCCACACTCTTTAATCCTTCTCACAATAATGACGATGGTTGCAATCCCACCTCTTGCCAACGGCTGGCTTTTAGACGAGGTTCTATCGGCCAATCCGTACTTTGCATCGACACTTATCCTTTCCTCTATCCGGTTTGTTCTTGCTCCATATCTGATCCGGAGAGAGCTTTCATAGTCGCACGTAATAAAGTTAATCCCAGTGATGGTTCGGTATGATGTAGTGCTCTATTGCTCATTCAAATTCTTATTCTTTATTTGGGGGGGGGGGCTCCTAAATTTCTGTAATTATTGGCCGCAATTCGAGGGGTACAGGAAGGAATCGCTAAGGGGAACAAAATTCTCTTTGATTGTCCTCTGCGAAGTCCATCGAAGTAGATTGAGGGCAGAGCCTGCCTTGTCATTTGTACCGGAGTTGCGAGCACCTCCAAACGGCTGCTGGCCGACAACAGCTCCGGTGCACTTGTCATTGATGTAAAAATTTCCAGCTGCATCGCCCAAGCGATCCAAAGCGGTGACAATGGCATTTCGATCCTGAGCAAATCTGGCGTTACAACATATGCTTACATTGCAGCGGTAAGAGCATAGGGTGATGTATTTGCTGCAATATCTAGCCACCGGTGGTATTGCTCATCGGGATAAACAATGGCAGCAAGAACGGGGCCAAAAAGCTCTTCTTCAAGCAAAAAAGACGACTCCGATGACACTTGAAAAAGCGTGGGTGATATGTACCAGCCAACACTGTCGTCCACATCACCACCGGCCAAAAGCGTGCAATTTGGATCGACCTTGGCCTTGGAAATTGCCCCACTAATCCTCTGAAAGGCTTGCTTGGAAATTACAGCGGAAACAAAGTGTTGAAAATCTTCAACTGGACCCATGGTAATTACCCGCTTCATGCCTTCGATGAGCCCGTCTTTTATTTGTGGCCAGAGAGATTGCGGAATGTAAATTCTAGAGCACGCTGAACACTTTTGGCCTGAAATAAAATCATCAAAATAACCTTGATATTCAAAGGCAGCTCTGAGAGTCTGGTTGACGACATTAACAGGATCTGCAGAATGATGGACAAAGTGCATATTCTTTCCCCCGGTTTCACCAACAATCCTCGGGTACGTTGCATAGTTGGATATCGAATTTCCAATTCGTTGCCACATTTTGGAAAATATGGCCGACGAGCCAGTAAAATGAATCCCGGCAAAGGATTTGTGGCTAAGACATACGTCGGTAATTTCCTCTGGGCTTCCCGGTGTAAACTGTATAACTCCGGGGGGAAGCCCTGCCTCCAGCAAGGCCTGCATTACAAGAAAATTTGAGAGCATCGCAGATTGAGAAGGTTTCCAGATCACCACGTTGCCCATCAACGCAGGGGCACATGCAAGATTGCCACCGATGGCAGTAAAATTGAACGGGCTCACTGCATAAATAAACCCCTCCAGCGGTCTATATTCGACCCGGTTCCAAACTCCGGGCGAATGCTCAGTAGGCTGCTGCGAATAAATTTCCTCTGCAAATCTAACGGGTCAAGCATTTTTAACTCCGACCTGCAATTAAAGCGGAGAAAATCGACAAGTTCGTTGATGGAGTCTATTTCTGCTTGCCAAACATTTTTTCCCTGCCCAAGCATCGTTGCGGCCATAAGCTTATATCTGACGGTTAAAAAAAGGGTACCTTAAACTGGTTGACGCAATCCGATCGGCAGCTTTGAGAAAAATGGAGGCTCTTTCAGAAAACGGCATCTTTTGCCAGGTTGCACGAGCCGAAAGTGCACCATCGATAGCCTAGTGTCAAAGTGGTGATCTTTATGGCGCATACTCTGGATATATGAGCCCTGGACGCCTTTGAGTAATGACACAGGCTTTTTGCATGGTTACAAGGCATGTATTGCTTCTCGATGACAGTTGAAAATTCCTAAATGTAAAGCAAAGGGAAATGTAACCTCCTTTCCATTGATTATCAATGGCACTTGATAGTCCTTCTGCTTCATGTCATCTAATGCCTTGCCAAGCAACCCTCTTTCGGTAGAACCGGGAAAAAACGACTTCTACAAATCAAGAGGCCAATTATGCCATACAGGTGGCTCATTATACATGGGGGGCAGAGAAAATCGTGCATTGGACAAATATCGCCTAACTGTTGCAAACATCGAGACCGGCGGTGGTAACAAATTAAATTTTAATTTTGAAAATTTTACATGCAGCCCCATTCGGCGTCATCTCATGTGCTTTCGAAGACGTTTAGCGGTGCCAAAAACCCATACGAGGCGCAACACCAAGTAAGAGTTATTGTAGAAATAAAACGGTAGCATCTCATAGATAGGATCGGCCACTCAATCGAGAAACTCACCTCCGTTTTGGGTCTCATTTCCGACCAGCTTTCGGTGGTAAATTCGTTGGACTCGGATATAATGACGCACGCAGATATTTGGGAAAGATATTTTGGACATGTGGAGTTCCAAATAACGTCAAAGGACCTGCACCTCCACCTGTGATTGTAAAATTAAATGTTCATTCCCCCAAATTTTATTTTATTTGTACTGTAATGGCGTCTTCTTTGTGCTGTATTAATTCCGAGATGGTGTTCATTGTACACCCGTTGGGCCGAAAGTATAACAGCGTGAAGGATATGAGCCCCATCATAAATTTTGTCAATCAATACGATTTTTCCTCATCCAAATTGAGGGGCCTGACCCTTCATGGAAATTCCTATGCGTCAACCTCAATTCTTGAATTGGTTCGGATTTTGATAGAAAAGGGGAAGTCTTTTCTTGAGAACATTCGGTACGTTGATTGCTCTGATATGTTTACAGGTCGTCTCAAGGAAGACGTGCCAAAATCGCTACAAGCCATTGGCTCTCTGCTTGGACATTGCCCTGGCATTGAATGCTTAAATCTTTCAGATAATGCATTCGGACCGGCCGGAGCGAACGCAATTGCGCCCTTTTTAGAAAAGTTATCATTGACCTCTTTTTTGATTAATAACAACGGATTAGGCCAATTGGGCGGGTCCATTATTGCTTCTTCATTAAAAAGCATGAGCACCCTCAGCATATTTTCAATTGGGAGAAATCGGCTCGAAAATGATGGCGCCATTGCCATCGCGGAGGCCATCAAATCGGGGTTTTCCTCATCATTACGCCAGTTTTCGATATTCCAAAATGGGATCACAAAAAATGGGGTCCTTGCATTGTGCGATGCAATTTCCACCTGCCAATGCCTGGAGATCCTTGATTTCCAGGATAACACCTTCACGTTAGAGACTGCTCTGGCCTTTGCTAAAAACGTCATACCACGCATAGCTCCTTCGATGAGGATACTCTCTTTAAATGATTGTCTTTTGACAAGAAAAGGATCGAAAGCAATTTTGGAGAAAATGCTACGCTCGAAGCCGACTTTTCCAAACTTGTTCTTCTTGGGCTGCAATATAATGGAATATGTGATTCGGAACTGCAGTTGCTTATTCGATTGGTAGTCCAAATGCCGCATCTACAGTCGCTTCAATTGAATGGTAATTCATTTGACCCAGAGGGGCCTCAGTGCACTGCTCTCCGAGAGGCCATCCAACGATTGAGCCAAGGCGATGTTCTAGACTCTCTTTCTGACATGGATAGCGACGTCGAATCGATCGAGCAAGAAAGTGAAAGTGAAGAAGACATTTCCTCCGCTTCAGAAGCCGAAGATGTGGAGACGGAGGAGCTTACGGAGATCCTTGAAAAAACCCATGTGGCATAAAAAATTAAAAACAATCCCGAGATTTTAGTTTTAGAATTTTCCTGTGCATTAATCAGTGCTTTTGTTTCAATTTATTGGAAAGGATAAAAGTTGACGACTCGGCAAGAATGCCCAAATACTCCTCGGCTTTGGCCCGGGTTTGTGCAAGTTTGGTGGATAGGGTTAATGATTTTTCATGCAGCAAGTAAATGTCATTTTCTAACTCCTGTGGTGTTTTATCAAGCTCCGGAATTAATGAGATCGATTCGGAGATCTGGTTTGAGGTACACATAAAGCTTTCCACAAATGAATCTACAAGGGCAGCATTTTTCACACTATCTTATGACGACAAATTGATACCTTTCTGTTGAGACGTCCCTTTGCAGAATACCAATGGACGAATACATTATGCTTGCTAACTTTTATTAAGAAAATAGATGTACTTTCTCATAGGAAGTCTGAAGCTCTTCCATGTGCAAAAAATTGAAAATTAAAAAATTAATTTAACGCATCACTGGTGGTATCGAACTTCCCAAACGCCGTCAAATCGCCGAGGGTCCTTTGAAATTCGGACGGCCTTGCCGGGGGCAGGTGCAGCCGAGCTCTGGACAACTGTCCACAAGCAATGTGACCTGATTAGCTTCTCGACAACTTCTGGCGCAGATCCGGCAATACAAAAAGGAGAGTTGCCGGCTCCACCAAGCTTTGGAGTGGGAATTCCCGTCGTGTCTAGTTCAATTGAATTTGGCAAATCTGCTATGGATACCTAGGATTGTGAGATTTGTCTAAATACCGATTGTGGCATCGTAACCAGGTAGATTCTTATGTTATCCCTGTTCTTCAGCATCTTGTCCAGCGTTTCATCGTGCAGCTGTGAGGGGCACGTCACAGGCCCATAGGCATCATCCATTAAAAAATACGCGTACATTTAAATGTTTGTGCTATACTTTGACAAAATCTAATTTTAAATTTGATGTATCTGTTGGTGCAATATATGTCACCAATGTTTCAGAAATTCCAGTGATACTTTATAAGCGACCCTAAGCATCTCAATTTACTTTAACAGTCGACATTATCATGGTGTTCATTGTAAGTATTTTTTATCGATTTCTCGACTGGCTTCGGTCCCTCTTTTTTAAGCAGGAAATGGAACTTACCATTGTAGGTATCCAAAATGCTGGAAAAACCACGCTTCTTAATATGATAACAGTAAGCACCATTCTGGTTAATTTAGTTTAGAACGGTGTATTTAATGAAGATATGATTCCCACAATAGGATTTAACATGAGGAAGATCACAAAGGGAGGCATAATCATCAAGATGTGGGACATTGGTGGCCAGCCAAGGTTTAGATCCATGTGGGAGCGATATTGTCGTAACGTCAATGCCATTTTGTAATGGGAAATGTTAATGTTGTTTAGATTTGTGGTCGATTCCTCCGATTATGAGCGAATGGAGGAGGCCAAGAGGGAGCTCCATGCCCTGGTGGCTAGAGCATCCTTGCATGGGGTTCCGCTATTGGTTTTAGCTAACAAAAACGACTTGCCAAAAGCATTTTCATCCAAAGAGCTCATTGTCGCATTGTAAGCCACTTAGTGTTATCTCTGTAGTGATCTCGAAGAAATTCGAAGTAGGGAGGTTGCTTGCTACTCCATCTCGGCAAAGAATGCAGTTAATATCGATGTAACCCTTCAATGGATTTTGAAGCATGCAAAAAAGCATTACGAATAAAACGGCTGCTACATTTGGGATTTGGACCTTGACGGCTATCGTTTATCTGGATTAACGCAATAAACTGTGACTGCATGCTACAAAATATACCCCATGCACCCCATGAACCCCATGCACACCATGTACCCCATGCACACCATGCACAGTATAGTTGGCCTCAAATGATAACCCCACTTTTATTTACAAATCAAAATTAACATTCGGCAGGCATTTTAATTTCAATTATGAATCGCGCTGTTGGCTTGAGGGCATATTCACGCCTTGCCGTAAGGGCTGGCGTGAAATCGTTTGAAGATGCCACAAAAAAGGGCACAAAGAAAAAACTAATCATCGGTGACGAATCGATCCCAGATGACGTTATCCCCCCTCGTCCAAAAGGTAACGCTTTTCTTTCTCATCCCAGCGGCCTGGTTTATTTCCCTTAAGCAGGTTAAAATTGGCGAACCCTTGGCCAGTATAAACATATTCAAAGAAGGAAAAGACCCGATTTTGCAGCCCGACGAAACGTATCCAACTTGGATTTGGTCAGCGTTGGACAAACCTCGTCCAAAACAGTATCTTGAGGATTGGGAGATCACAACCCGTAAGCAGTTGAGAACCATGAATCACTTTCGGATGCAAATGTCAAACAACAACAAAACAAAGCCCGGAAAAAAGGACTCCAATCCTTTCAAATAGAGGTTGATTTATTAGTATTTATGCTTGGTCGAATAGTCTCTCGGGGAAACGACCAATCCACGCCCTATAATAAGCATTAAAGAATAACACGCCCAAACCTTTGGATGCGCCGCGGAAAACGGTCTCCACAATGTCGATCATTTCTTGCCTGTCATCGATTGGCCAGTTAATTTTGTTGTTGTTTCCAGTGCCCAAGTCAATCATGATGTGTTTGTTTCGATAGAAGAACATAACTGTGCAGGGATCATAAAGCTCATACATTACATTAAAATCTGGAACTTCCGTGATATCCACTAGATAAATAACGGCAAAGTTCTTTACAAGATCGGCAACTTTATATAGGGTTTCATCCATTTTCATGCATGACTTGTCCTAAAAGCTAAGCAAATAATATGCTACCCAATCGTGCCCAAATCGAATGATTACCACTTTATCTTCCTCGGCCAATATGGCCTGATCTACCTGCCATCCATTAGTCAAGTGGGGGAGTAAGTAGGACATCACAAATAGGGGAAAAGTCTGCAGTATTTAATTTTTGGGTTGATTTTTAAATTTTCGGGTCGATTTTTGCTTTTTTTAATTTTCGGGTCGATTTTAATTTTCACCGTAAATTTGTTTTATGGATGAGCTTTTGTCCGACCTTGGCGTAAATGGGCTAATATCGCTTGAAGATAAAGATCGCTCAAAAGGTTTGTGCTAAATAGCTTATCTTTCCACTTAGCGCTGCACATACTCATTGATAATGTATCAAGTTCTACCTTTAATTCCAACTCATATCCCATTGTGGTCGAATTTTTGTGCAGCCGTCTAACAGACTCTCCTTGTCTTATTGATGTCATCTCATGTTTCACAAGCTTTCTTTTAAAAGCAAAACCTTCTCAAGATCTAATTATGCAGTTTCTAAGGTGCTTTGACGAATCCATCTTATTATCTGAACAATCCCAAGCAATTAGGCATGCGGGCTTGCTGTTATTTTCCAAAGTGTTGCTACATATTAAGGACTCGCCTGAATCTGTCGATGTGCTTTCCCATGTCTTTCTTTCACATTGTTTCGGAGAAAGGGACCCGAGAAATCTCATGTTGCTATTTAGACTTTCTTGTGACTTTATTCGTGCTTCTAGCTCGCAGTATGTTCGATAGTTTTTTCTTATTTTAGGAAATTTAAGGAAGAGCTCTTTGAGTCTATCTTTTGCTATTTTCCAATTTCATTTACGCCGCCACCTGAAGATCCTTTTGGAATCACCCCAGGTGACCTATCAGCAGAGCTGGAGGCTGTACTAACGGCCTGTTTTTCAAACTCGCTTTCTTCGCTTGTTCTGGAGGCACTTGTCGAGCGGCTTGAAGACGGCAATAACGCGTGTCATGGGGTATTGATTGCTCTTTCCCATCTCTTATGTGATGCCGAACGTTGGGGCTTGGTCAGCTCAGATTGCTCCATAGTTGCACGCCTTGTTGAAATTCTAATGAAATACTTGGGATCAAATCCGAAGGAGGTTATTTCAATTTTCCTTTCGGCCCCCTGGCTATTGCTGGAGGCCAAAAATGCTCTCTCATTATTGGCTCGTTCCATTTTCCTTGAAAATGGTAATGATAGCACGGTCGCAGAGGATGATTCCATTGTTCTCGCTATGTTTGAACTCGACGCAGTTGATGATGAAATTCTCGATAAAATTGTGATAGATCCGCTTTCTCCAACATTCCGTTCGTTCCTTTCGTGCATTTCAGACAAACTACCCGCTGATGCCCTCAAAAGCTTTTGTAAACGCCTCGACGGCCATCTTAAATTTACCGGAGACCTGCAGAATTTGCCTTTTATCTCTGCAGCTGTTCAAGCATTGCAACGTTTGCAATACCACTTTTATGACAGTCAAAAGATATCGAATATTCAAGCGGTTGCTTTTGAAGCACTGATTAGGCAGACCGGAAATTCCAAAGTGGTATTACGAACTTTAATTGAAACTAGACTTTTATCCAAGCTATCGCCCTCGCTTTATTCATATATGCTATCCATTCAATCCCTTTCCTCTTTTTTACCATCTGATGCTGCCAAAGATCCCATCCTAAATGACCTGAATTCTTTAAAGGAGGACTTTAAATTTGGCCGTAGTGGTTGTTGCAATGGAAACCCGGCCTCATCATGTGATAGAGTTCCCTCTATTCCGCAATCACAAGATACCTGTGAATGGCTAAGATTTCTGGCACTAGATGCCGCTCCAATTGGCGATGAGCTGCTTTTAAGACTGCTCAAACATCCATGTGTATGGGTGCGTTTGGCATTGATCCAACGGATAACAAATGATCGGCACATTGACAATTTATTATCGGATCCTAAACGTGTTGTCCGAAAAGCAGCCGCTGTGAGGAGAATTTCGCTTGCCTGCAACAATACCAGATGCTGCAAATCTTAGTTATTTTGGCACCTATCCTTTCCGATTGTGGACACTCCTTTTGCCAATAGATGATCCAGCATTTGCCAGGAAAGCCAATTAAATTTAAAATTTTACACCCCGGAGCCAAAGTTTCACATAATTTGTCAATTGATATTAATTTATCAAACGCCAGCCAGTGCGATTTAGATTTCTTTTTTGTACGCGATCTTTTTGGATTTGCCTGCAGGCTGTAAAATAACCTGGCCAATGGATGCCATTTATTAAATTTTGTTCCAGCTGGTCATAGTGTTTTGCTTGCATGCATTAACCAGGGCTATTTAGCTAATCTACATCTCAACTTTGCTTCAGACGATAATCAGCTGGACAGTGTGCGATAAAACATTGGCCAATTATTTCTAGATCATCGATCTCCAATGTTAAAGCGGACACCGACCCCCAATTTTTGGCTTTATTAATGCCTCTGCAAAAATCGGCTAATGCTACTGTCTTAACGCCTCCATGTCCTAAAACAATAATTTTGATACGCTTATTTCCAAAGCAAGGGCTTGCATACAAAGTTGCAGCGGCCCTTTTTATTGGAAGGTTGCTGGCTCGATGAAAAACTCCGGTTTCAATAAATTTTCCAATCACTTGCATCATGAATGGATTATTGTAGCAACAAAAACATTTACTGGTAAATTAACGATATCCTGATAGAGGGCAAGCTCTTATATGAAAAAAATGATTCCATCTCGGAACATGAGCTGATTGGCTGTTTCCATCTGCTGGAGGACAACGGAGACCGTTCCGGGAGGCAGTTCCACCCCGTCTGAATGGAGCTCCTCAATAAGGGCGTCGAGCATTACAAACGAGTCGTTTTGAGCGCGCACACGTAGCAACGCGCTCTTGATGGTCAATATTTGCGCATCAGTTGGCTGGATGTTTGTAGATGGTCCATCCTCCGACGCTTGCGCCAAAGACATCGCCACACTTGAGGGGGGCTCCTCGGTAAACCCAAATGTATCCCCGTCATCGCCATCACTGTGCTGTTTGATTTCACTGTTGTTGTCTGTGTGGCTGTGATTAGACTCTCCTTGGGCTTCTTGATCTTCATCTTCGGGGCCTGCCTGCGAGATTGGTTTGGTTTTCTTTGGCCGACGAGCGCATTTGGGTATGACCTCTTTGTAGAGGGAAAAGCGCACAAGTTCTTCGGCCACCAACGTATCGACCTCCTCGACTATGCTGCTAAGCCGTGCCTTAGCATGTGCCGTGGAAAGCCTAATGAGCGTCTCTAGCGTTCTCGGCGTTACCGGCATTGTCCTAGCCTGATCGCGGCCAGATTGTTCACTTTTGGCGCGAAACGCAAGATACATCGCTTTGATGGCCTCCATGGCGCCTGAGCTTAGCACCGGCCGCATACGGACCTTGGCATAGTGGATGTACTTGCGTATGAACGAGAGCGTCAACAGGTCAGAGTCGCCGCTGGCAGCTGCATCATCATTGCCGGTATCCATGTCCGCATTGGCAACATCATGGTCATAGCTTGTGGCGGCATAGCGATGAGTGGCAAAAACGGCATCGTCAACAGAATTCCCAGCAGCATCTTCGGAATTGGTGGTGTCCACACGCGAGTGCATTGCGAGGACATGTTCCGCAAGCATCCGATCCGTCTTCTCATTCATCCGGTCAAGCACAATGAAGAGCAGATCAAAGCGTGACAACAGGGAATCCGGCAGCCGGATATTTTCCCGCGGGCTTGCGTGTTCACGGTATTGTGAAAATATTGGATTTGCCGCAGCAATTACACTGCACCGCGCATTGAGTGAGAGATGGATCCCTGCCTTGGCAATTGTTACCGTTTGTTGCTCCATAACTTCGTGAATAGCCACACGATCGCCCTCGCTCATCTTGTCAAACTCGTCGATGCAGACGACACCGCGGTCTGCCAGAACCATGGCTCCAGCCTCCAGCCTCCGCTCGCCTGTTTCCCGATCGACAGCCACAGCAGCGGTCAGCCCTACACCTGTGGAACCGCGACCTGTAGTCGCCACCGCCAATGGCGCAATGGCCAGCACGAAGCGCAACAGCTGCGATTTTGCCGTTGAGGGGTCGCCCACCATCAACAAGTTGATATCTCTAGAGAAAATTAAAGAACACGGCGCTTACCCGCGAATGTGTGTCTGGTCAACAATCTTCTCCACGCCACCGAGCAACATTAAAAGAATTGCCTTTTTGATGGCAGCATGTCCCCATATTGAGGGGGCTAGAGACCGGGCCAATAGCGTGAAGAGATCTGGACGCTGTGACACGGCCTTGATTTGCTGGATATCCAGGTCTGTAAGCACAGGCATGTTTGCTTCTCGGCCCAACTGACGCACCGCATTTGCCACCAAAATTCCACGAAAAAAGGCAGGTGCACTTCCAGCAGCACTGGTAGCAAGGCCTTTATAAATGCCTACAATACGCACGCGGTCACCGGGCTTGGCCTTGTCAACCAGATCTTCGCCCAGGATGATTTCCACGGCACGAGGCAGTTGTCCCGGCGGCGCGCGTTCCGGCATCTCTTGCAGTACGATCCGCTGTTGGTCGCGATAAGTGCAGAGGCCAAATTCTGTGCTCAAACGGTTCCCCTCTGCATCCTACAGTCGGTGTTATGATGCTCATACCTGTTGCGGATATGAAGACGTGACTGGCGGGCCACTGCCCATAAGCGCGTCACGATATTCGCGAGAAATGAATGTGCGACGCTCCTCTACATAATGGATTGAACGCACAAGCTTTGGACGCACCAGAAAACAAGACGTCACGATGCCATCAACGGAAACCATTTGCGAAAGTGTGGATGCACTAAGCTCGCGTGGATTGGTCTGGAAATCGCCAAAAGCGCCATCAAGACCAATGCGAAAGCTTAGCTTTACCGTAGCATCTTTTTCGCCATCACTGCCGCCAAATGGCTCCACTACAAGCAAGTTATCGACCATCCGACGTAAAGCTGTCTCGAAGGAGGGCAGATATTCTAACGGTGTCATCAACAACCTACGATCAGAAAAGGCACGTACCCCCGCGAAAGTCCCTCATTGAAAAGACGCACATCATTAATGTTGACGATCAGACGCGTCTCAGCCCGCCGCACCATCATTCGCACTTTTTCTTTGTACTCCAACGCATCCGTTGCGCATTGCTAAAAAGAAAGAGAATAAAAAACGAAGCACACGCAAAATAAATAGATTGCAAACAGGCCAAAGCCACCAACAGCCAATAAAATGGCCGTCAAGGAGGGGCAGAAAGACAACCACCAACGATCAATAAAAGGTGTGTCAATGGAAATAAGATTGCCAACGCCATTGCGTACATACCTGTGAGTCGAGAAACTCGCCAAAAAGTTGGACGCGCTCTTGTTCGCGCTCATCGACAGCAAAAGTTGGTGTGTTCTGTGATGACTGGCCACGTGGCATAGCTCTACCCGAAAACGAGGGCACCGGAGGCGCCTCCCGTCTGCGCTCGACGGCTGCAGAGCTCATCATTGGAATTTAAATCAACAATTGCAGTTGACCAAATTAAGGCTACCACAATTTAAAAGGGACCCCCCCCACTCCATTTATACTTGGCCGTTTATAAATTTGCCAATCGTTGATACCTGATGGATGAGCCGAGTGTTACCGCAGAAGACCAGGCCCAGCTGAACACGTTCAGCCGGCTAAGTGAGACTTTAAGCATCTATGAACCGCGACTTGCTGAGGCACAGGTAGCTAGATGGACACCTTTATTGCTTTAGGCGCAGCGCGAGGCAACCGCAGATGCCCTTTCCGAGGCCGAAGTCTTTGCAGAGCTTGAGGAGCCATCGCACATTCGCATCAAGATTGGTGATGGCTTTGCGTACTTACCGCCGGGAGAGGCATTGGCCATGCTTTCTGAGCGGCTTAACGACCATTCTAGCAAATGCGACGAGCTACGGCGATACCACAGCGCGCTCGCTAGCGAGGCTTCGGCTCTTAAAACACTGCTGTATGCCAAGTTCCGTGGCGCCATTAACCTGGAGCGCTAAAACTAAAATTGTGGAGCATCCCTTCCGTGGTGTACACCTGAAAATGAAAAGCAACAACTGGGATGGATTTATGCAAAGGCTACATCATTTAATTTAGCTTAACGGCGATCGTGAGTGCCATTGCGCCGCTTTCCTGCGAACAAGTGCTTGGGTATTGAGGCCGTGGCATGGCGATCAGCATCACCGGCACGACCCATGCGGTTGCGATGGCGCTGTGAGAGAGACACGAGCGATGATGACGTAGCATGGCCCTTTTCTGTGCTGTGGCCCTTCATTTCGCGGCCTTGTACACGAGAGCGTGAGCGTTCCGACATCGGATGCATACTCAATGACCTGCTGCTTGAAATAGATGCCGATCTTTTAGCACTAATTGGACGCTCAATGGCAGAAGCCTCCGTTCCCAGTGCAGAGATACGCGTTCGTGGTCTAGGACGATTGGCATTGGATTTTCGTGAGCGCGAATCAAGACGGGTCAGTGTACGCCGTTCAGTTTCGTGTCTTCGCACAGCACGAATAGCATGCACTCTGTTGCGCCGCTCGACACGTGCAGAGCGATCGTCTGCGGTCATCATTTCGTGCTGTTCTTCCTCTGCCTCTAAAGCTTCCAGTTGCGCTTCAATGTCTGCATCAATGAAATCTGCAATGTTCTTGCCGTTGAGAATTTCTGGAATCGGTCTTTCTTTCCAGTCTGCCTTCAGATGGTGCATAGACGCTGGATAGGAAAAGATTCCTGGGCCGCCATTTGCTAGCTCTATCTCGCGTAAAAGAGGTTCTGTAGAAGGCACCACAATGCCTTGTGGCAGCAATGGCGGCCGATTGATATTATCTCGTGCAACTGGTTTGGCCACATGCAAGCGTGCCAGAATTCCATTTGCACTTGATGTGATGCCGCCTTCTGCGCCCTGAACATTGCGTTGGGCCAGCAACAAATCACAGGCGACATTGCGTACAGCCATAACGCCTTCAGAGGTCATTTGTGAACATTCTACAATGGGCACACTGCCTGTGGCTGCTTTTAATTGTGCAGCCACTTCTGGTGAGAGGTCACTTACGCGGACCAAATCGCACTTACTGACCACCAATACGACGGGCCTGCTTCGGAAGAGCGGTTGCAGAGACTTAAACAGGGACAGCTGCTGTTCTATCGTATAACCACAGCGTTCAGAGAGATCCATAAAAAAGAGCACCGTCGCTCTGATGTGTGCCAATGCCGTGATGGACTGCATCTCGATCGTATTACGCTCGTCAAGTGCGTGATCTAGAATCCCTGGTGTGTCGATGACCTGCCACCGCGCATATTCGTAGTCAAAGTGACCCACGAAAAGGGATTTGGTTGTAAAGGCATATGGTTGCACGTCGACCATTGCCCGTGAGACCTTGTTCATGAATGAGCTCTTGCCCACGTTTGGGAAGCCGCAGATAAGTAGCGTGCGTGATGCCGGATCGATGGACGGCAGCCTCGCAAGATGCTGGCGCACCTGTTCCAGGTATGTCAACGCGTCACGCTGGCGGCGCATGACGGTGGCCATGCGCCCAAGAGCAGCACGTTTGAGCTGCTTGCAACGGTAAAGTGAATCGCCAAACTTGAGCAGCTTTAGATATTCTTTGCTAATTTGCTCCACCAAATGCCGCGCCGTAGCTACTTGGCCCAGCGCCAGCTTATAATGGTCGCGGTCGTAGAGCACATTCATCAGGTCGCCGTAGAATGGATGCACCTCTTCGATTTTCGGAAATTCGGTTGTGATTTGCTGAAGCCGCTCTTCAAATGTGCTTTGTGTGTATTTGACCTTGCGCATGTAGAAGGAGCGAATGCGCGAGATTTGATAGCCCTTGTGCACGACGGTGGGTGTTTTGCGCTGCGTTTTACTGAGCACAATATCGAGAAAGTCTGTACTGGAGGGCACAACTTGGATACGCTTGAAGTTGTGATTTGCCCCAGTGATGTTGTCTGTGAGCACGCTGGTAGAGGGACCTGAGGGGAGCACAGGAACGGTCATGGAAATGCAAAAAGTAGTGCGCGATATTTTTTTAAATTAAACCAAATTAAAATTTAAATGGCACAAACATGCTGAAATTCGCTACATGCACACGTTACGCACCCATCCCAGCTAGGGGCAGGAGCGTACCGGCCAAATAAATTCAGAATATCACGCGAACTGCCACGTCTCCATATTTTCTTGTGGCATTGATTGACGGAGGCTACACAGTTCTGCATCCTTGCTGGCGAAATAGCTTGCAACGTGCAACGCCAGCCTGGTTCATAGTTCTTGCCTATCAGTAAGCCGCCAATAAAGCCCTGCTGATCGGCCCATATTGGAGCTGTAATTGACAAAATTGTGGTGCGCAGTCGTGTGATATATTTATGTAAAAAGCAGATCTCCTGTACATGGCGCTGTCAGCGAGCCTTTCCGCCGTTCTTAGGGTTGAGGGGCGATGTGGCCCACTAATGTAAAAATAAGCAAAAACCATGCATACATTCTGCGCAGCGAGCTTGAAGGCATCTTTATGGCTGATTGCAGAGTTTGCTTTTTTCACCTTTGGCAACTCTGTGGACATGAAGCTGGTGTACGGCGTGATTTTCTTTGCGGAAGCATCCTTGGAGGTGGAGGACTTTTTTACTGCAACGTAAAACGAATATGACGAAACCTTTGCTGTTTACGGCGGAAACTTTTTTTGTTGATGCTGCTGGCTTGGTTTGCGATGCGGTAGCGCTTGTGCTGCTTGATTTTGCCATAGTTTAATAGTCTTACTAATCAATGGCACAATTTATAGTGTGTCCTTATACACTATGGTGTTCAATGGCGCCGTAATTTGTGCATTTCCCGCCAAACCTTTAAACAAGGGTTGGCTCGATTTTAACTTTAAACGAGGGTTGGCTCGATTTTAACTTTAAACGAGGGTTGGCTCGACTTTAAACGAGGATTGGCTCGACTTTAAATCAACGCGGCTCGACTTTAAATGAACGCGGTTCAACTTTAAAATGCCAATCGAACGGCACTTTGTTGAACAGTCCGCCACGCATTGGGCCCCAAAGTAATTTTTAATTATTGCTAATTTATTGTTGATGATGGTCACCAGCGAATCGTGCTCTTATCAGCGAGCCCCATCACGCTCTGTTTATACCGCATACCTCATCATCGAAACATCATCGCAATCACCATAATCACTCCACCTATTGGCATGCTATCTAAACATGCCGATCTCGTCACCATCAAACATATATAGGCCATTGGTGTCCAGGGCCGCCACCATCATCAGCCTCACATCATCATCAACCCATCTTCGAGCCAGCTCATCCAAATGATGACCTCTGATTATATCCAAGAAGATCAAGAGGCCATTTCCTTAAAGATTTTCGGCGCTGCTGATATCATTATAAACTCGCCCCCATCAGCTCACTCGTCATTTCATACAAATTTTCACTCTGCATTCCTGACTCACTCTCCACGCACAAGTTTCACATCTTCTGCCCCGTTATCTAATTTTGCATTCCCCTCCGACTTTCAAGCCCCCTTTGCGCAGCCTGGCACTGCGCTTTCGCTGATGGCGCCCACCTCAACGGCAAGCATTTCGCACGAGCAGACTGCAGCACTCCTCTCGTCTAATCATTACTTCTCCTCTGCAGAATACTCCACATCCACTCTTGATACGCCCGATTATGGTGAATCTACATCGGTGGATTTTCCGCTCTCCACGTCTATAGACTTTGGCGGCTCGCAAACAGAGTTCATCGGCTCGCCTGAATATATTTCATTATCATCCACATCTTTTTCAACAGCCCCCTTTGAGTGTCTCTCTGCGCCACCATCTTTCGGCATGATGGGCCACACCGGTAACGGTCACAACATGATTGTGGACTATGTTACCCCATCTGGTGGTCCTACTTGGCACCACCATCAATACGGTAGTGAGCAAGGTGCCCCCGTATCCTCAATGACAGCCATCAAGGGAAAGTCACCCTATGTCGTTCTTTGGCTCCAATCGCACTTTGAGTCATCTGAAGGTGTTTCCATGCCTCGTTCGTTGCTGTACACACACTATTATGAATCGTGCGTTGCCGATTCCATCGAGCCAGTCAATGCTGCCTCTTTTGGTAAGATTATCCGCTCTGTGTTTCCAAACTTGCGCACGCGGCGTCTTGGTACGCGCGGCCACTCCAAGTATCATTATTACGGGATCAGGATGAAGGCACCCATGTCGACTGCAGAAGCGGCTCCAGCACTTTCAAGTCCGGTCCCCAATACCGGCTTTGGCTCCTCGTCATATGGAGCGGGGACTGGCACTGTAGAGACTGTGGACTCAATTCCCCACTCTATCAAATCGCACTTTACCATCCGGCCGTCACGGAATCGACAGACTTCGTCACCAGTTACCATCTACAGCTTGGCCACCGGCGGCCTCTCCTGCGTTACAGCTAATCCGCCATCCATTGATCGGTTTGCCGCGAGGTTGCACATGGCTGCACCAGACGCGCTTCCCATTGAGCACGGTGACCTTTTCAGACTTGGCCTGCAGCATCATACTACCTTGCTGCTTTCCCTAATTTTACGCGAAGAGTATCTGCAATTTGAAGAGGAATTTACACTCTATTGGCTTGGCGTGTTCCCTAAGAGCTTTCCAGAATTTCAGGCTTCCAATGCAAACCAAACGAACTCGGTGTCCGAAATTTCTTGTTTTTTTCCTTCTCAAAAGAGCGAAAATCGATCTCCAGGAACGCGACTTTATCAGAGCATCCTTTCAATGATACAAAGATTCGATGCTACCTCCCTCGCTGTCATCCAGGAATGTTTTCTTGCTTCGTTTTGGACCAATGGCATTACTCAGGCACAACTAGAAAATGTCCGTCTCTTTTGCACCAAGACATTACCTGGACTGATCACGATGCTTGTCAAAGGATATTTCAGCGCTCGAGACCTGGAAAATGTCCAGTTTGACGTCAATGGCTGGCCAACAGGCCAGCCATGGCATACCCCGGCCACACTTCCATCCAAGTTGCTGGTGGTGAAGCTCGAATTTTTCAAGAAGCTCTCCATGATGCTGCTTAAACGCGTCTCTCTGCACTCACTTGCCACTACCTTGCGCAGCGCCAATGGCGTCGTAATTGGAACTGCTGCCACCAAATGTGATTTCTCTTCAAGTGCCTGCACGAATCGATCGCCTTCAGCTAGTCTGTCGGCTCCAGGCTCTGCGGAGCTTAGGCGGCTGGCTCGTGCCGCCGTGCGCGAGGCAGCAAGCGAATTGCAGCGCCACGTTTCTCATGAGCGGGACTGCGGCTTACGAGCACAAGCTTTTGCTTTAGGTACAGACCCGTCGCTCTCTGCGTCTTTCTCACGATCTATTGATGAGATGGATGCTTCCTTTATTCCGGAAGAAATCCTTGCGCAATTTATTACGTCAATGGAGCTCATTTTTGGGGATGACCAGCTTGACTGGGACGCTTGGGCATCTTTTCTTGATAGTTGCGTTGATTACGAGGCCAGCGAGGATACCCGCGAAGGGGAGGAAAATTGCCGCCATCTAGATGCGGCTGCCAAACGGAAAAACGGGGCTCTTCCCAACATCGGTCCGATATCGTATGGAGAGCTGGAAAGAATGCAGCGACATTTACAGAACCTGCTCATCCAGTGGTCGTTTGTGATCGCCATTTTTATGGACCAACTTTTTGCCACCAGAGATCACAAAAAGGTAGAAGGCTCCTGTGCTAGGGATGAGGAAATCCTTGCTGAATATCTTCATTTTGACCAAGGCGCATGCGAGGCCGCCACGCCTGTGGGTGATGGGGCCTCTGCAGTGGTTGTTGCACAGCCGGCCCCGGCTGCCTCCACCACGCCGCTGTCACTTTTTGAAACGGTGCGGCTTCTCACGGAAGAGTATCTGCTGTATCTCGTCGAGCAGCGACTGGATGAACTCAGAGATGCATGTGCATCATCATCAACTAGCGGCTTGATTGGTTTCGTGATGGAACCAAACTTTCTTTGCTTGAAGTCTGCCTCGCGTCGGCGAGAAAAGCGTACAAGAAAGAAAACATTTGACGAGTCCCTTACTGCAATGGAGCCCGTTGAGTGCGCCTTCATTCAAGGCCTCTCGATTACAGATGCTACACTGACATGTGGTCCTCTAAGATCGCTGTCATAGCCCCCTCCACGCCCCCTGTTCACTTTACTGGTCGCCATTGTGCGGTCGACACTGGGCAGCCGCCCTATCCCTATTTTAAATATACTAATAAACCAATTAAGAGTTTTTCTTTAACTTTCAAGTGTTGTTTTATAAAATTACTTGCTTAATGACGATCGGTGCTAGTCAGAGCTCCGTTTCTTTTTCTTGTCCTTTTTGTCCTTTTCTTTTTCCTTCTTTTCTTTCTTGTCTTTCTTTTCCTTTTTAACGCGTTTCTTTTCGTCTTCGTCGCTGCTCTGACCATCATCCATGTCTTCATTTTGGTTATCGACCAGACTGCCAGACTTTTCTTCGACTGGGGTTACGAACGAAATACGTGTCGATGAAACGGTGGCATTCTTATCCACTGCCATGTCTTCCTTTGGGGAAAAAAAGTCGACGTATCCTTGAGACCAAGCGGAAGGCGTATTTTCGTTGGACCTTCCGTGCTTATCCAGCTGTCCACTCTTGATCATTGCCTTCTTTTCCACAGCTTTGGGTCCGAGACCCCATTTTCTGGGATACGTGTCTCGTTCCATGATCACGCGCTTAATCCGGGCAATTATGCCATGGTCAACGCTAGCAATCACGGCCGTTGTCATCTGTGCAATTCCAAGTGCAATGGCTTCGCCCTTGGTCGTGATGATGACAACCTCTTCTTCCATTTCGATCCCCGCATCATAGCGTAACAGACCTGGAATCATCAGCTTGGCACCATAGCAAATCGCATTGACAGCAGAGTCTTTCACCATCAGTCGTTTGTAGGAGACAAGCAATGACTCTAATGGCCTAACAACACGTCTCAAGTACGACTCATCTCGTGTCGCATCATAGAGCCATTGCGCATCAAGTAGGTCGTGCATGGTCACCATGCCGTCAGCTTCAGAAGTAGCCCCGGAGCGTACACGTCTTAGCTCTTGCATGTGGCCACCAACGCCCAGCATCAGACCAAGATGCACGCAGAGTGTTCTGATGTACGTACCGGCCTCGCAGGAGACCCAAAAGACACCCAGCGAGCGTTCTTCGTCGGTCTCCAGCAACAGCGAGTCATGGATGGTGCGTACACGCAGTTGACGCTTAACAGCACTGATCAGCGGTGGTCTTTGAAACAGGGCACCAGTCAGCCCTTCGAGCGCCCCGCGTAGGCGCTGTTCCAGCTCGCCGCTTCCAAAGCGATCGTGCAGGCGCACCACACAAACATACTCCTTGCCTGCACTCTGCTGGCTTTTGACTAGCCTTGTGGCACGGTCGATGCACACGATAAGACACCCGGTGACTTTTGGATCCAGCGTGCCTGAATGTCCCGTCTTCTCGACACGTAAAATGCGCCGAATCCATGCGACGACTTCGTGCGAGGATGGATTTGCGGGCTTGTCCAAATTTATCACACCATATCTAGATGGATTAAACGATCAAGCAAGCCACAAGAAAAAATAAAGAAAAACGAAAAAAGGCCCCACCTGATATAGTTAGTAAGATCGCGGGAAAGCGGTGACGCTCCATTAGGAAGCGGTGTGTAGTGTGCAGAGCGCACGTGCATTCTTTCAAAGTTCTATGATCAGTGCTAAACGCTTACTTTCAGCAGCAGTGGCCATTCGCTGGCATCCAGTGGCACGCGCTCCGTAGAGGGCTTGACCATAGTAGCGTGCTCCATTGCAAAATGCAAAAAAAAAATTAATTAGGGTTAATTTGGTGTCCATTGGGTTGAGTCGAGTTGCTCTCAGGAGGTACTTTGAAGTGGCCGCAATGATGACCACCATTTTGTGCAAATGGAATCAACATCCAAATTTTTTGCTAAATTATCGCGATTAATTGATGGATATTTAATGGATCGCCCTAACACCCCCACTAGGGTTAGGGTTAAGCAGCATGCAGGCGCCGGAAGAGCTCGCCAAGCTGTACTACAGGATATGCGCTGCGCGTGACCAACGTTTCTATCGTCGGCACTGTCTTTTTCCAATAGAGCATTTGTAGATACAGTGAGCGATCGCTAATTTCTGGCAGGAGCGTGCCACAGCATCCAGCAATGGGACACCGTTTCTCGTACACCGAGATGGTACGCGTTCGCGCCCCGCAGCCGGGATCGTCACATCGCAGCCAGCCCATATAAAAGGCACCAATGGCCCGTCGACAGGAGGTGGCTATCTGTGCAGCACGTGTCAACGGCGGTATTGCCCGTACGCAGGCATTGCAAAGGCTATTCTCTGCACTCGAAACTGCACCGCCGCAATATGGACAGCTCAATGTTATTTCTTCAAAGTTCTTTCCCTCCAAAGAAAGCAGTGACGTGGATTCAAATTCACCATGTGATGAGGACCTTACGACTTGTCGTGGTATATCGAGTCCCAGTGCCAATGAAAGTCGCGAGGCGTCAGTACCCTCCAACCACTTGCAGAGCCGCACCACTGGCGGCAACACTTGCTGCTGCAAATACCATTCATAGTCAAGCGTAAGCTCGCCCCCGCGCCGCACATCATCTGGGTGATATGCCCGTCCACTTAGTGTGGATGGATTAGACCCAGAACTACGGCAAATAACAAAAGGCACATGGTCGCCAGCTCGCAAAAAGATACCCCTGCTTTGCAGCTGTGTGGCAACCACAACGTGAGGGTGTGCCCTGGGGTCGCCATATGCCTGTGGGTCTTTTGTTAGGCTCTGCAATCAATAAACGTGCCAGTCCTACCTTATGGATGACGAAGGCATCTAGGGGCATCCGTCCCTCGCGTACTTGTGCTCCAATAACAGCAAGATGTTCGTGGATGGCCCCTAGAACTTCATCCCGGCCCTCTGTCAGTGACATAATCCGTTGCAGTACGAAGCTAAAATAAGAGTAATGCACTTACTTGCCAGTCTCTACAGAAAGACCACACCAATCGCGACGCACCATGTCAAGACCCTTAGTCTCAATGCGGTATGTTGTGGGCCCTACGTTCTCCAAACTGTTTAAGCGCAATGCGGCATATTTCTTTTTCTTGAGTAACAATAGACGTGCAAAAACGGCCTCAAGGTCGATCTCGATTAAGCGGTGACGCTCGTTGACACTCCGCCGCACAGCTGCGCCAATACGTAGTGCCTCAGGTAGCGAGGTGCATCCTGTTTCAATCATGATGGAGTCTGTGTCGCCATAAATAACACGGCAGCGAGCTGAGGAGCCCCCCAATTCCCCCATTGCTTCCACAAGTTCGACCGTAGATGCGAGCAATGTTCTCCCATGTGCAGTGACTAGCTCAGCCAAAGACTTGGCATAGAATCGTGAGCCTGTGAAGCCCAGGCAACCATACATGGAATTGGCCGCCAGCTTGAGCGCCTGCTGCCTAATATCTAGAGCAGCGCGCTCAGTACTCTCACAACTTTGTAGAAGCTTTTTAACAGCAGAACGCCTGGCTACCAATGTACCCAGAATTCTTGGCAGAATACCGATCACCGATGAGGGCTGCGGTTCGGGTTGGATAGAAAGGTCACTAGCTTTACCAGCAGCACCATTTCCATGATCAGCGCCATTGGGCGCATCAGGGGCCTCAACATTGGCAGTCGTAAAACAGATGTTATGTTCCTGAATGATGGAAGGATAAAGCGAGTTAAAATCAAGCAAAATCACAAATGTGTCATAAAGGCCAGCTTTTGGTTCCAACACCAGTCCTCCTGCATATGCTGCGCGCCGCCTTCCTCTGCCGACTTTGGAGGCTTCAAAGTCAGGAACATCTGAAGCACTGGCACCTTGATACTTATCTGGGAGCACAAACTTGGCTGCGTGAAACTCGTGCAACAACAGATATTCGTTCCGCTCTGCCCTTGCGCCATTGAAAAGAGTGTGTGCCCAAAGATTGCCCGCAATTGCAGTTAATTGTAAGCTTAATGGCAATAGCCGCAAACGCATGGCCAATTCAAGCGCAGCTTCACTCTCCGTGCCAAGTTCATAAAGTAGACCTGCGGGGGGAGATCCCCTTACTGGCTCGTGATGTGGCACATGAGAAGCCATAATGTCAACACTGATCCCCATAGTTTGGCAAAGCTCGATCAAAGAAAAAGACCGGGACTTGACAATACCCTTTGCACCGCTTCTTGTGTCGCAAAGAAGCCGCCCAGCAAATGCGAGAACATCACCATAAATTAATCGCGGCATAGTTGTAGAGGCGATAGCCTCTTCATCTTCAGGGTCACTAGGCGGTGCATCCACAACGATGGGTGGTCGTCGACGCTCTTCGCGGTTTGGACTGCCAGGCCACGTTCGAAATGCCAAACGACCGATACGCGACCAACGTTCGATTTTGAGGGCCTTCAATCGCCCCACCAGCAGAGGAAGATCAAAGGTTGTCAGATCATGCCCCACTAATACATCGGGATCGAGACGTTGCATCAGGGTCAACAGAAACGAGCAAAGGGAGCGCTCATTAGCGCAGCGTTCACCGCGCCAACCTGAAGGCAACGGCGCCGAGGGCACGCCATTGTCCACAGTTACAAGAAAACGCTCCTCAATAAGTGGCAACTCGTTCTCTGTGCGTGCTGCAACGATAGCAGCTGCTACGATTGTTTGTTCTGAGGATGTCCGCCGCTCCGAGCGTCGCTCACCTTCAACAAGCGAACTCTTCAAGGTGATACTTATCAATCGCAGGGATGGGGGCGGCAGGGCACCTTCCAACAAGGTCGTAACGCTTTTTGGGGACTCTGTTTCAAGTTCCCAACGGACCCAGGAAGCCTATGCATTAGCGTCAATACATACATTTCGCTTTTGGATACGGACATTGGCAACACGTATCCAGCAGGGGCCCATCAACCGCCTCTTGATGATAAATAGCTCGAGCGCTGGTGTTGTCGCGCCAAAGACATGTGCGATCACTCGAGATTCCTCACGTGCATCCGGACGACGTGTCCATGCTGGGTCCTCAAAAGAATACCGCAATTTAAGCCACTCCGCCTCGGCTGGTATGCCTGCAATTCCGAAGGCATAGCGCCTTCGGACATTTTTACAAGCAAATTTTGAAACGCGTAGGGCACTCATGACCGCCGAGATTTCTGTATACAGGTCTGTAAATGTAACCGGAGCTCCTGTGACACGATCATGTTGCCGCGGTAGCACAAAGAGATTTCGCTGGATACCTTTTACCGTCATCGTAGCAGTGGCAAAGCGACCTGGAGCCACAGCAATCTATGCGTTAACAGAAACGAGCAACCTTTCCGATCAGCACAATGCTGCCATTGTGCCGATCAAAAGCGTCGATCCAGTAAAAATTAATTCCGACATCTTGGCCATCAAGCTCTGGCGCCTCCGTGTGTTCCACAATCCTTGAGACCCCTTTTGGGGTCGTATCGGAGGAAGACACCATGCCTATGTTAGCAAGGCTAGCACGGGTTCCGATTGAAAGCTGGTCCGTCACAAGAGGAATAAACTTATCGCGATTGCAAGTGGATGAGGTAACCGCTTTTTTGATGTTGAGGTGTTGTGGCTTCTCTTCCATCATATGGACATCGGAGCTGCTCTCTTTAATGGTCTCTTCCTTGACGGAACTGTTTGCAAAGTTTGCTACCTCTGGAGTCTGGTCTGAGAAGCTAAAATCCTCTTCTCTGCAAACCATTAATTGGTCATAGTTGTCTTGTTCGGTAAATTCCATAAAAGGAGGGGCTTCTTGGCCAACAGGCAATGCTGATGAATCATGATAGTCAAACCGCTGGTTGCTGAAAGTGGAAGGCTGCAGCCCATCATCCTCTTCGGTATCAAATTCTTTGAGAAGAGCTTGATAAATGGCATTGCTTTGATCCTATTCGTTAGCCTATGTGGAAATACATTTTTTTCTGGCAATTGGGGAGTCGAAAAAGAGGCTTTAGTTGTGGCTGCTGTAGCAAAGGCCCGCTGAAGATTGTTAGAGGTGCCGCCCTGCGGTMGAAGCCGCTTTTGCCGCATTGCCTTTTTGGTGGTAGAGAGCCGCTTGGCTGAAGGGTTCTCATCACCATCGAGAAACTGGTCCTCATCGCTAGAATATGGACCCTCATAAGGCTGATCCCATATTTCCAGCCCTGTTTCCATATATCCTTGGCCATCGTCGTCGACTACAAAGTCGTTTGCCTCGGCAAGCCGGCCTTGTACGATGGAGTTGTAGACGGATTCATCGACCTCTTCAAAAATCTCGCCTTCGTCAACCTACGGTAAACAGTTATCTTTACCTTGTATGACGAGAGGAGAGACCGGCCTTCTCGCTTTGCACGTGCAAGCTGTTCTAAAGCGGCAGACCGACCAACCCCACAACCAGGGCGGCGGGAGCCCTTGCGGCCATTTTCATCAGCTTGCATTAAATTGCAACTAATTAGGGTTCGTGTTGTAAATTGGGGAACCAAATCCCACATTGGATGGGGAGGAGGCCAAGGGGCCCAATAAATCCAACATTCAGTATAGCTAGCTATGGATCCGTGTGCGGAGTACAAAAATTTGGGTGTAGTGTGCACAGATGCTGTGGCTACTTTTTAATGCTCTTGAGCGGCCTGCCTTTTTGTTTCCTTTCGCGCCGCATCTCTAAGGACACCATTTCTCATGGTCTGCATCAAGTAAGCAATCGGCATACCTGAATGTCTTTTTCTTGCAGGCAGTGGACCGTATATACCACAATGGTTGTGAACCCAATCGAGGCCAAAAGCGTCAATTTTGCCCCAAGTGACGCGGCCATAAGAATAAATTAAAATCCTAACCCTTGAATGAGGAATAAAGAAAGGCACATGCCCCCCCCCCCCCC